GATGCTGCATCAATTGAATTGAGTCCGGTCAGCGTTCGGTTAACACCGGTATAAGATAGATTGCCTGAAATAGTCAGTCCACTCAGTGTTCCTAGCGATGTGATATTGGGCTGCGCGGCAGTGGATAGAGTGCAATATGTTTGTCCGCCCACTACAAGGCTAACCAGTGTGCCTACAGATGTAATACTTGGTTGGCTAGCCGTCTGTAGAGTACCCGTAATGCTTGTTGCACAGATTGCGCCGTTAACATCGAGTTTGTATACTGAATTAACGCTACTCCCTCCGATATTGATATTTCCGTTTATGTCCATCAATAACCGATCACTAAGAGCATATCTCCAGAAGTAGCATTTCGGCGTTGTAGCATTAGCGCTACCCCGCACGCCTTGTTCCATCTGAAAATACGAAATGATATTGAGACTGGCTGTCGATGTAGTACTATCATTCTGAATGGTCAATCCTTTACCAAAAACTGAATTTATACTCAACGAACCTAGCGTTCCAACCGATGTGATGTTAGGCTGGGTCGCGGTCTGTAGAGTACCAGTGATTCCTCCGGAAACTGTAAGTGATGCTAGCGTACCAATCGATGTGATGTTAGGCTGTGCCGCGGTTTGTAGCGTACCAGTAATCGGTGCTGCAGCAATTGAATTAAGTTCTGTCAGCGTTCGGCTCGCACCGGTAAAAGAGAGATTGCCAGCAATTGTTAGTCCACTCAATGTACCTACAGATGTGATGTTGGGCTGCGCAGCGGTTTGTAGCGTACCAGTGATTCCTCCGGAAACTGTAAGCGATGCTAGCGTACCAATCGATGTGATATTAGGCTGCGCCGCGGTTTGTAGCGTGCCTGAAATCGATGCTGCATCAATTGAATTGAGTCCGGTCAGCGTTCGGTTAACACCGGTATAAGATAGATTGCCTGCAATAGTCAGTCCACTCAGTGTTCCTAGCGATGTGATATTGGGCTGCGCGGCAGTGGATAGAGTGCAATATGTTTGTCTGCCCACTACAAGGCTAACCAGTGTGCCTACAGATGTAATACTTGGTTGGCTAGCCGTCTGTAGAGTACCCGTAATGCTTGTTGCACAGATTGCGCCGTTAACATCGAGTTTGTATACTGAATTAACGCTACTCCCTCCGATATTGATATTTCCGTTTATGTCCATCAATAACCGATCACTAAGAGCATATCTCCAGAAGTAGCATTTCGGCGTTGTAGCATTAGCGCTACCCCGCACGCCTTGTTCCATCTGAAAATACGAAATGATATTGAGACTGGCTGTCGATGTAGTACTATCATTCTGAATGGTCAATCCTTTACCAAAAACTGAATTTATACTCAACGAACCTAGCGTTCCAACCGATGTGATGTTAGGCTGGGTCGCGGTCTGTAGAGTACCAGTGATTCCTCCGGAAACTGTAAGTGATGCTAGCGTACCAATCGATGTGATGTTAGGCTGTGCCGCGGTTTGTAGCGTACCAGTAATCGGTGCTGCAGCAATTGAATTAAGTTCTGTCAGCGTTCGGCTCGCACCGGTAAAAGAGAGATTGCCAGCAATTGTTAGTCCACTCAATGTACCTACAGATGTGATGTTGGGCTGCGCAGCGGTTTGTAGCGTACCAGTAATCGAAGTGGCTGTAAGCGATGCTAGCGTACCAATCGATGTGATGTTAGGCTGTGCCGCAGTCTGTAGAGTACCAGTGATTCCTCCGGAAACTGTAAGCGATGCTAGCGTACCAATCGATGTGATGTTAGGTTGGGCCGCGGTTTGTAGCGTGCCTGAAATCGATGCTGCATCAATTGAATTGAGTCCGGTCAGCGTTCGGTTAACACCGGTATAAGATAGATTGCCTGCAATAGTCAGTCCACTCAGTGTTCCTAGCGATGTGATATTGGGCTGCGCGGCAGTGGATAGAGTGCAATATGTTTGTCCGCCCACTACAAGGCTAACCAGTGTGCCTACAGATGTAATACTTGGTTGGCTAGCCGTCTGTAGAGTACCCGTAATGCTTGTTGCACAGATTGCGCCGTTAACATCGAGTTTGTATACTGAATTAACGCTACTCCCTCCGATATTGATATTTCCGTTTATGTCCATCAATAACCGATCACTAAGAGCATATCTCCAGAAGTAGCATTTCGGCGTTGTAGCATTAGCGCTACCCCGCACGCCTTGTTCCATCTGAAAATACGAAATGATATTGAGACTGGCTGTCGATGTAGTACTATCATTCTGAATGGTCAATCCTTTACCAAAAACTGAATTTATACTCAACGAACCTAGCGTTCCAACCGATGTGATGTTAGGCTGGGTCGCGGTCTGTAGAGTACCAGTGATTCCTCCGGAAACTGTAAGTGATGCTAGCGTACCAATCGATGTGATGTTAGGCTGTGCCGCGGTTTGTAGCGTACCAGTAATCGGTGCTGCAGCAATTGAATTAAGTTCTGTCAGCGTTCGGCTCGCACCGGTAAAAGAGAGATTGCCAGCAATTGTTAGTCCACTCAATGTACCTACAGATGTGATGTTGGGCTGCGCAGCGGTTTGTAGCGTACCAGTAATCGAAGTGGCTGTAAGCGATGCTAGCGAGCCAATCGATGTGATATTAGGCTGCGCCGCGGTCTGTAGTGTACCAGTGATCGAAGTAGCTGTAAGCGATGATAGGCCTCCGATTTGACCAGTAGGTCGACGATAAGCGCTTTACTATTGCTTGCGGTACCAGGGCTCGCGCTTAGTAGTGAGAGGCTGCTGAGATCGACGTCGAGCCGTTCAGCTTCAACGAGCTGCAACTGATCGAATTGATACCTGTTATATCGAGATTGGTATCAAGCACCAGGGCTGACATCGGACTAGCCACTCCCATCGTGATCGAGCTGAGATAACTCAACCGAGAGTCAGTCTTACTGAGATACAATGAATCAGCCATTTCAAGGCTTAGAACATCTGTGCCTACCGCATAGAAGGTTGGGTTAAAAATATTCGATTCTTGAGATGGTGGCCGAGCTGTGAAACCCATTTTTGTTGGCGAGTTATATATCACTAGATATATATACTTTCCACAATGGTTAATAGGATTGATAACTGGGGAGCCGCTCTCCCGAAAGAGTTCCGCTCAGACTCTCTCGGCGATATTAAGCAACTCGGGATTAAAAAGCTCTTCCGCGGAATCATCCTAGCTCCCAGCAACGCAGGTAAGACGAATCTATGCTATCACATCGTCAAGAACGCACCAAACGTTTTTAGCCATCTGCATCTGATTGCACGCAACCAGGAATTGTACAATTATATGAAGGAGAAACTTGCGGGCTATATCACAGTATATGACCCATCGACACCGCCAAGCGTCGATGATATCCAGAAGGATCCGCGAGGTGGTATTCAGCTCGTTATCATCGATGACTACAGCTCGGACAAGAAGCTCCAAAAAGACCTATTCAGTCATTACTTCATCAGAGAGCGCCACAAGCGGCTATCTACACTGTTCCTGACGCATTCATGGTTTGCTACTGACAAGCTAATCAGATTGAATTCAGAGTACCTCTGAATTCTGAAAGCAAACAGCCGACGCGATCTGAAGATGGTCATCTCTGATTTCAGTCTTCCCGGTCTTACGCTCGAGCAGCTAATTCGAGCCTACAATACGGCCACTAGAGAGAAAGGTCAAGCATTGCTCGTAGATAACGTTAGAAGTGTTCTAAGGTATAATTTCAACGAGAAGCCGATCTATCTAGATTAGCCTTTGGCAAGAGGCGCGAGCCTCGAGCCAAAGGCTCTACCAGGGTAATAATTAATATCGACCGAATATTATAAATATTGACATATAATCAACCATGTCAAACATTATTACTCTCAGTTCGCAGCACATCGTCCCCAATTCATACAACAACACCCTGCGCTATGAGTTTCCCGGAAGCAGCGTTAATTTTACTAACAGCGAATTGGCTATTCACTCAATCAACATGTACAACAGTCAATTCAATATCGATGCATCAGCATATGGAAACAATAGCTTCAAGCTTTCAATGCCCACAGGAAACACCTACAGTACTGTACAGATCACACTTCCGAGCGGATACTACTCATATAGTCCAATCAACTCAGCTATGCAATCGGCTATGATCTCAGCAGGTGCGTATCTAATCAACGCTGATGGCGATAACGTATTTTACGCCAATATCAGCGAAAACCCAACCTATTACTCGTGCCAAGTCGATCTATCGCCGGTTCCGACGAGCCTTCCCGCTGGATGGTCTCGCCCGCCTTCTGGTCTCTACTCGAGCGGTGGAACCGGTCTGCCGCTTGGATTCTCGTATGTCCCCAAGCTCGTTATCGATAACGAGGAGTTTGGCAAAATCATCGGTTTCCCACGGGGAACGACCACCAGAGTCTATACACGCTTCAGTCTGTACTCTCTCCGATTCCGCCTCAGATCAATCCTGTCAGCTCATATCAGATGCGGTGTTCCCTAGTATCAAATCCATTTTGCATTCCAGACGATATTCTCACTACTTTCAACACAGCAGGAACGACTATCGGTCAGCTAGTAAGCTACCAGCCAAATGAGTTCTGTTGGGTCGATGTTCCCAACGGATCATATGCTAGCATCACTCTAACGATCATTGATGAAGAGGGCAGGTTCGCTAAATTGAACGATACAAACATGCTGATCAGTCTGATCGTCCGGCAGAAACGCTCGTAGAGGGTTAAAAAACAGTGAGTTTTTTTTAACTATGACAAACGGAAGCTTCCAGCTCGCTTAGAGCTACCACCCTTGCGCATAGCGCGAAGGCGAGCCATCTTCGCCTTCATCTCGGGGGATCCCTTCGCTGGATGGCTACGGCGAGAGGGCTTAGCCTCAGCAACGCCGATACCCGTAAATCGATTCAGAGCGCCTCGGGCAACACCTACGAGAGCAGGGTATTTGCCTTGGCTCGCTACATACGCCGATCCCATGCTGGCGAGACCATCCGCGGCAGCCGATAGAGCAGGCTTGATTACAGGCTTCCAGGCACTCTTGATGCCGTTCCACACCTTACTCCAGATACTCTAGCTTGCATACTGCCTCCATTTGCCTCCATGGGGTACTGGATCTCGTGTTTGGTGATCTTGACTCGAGAGCCCTTGCCGGCCTTCTTAGCTCGCATGACCTTATCATATGATTCGGGGTGCAGATGTAGCGTTGCACCAGAGCCGGCTAGATCAGCCTTAGTCAGCGATAGGTTGCCAGTCTTGACTGCACTGCGAAGACGCTTTTCGGGGATTGAGTTCGAAATGGATAGTTCCTTGTACATCGTCGTTAATAGTATAGTTAGGCAGGGATTTAAAATTTCAGAAAATTAATTATCGATTACGTCGATATCGAGATCAACAAACCTATCCATTAGATGCATTTGCCCATGCTGCTTGGCGTATAACCATAACAGGCAGAAAATTCCGCAATATTCATCCGATGAGCCTTGGATTTGCTTGTCGAAATATAGCAGATCGCCTAATACCTTCGGCGGTCCGACAGACATGCTACCAAAATAACTACCATCATACACAGCAGTCCAAATGGCCGATTCCAGGGCTCGTACGCAGTAGGATAAGATATGAGCCCTTCGAGGTGAGTGGCTTCCGGATCTCGGAAAGCTCGTATATGCCATCGATCCGGACTCCAATCCGCTTAGCGAGCGCGAGCAAGTCACGGTCTGAGGTAACGCCTTTAACAAACTCCATTAATTATTTTTTTGTATGGACTATCTATATCAGCTGACATATACTTATCACCATGTCTAGCACCACTCAATTAACAGACGCTTATCTACTCCAGTCGGCTCTCAAGACCGAATCGCCTATCGATGTCAGCAAGGGCAAGACCATTTCGGTTGTCTATGATGGCAACCAAGGTTCGTACAACAGCGGCTTGATTCAGATTGATGCTACTTCTCAGCTTACCGGATCGCGTGGATTTGCTAGCCTCAAGGAGGCCTATCTCACCCTACCGTATGCGATTACCGCCAAATCGACCGGCACGGCCTCTATCAACTCGTCGACCATTAGTCGCTTCGCGTGTGCTCTTAAATGTAATGTTGCCAACGTCATCGATTCGCTCACGGTGGAACTTAACGGCAAAAAAGTAATCACGGAGACTTAGTACAAGGGCTTCTGGAACAACCTACGTGCTATGACTGAACTTTCGCAGGACGAGGTAGCCAAGCATGGCGCAGACATGCATCTATTCCCGGATATTTGGTCGAGCATCAACCTTACGGGTGCAGCGAGCGCTACAGGAGATGGATACAGTAGTAATCAAATTACTGGCACGGTACCCCTCGACGAAAATATGTCTCAAACTCAAGAGCCTTGGGCGTTTAATTCTGGACTCTTCAAGCGACTTGTAAACACACCGCTGGTTGTAGATTCTACAGAGGCTACTGGATCATTCTCGTGGGCCTCGATGGGAAATACAGCTACCAAGCAAATTATCCAGCAGAACGCTCGCGGTTGCTTTAAGGAATCTGATGCGACGTCGTTCGGAAACGACAAGGTTGCCGGCAAATGGTTTCACATGTTGAAAATCCGCCTCGTTGACCTCCATCCGATTTTTAAGGAGCTAGATCAATGCACCAATCCTCAAATCAAGATCCGTCTTCGTATCAATGCTGGTACGGTAGCAGTATCCGGTGGCGTCGCAAGCATGAAGCTTGATTCTGTTACAATGACTTCTGGACAGACTGTTCCGATTCTGATTTCATTGGCTGGCGCAGCGCTCAAGACCGCCGCGGGTGATATTATCACTAAAGCAGCGCCAATGAATGATGTTCTAACGCCTACTAGATCACAGCTGTCGTTCTCATTTGGTCCGCTTGGCAATGCATTCACATCTACTAATTCTGTAGGCGAATATTTCCCCTACATGAACTCGCGTCTCCATATTCCGTTCTACACGCTTAAAACCCCTCGGCAATCATTCAGAAGCCGATCAAGACTGTTCGCTACATCGACTGCTTCGCCCAAATGTTCCGGAGGGGAGGCGGTACTACCAATTCAAGCGGTGTTCCCGCTGGTCAGTTGAATGCTCCGTTTGATCTCAACATCAGCGGTTACAAGAAAAACGTTAAATACGTAGCTCTGATTCCGTTCGCTGATACGACGGCATACCACTTTGTATCATCTGCTGGTACGCCTCAGTACCAATCCCCCTTCGACAGCGCGCCTTGGACATGCATGCCTGGTGCTTCCATCCGCAATTTCCAGGTAACCATTGGTAACAGCAATGTCTTCGACAAGAGTCAGGAGTACGATTTCGAGTCGTTCAAGCATGAGTTCTCGAAGCTCGGCGCTATCAACAGAGATCTGTCTCAGGAGGTCAGCAATGGTTTGATTGATGGTCGATGGCCCAGCGTATCCTCGTAGCGGACTGTTCGCGCCTGACTCAGAAGGATGTCCCTCAGGCGATCCAAGTGAGCGGCATCAACGGTTCGGCTACCGGCATGGATCTCCTCGCACTGGTTGTATACAAGCGCGAGCTTGAGATCGACCGTCTCACCGGAGAAGTAGCGAGAACCGATTAAGCATCTCTCGTTGAATTGAGTTTATTTAATTATGATGTGGCTTAGAATCTCACTGCACAAGTCGATTGACACCTGAAACTGATTATCACGGCAAGTGTGATCTTGTAAGTCCACTATTAAATAATAAATATTTTTCAAAAAAGATGTTGGGTATCTATATAGATACCAATGACTACGTTAACGTTTGGCAAGCATAAATCCAAGACTATTGAGGAGGTATATGCTTCTGACTTTGGATACTGCCGTTGGCTATCGAATCAAAAGGGTCTCGTTGCACATGGTAGTGATATCGCTAATTTCCTAGCTCAAAAGTTCGGCAATGACGATGGATCGTTCCTTATGACGTGGGGTAAATACAGACACAAGACTGTTGAACAGGTCCAAGCCATCGATGCTAAATACCTGGAATGGTTGAGCAAGAATGAATTCGTTCAGGCCAAGATGCCTAAGCTGAAGGCAGAAGGTGATGAGTTATTGAAATCTGAATTTTCCAATAAATTCTGAATTTCCCAGATTATTCTGAATTTCAGAGATTATTCTGAAATGTAGAAAATCCATAAGGACTTCTTTTTTTGCTCTAAGCTTTTATTTAACGAGAAGATGTTTGGACATCGTGGGAGAAGAAGGAGGGTTCTTTTAATCTAGGGAGATAAGAAGTGTTCTGGGGAGTTTTAAAGCGTTGAAGAGAAAATGGGTAAGCTGTGGTTGTGGTTATAGGAATGGGTCTCTGAGTGTTCTTATATCGGGAGAATATGAGAGTGGACACAATGACCCGTTGCGGCTATATACTCACTGGTACTTGTAATGTATTCAAATCTCAATCTACTATCTTGGGGTATTGATTTATACCGGTGCCGGAAACGAGGTGCACCGCTGTATTTAACAACCGGACTCTGCCCCAAGTACACCACTCAAGTGAGACATGATTTGACCTTACGTAAATAAAAAATCCGCTGAACAGTATAATGAATTGCGGACTTTACCAACAAGTAGAGCATAAATTTACACTACATATCAAGCGCTAGTATTCCTGTACGACCAAGTAGTCGAGCACAAGAGCTCCTCGCGTACAACATCAGGGCCCATTTTCGCGCTAGTGTCATCATGCCGATTTTCGACAAATCACATTGTGTTTCTGTAGGACCTTACAAAATATAGGATAAAATACCACCACCGTTTTTGATTTATCCTGGTATCGGCACTGTTGATTGGTAGAAATTTAACTGAATGTGAATGCATGCGGAGGTGGGGGGGGTCATGGGTGCCAAGTTTGAGAGGAGACTTCTGAAGCAATATCGCGAACTATGAGCCATCAGTGGCAAATGCGCTTTGGAGTCTATAACTTTCGCTTGGACCCTTTGCTTTATTCTTTCTATCTGGAGCGGATCTTTTAGATTTGAGTGACCCCCACAAATTCACAGGTCGAAGAGCTGTGCTTGGCCGGCAGAAAATTTTTGTAACTTACCGAAACCAGGTACCTTTCTAACCGAAATAGAGTACTAGTTAACCTAACCAATTACATTTAAAGCTACGAATGGCTACATGTATTACTCTGTAGCTCAGGGGTAGTTTGCGAAGTTTAGCACTAAAATCAAGGACAAGTCTAAGATAAGACTAAAAATTACGAGTTATTACTACAGCGGGCGGAGAAACCCCGAGCTACCTGTGCGGGTCAGTATACTAAGACCAAGTCAAAAAGATGTGCAAGTGAAATGACAGCAGCGCTTCAACTCACAAAATTGACATTGCATGAATCATTCACTATTCGGCGCGGAATCGTTTGAAGTATAATCTGCTCGAATTCCATTGACTATTAAAGGCTGGATTTTGACGAATCGCTGCTCGAATGAAACCGGTCCAATCTGAGTTTATCTTGGTTTTTGTATTGGATCACCAGATTGTGAATCTCCAACGCCTGGCAAAACGTGATGAATGCCCTCAGACATTGCACGATATCATATCCGTTTCTTGGTTTCTCGGGATCCTGCTTTGCTTATATGTATGACAACATGAGTACCTTTCGTCTCATGTGTGCATTGTATCGCTAGTGTTGCTGGATGCAACTGGGTAGGTCGAAACACTGGGTCATCGGGCTTGCAAATCGTTTTGACTTACTGTATGTATGTGGCGGGCTTGGGGTGGGCTATGACTTTTTCCACCCGCTGTACTTTTGTGAAAGGTTGCTAAGGATTTCACTAATAAACTACGCTATGCGTCCGCTGAAGCATACTTTATAGCTGGGTAACGCTTGTCAATATTTCGTGCTATCATGTCTGCTAGCTCGAGCTACGTAAGCTGTACGCCTCAAATGTTGAAAGCTTAGTACATCGTCTCACATTAGACATGCTCGCCAAACATGGAACGGAGGGTGTTAATATTGTCACTGCAGATTTGGATACTTGTATGTTATTATAGGTGGCATTCTGGCCCATAACGAGCTCTGGTCCGAATATAGACGAAGCGATAGCATGTGCGGCACTCCGATGCTGTGGTGTAGCGGGATCGGCCAAAATCTGGTTAAGGCCTGATCAAGCTTCCCACCAGCGCCCAGACACCGACTAACGGAGGGGGTCCCCCAACGATCCGTGATCGGCTGAACTTGTTCTCACCTTGTGTACCCGTCGGCGGGCTGGATCTGCTCTCTCGGGGCTCCGAAGATGCAGCACTTGGTGTCTTGGCGTGACGCGGGGATAGTTTGTGGAGCAGCGCGGTAGTCTTCGCTCTGCGTCCGAGTATACGCTCCGATCGAGGGTTCTTCGCTTCGATCGGTCGGCCTGGAGTAGATCCAAGGCCTGTAGTTGTCTTTCCGGGTGTGTTCCTTCCTTTCCTGAGTTGCTTGCCGCTCCTTTAGCGGGATCGAGGTCGATTGAGAGACGCAGCGATCGCCGGCCAAGCAGTATCCGGTCGATCGAGGACTTGCACACGAGAGAAAGATCACTAGAGTAGGTCAAGCTGGCCAATGTATTAATCCAGTCTTAACCGTACCGCTAGTTCACTACCCGAAGTGTCAACGCTTACCGAGGCCAATGTAGCTCCTGGGACTTGACGACTTGAGGGCACTTGTGGTCTTCTGTGCAAATTGCGTTCTGATTTATGTTTAGCTGGTCTCTCTCTACCGCTGCCATCTCATCTACCATCCTACAACCAAACGATTACTGGATTCTTGCCCTGGCTTCGCCCCCATGTGCTTCCCATCCGGGTCGATCGGCGATCCACGATCGGCTCCCAATCCACGATCGCCTCCTGATCCACGATCGATCCCGATCGGCGATCGGCGATCAACTGACCTGTGCGAGTTGCCGTGCGCTGCCGATCCGTCCTCTTCTGTCCTCGGCCGCCCTCGATCTGCGAGATTGGTCGTCGATCCGGGCTTGGGTCTACGTCGAATCACGCCGCAGTCCAAGCGCGATCGCCCGTAATCTGTCTTGACATATGTGTTGCCTTACGCGTCGACGTTATCCAATCGCTTGAGATCTCTCGATAGAACCTCTTGATCCGCGACCGCAGCCTGATCCCTGCCTATCGTTCTGCCACCATGTCGCTTGATGTCATCGCAGTTGGAAATTCTTGTTCGGTGCTTCACCACAATGCCGCTTGCAATGCGGATTAGACAAGTCTGGACGAGCTATTCCAGCACCCGCGAAGCCTTAGTAGTCAATCGTCAGAGTTTCGCGAAATGAGCGGCATTTGCTCACCCAACAGGTAGATAGATCGCTCTCTCTTTTTATTTAAAATTACGCAACTCAGCGCACCAGGCACTCTCTGAATACTTTCCCCACTCAATACGATAGTGGCATCAAAATTCATATCAGCAGGGTTCTGCAGTAGCTTTAACTCTCTCTCTCTCTCTCTCTCTCTCTGTATATCTAGCTAGCCTAGCTCAATAGTTTGTGAGTGGATTCCAAGTTTTTGCTCCGACCCAGAGCATTTAATGGCCACTTTGTTAAGTTTCCAGGCCAAAATGAGACACTGGTCGTCCTCAGTATCTTCTTGACGTAGTTCAAGAACTCGACTTAGTCGACTGTCAGCAAAACGGTTTATTTAGCAACTATTCATTCTTGCCAACAACGTATCTTGCTACTGCCATGTTCATCAATTGATTTCTGAAGCCTTATTAACAGAAATGGCTCCAAGTCGGGCTCGCATACAAAACTAACTTGCGATTTGAACATGTTTCGCTGAGATCGAGCCATAATTGCTGGTAAATACCAGTTTCAGAGGTCAACTTTTGACAAATTCGACCTGTGTACTCCCCCGGAGCGTTCGCTCCGGGTCGCCTATTATCCTTTTCCGATGTACTTGACGTATAATCGGGTTGTTAAATAGGTAATACAGTATGTTTTTGGTCAACTTTCTACCGTATATCTAGCGGTTGGTTCTGCGCCTTCGGCACTGGAAACCGATCGATCGTTTCAATGTTTCAATGGCAAGTTGCAACTTCAAGATCCAGACCATCTGCTCAGCAGGTTCCGCTACTGTACATGTCCAAGTAATACGAGTAATCACAAACAGCTGCATGTTCATGCTTGCCCAGTTTGCGGCTGTGCCGGGTTCACGACAAATGTTCACGGTAAACGTGAATCCGGCAGATTTCTCAGCAACATCACCGCTGCTTGTGAAGATAAAAATACTATAAAAAGCCCATAATAATAATGGGGAAATCCGGTTTGGGGTCCGAAATTTTGAGCTAATTTGCTTGGGGTCCGTACAAAAACAAACGTTTCAAACGTTTCATTATGCGTTTTATTGAATATTGAAGGTGTTCTGGACACTTTGCTTACAAGTCATTGATCTGAAAATGGGAGTTTGAGCCCTGTAGCCGTTCTAGTAAAAGGAAGTAAACAACACCTCTCGTGTCGCCAAATTTACGATTCATCGCACAAAAATTGTAAGCAGCCAAGTATCAAAAATCAAAACGCAGAATTGATATTGTATAACATATCAGTGGCTTCTAGAACATCTTTAATGCTAAAGATAATGCCAATCCTCTATGTTTGCCAATATCCTTTATATAACGGAATTAGTTGATTTCACCGATTAAAATCTGTTTGCTTCTAGCCAAAATATTATCATCATAGCTAAGACCAAAAGTTTGCCTGTAACAACCATTGCACGCATTAAACGTTTGCTCGTATTTTTCTGAGTTGTTAATTGTTTGAAAAATTGACAAAGTTGCTAGATGGGATGATGTCATCTACTGATAGGTAGGAAATTACCTTGATTAACTAGTTGTCGATAACCGTTCTGCTAGCTACAAAATAACTTAAGTTAAGACTAAATCCGTGGAATCCAAATCCGACAAGCAGGAGGAGGTAGAATCTCCGCGGTGGGTTTGTCATACCCCAAGCGATATTTACTGATAAAACTACTTCATTATTCAAATATATACATCAATCATCATTTTGCCTCAAACGCACGCATTTAAACGATTGGGACGCTCCTACTTCGCATATTAGCAGCCATTTGAAGTCAGCCGTATGAAGTTAGTTAAATCAGATAAGGTGATACCAGACGAATAATACGTTTTCTTCCTCTCGTAGCTATTTGGAGGAAGCTACCAATCACTTCCCAGCTATTCGACTAGTTTTCAAGAAAACAAGCAATAAAACGTGCTGCCTACCTTATGGGGCCTTTTGTCATGAAAACGTCGATGTCACTGTGCCATAATATCGTACAGTAATATTGCCGCTTGCAAATACTTTGCCCTCTAAAATAGACCTCTAAAATAGACCACGCCTGTCTCTTAATATGAGTGGGCACGAGATAGGCGAGGGATGATTTAGCTTTATGCTTTGGTGGGGGCCGCTTTTAGGCCTAGAAACTCGGTTTGGCCCGTCTAGAATGGCATTTCTGCGTTTCCAAGTCGTAGCAAAGCGTGAAACAAACCCCAACCTTGCATCTTAGACCTGTACTGGCGAGATATATAAATCAGACCTAGGTCTCAATTAAGAGCTTGCTAGACTAAAATCGAGATTATTAACGAGATAATAAGCATGCGTTGGCCAAAATATCTGCAAACGGCAATAAATACACTGTGGATAAAGCCGCAAGAAAATGGCTTTATTTCGCTGGATCTGGTTCAAACTCAGAGAGCCTGCCAGTGCAATCCTCTGTACCGTACGTAGCACATGCCGGTGATTATCTCGATGTAGCGTAATCTAATTCGCGATACAGTGGATTCATAGCCACTACGAGACATGCTTTTTAAACGGCAAACTTAGATGAGCACCTCATCATTGGGTACCTTAAAAGCGCTCACATCGTTAATTGAATTACCGGGATCCGCTGCATACGTTGCGTAAGCTAAAACTCACTGGCATCTTGTTGATAGCTGCATTCATTCTGAGGGGTACCTGTAGAACCAAAATATGGGTGGGGTGGGGGTAAGTCCATCTGGCCTGTGAAAGATAGTCTGCCAGCTCAAAAAATGAGGGGTATTATAAGTGGGTCGACCTTTCAAAATTGGCATCTGTATGAAAATCCGCCCCTGTTCATTCTACATCAAATGCTCATGCAAGCTTTCACCGCACTGAGCAAACTCGCTAAACCAGCGAGTCATACGTTAATTTACATTGTCCGGTTTCAAACGCAGGGGCGAAGCCAGCCCATAAATGAGAGGGGGGCAAGGGGCTGGGTTATGCTTTAAAATTGCGCCTTGTTTACCAAAAGCGTCGTTCGCAGCAATATTTTCGTCGTATCCTCACCTTCAGGATGCCATCAGCGCATTCTAGGACAAGTACAGACATTTGAAACAATTTGCGGGAACCCGGGTTCCCGCAAATGATACCGACCAAATCGCGAATTATTTATTTTATTTTTGGTCTCCATATTGGTACCCTCGGGGCAAGTTAAACCCTCATACCTAAGAGCATCTCCAGCGGTTGGTCTCAAACACGGTTTTATCCTAAAAGTAACGCTGTTAAGACTTGGCCGAGACTTAAGGCTTCCACCAGAAGGTCCTATTGCAGGTTTTAACTTCACCGGGACCTATGGATTGGCTTTCGAGTCTTAAAATAAGACCACAATCTTAATACCACCCATACAAAACTGAAGACTCGCCGTATTTAAAAGATTGCACCAAGACTGAATGCAATTTTCACATGCGGGAATGGACTTATAAGACTCGCTTTAGAACTCACCGCTGGAAGTAAGTCGGTCTGCGCGGGTCTCATCTGTAAAATTGTGGTCTCAAAGACCCTGTTACGTCTTAGGATAAGACCCACCGCTGGAGATGCTCTAAGTGCTGTCGATGAAGGACTACCCTCAAAATATGCCACCGGTACTGAATAGACCCAAATAACATACCTTACCATGTCCAAGTTTATCTTTCATGAGCAGGAGGATAGCGATGAGACCGGGAAGCACTGTACCGCTGCACAAGGCAAGCGTCTGGATTTTCGTGAAGAGACACAGGATGAGGGCGAAGGTGAATTAACCTTCCGTTCCCCTACTGAGCTTTAGCTGCGTTCTATGTAGGTCATAGACCAACACTTCAATACATTTGCTCATACCTGTGTACCGGTAGTTTTGGGGGAACCGGGGTCCCGATGGGTAGGTTCCCGCCAATTGTTTCATTTGCTTCAATAAAGAACACCTGATATATACAAAATTATAAAAGGTAATGCAATATTACGTTAGCATTATAGTAAAATTTGCATGTAGGAGCCAATCAGCATTCATACAATATCGAGGATTTTAGGTTTTCCAGTGTTCTTTATTGAAGCAAATGTCTGTACCAACGAGAATATCCTCAAAATGAAGCCGGGTATCTTGAAATCAAACCGAGCTTGGTCTATTAGATGACAATCGAAACTTTGAGCAGCAACGTTCACAAGCACAGCAATCTGTTAAAGTTAAGCTCTCTAGAGCAATGCTAGCCTTAAGACCGTGTCAGCTACAAAATACTAATGGAGAAACTTGTAGATACGCTCACAGAGAAGCATTTGCCTAAGCGTCATTTGGGGCTTTAACTTCACACGTCCAAATAAAATCCGAGGTTTTGGTGGTCCGAAAATGGAGGGGGGGGTTCAGACCGATGTTACTCCACGAGCTCCTAACATTTTGGAGCGTTCGATAGCTTAAAAGAAGCACAAGACGCACCCTTCCGATTGGTGCGGTTAAATCGCGCGTCGTTAGGCTCGTACAGGTAACCATCATTTCGCTTAAAACCACCTCAAATAACTTTGTATCGTGGGAAAGGCAACAGATCTTGTGGATTCTCCTGGTACTGTACATCCCGGATACTGTATCCGGTTCATGAGTATCATTGACACTGGTAAATAATCATGGTCATCAAAAGTACTGTACGTTGCTGTCGGCACGGAAAGCCCGAAGTTGACCAAATTAGCCTTCGCCAAATGAGGGGGGGGCTACATTACTGTAATGAACTTGACCCGCCTAGCGTCTCCCAGATACTATAGAAGGGGAGAAATTCCTGCATTGACCAAGCCTGCATATCCCTGCCGTGAGCCAGGGACTGACAGCTGCTTGTTGAGTTCGGTAACGCAACTTCGGAATACTACGTATGCTCGTTTCCAACTGGTATTTCTTTATTTATATTTGAAAAATATTGTGGAGAATGTAAACTAAAGAGTTTTTTTACTCAAATTTTATTTTTGTTGAATACCACCGCATAAATATACGTGAGTGGCATTCACGATAACTACGAAAATTCCATTCAGCCAATCTGACATTGATTTCGGCAAATTTGACATTTATACTATATCGTCAAGTTAAATTTCGCATGCATTTCCGACCACTTGGTTTGTTTGCAAAGTAAGATGACGGTACAAAAATGAACTCGACACGCTCGAAAAAACACTTGTGGCGTCGTGTTGAAACAACCCATTCTTCATTATCATCCGCCACTTCCCAATCCACCGTTCGTTCGTCTTCAGATGAAGCAACCCGCATCCGTCATAAGCCGTGCTCGAGGTGTCAAGTTTTACCTGGTGCTTGGCGGGACAGCACCTTTCATCTTATGCAGCTCCATGATCTTCACGCTAGGCCCCCGTGTCCTCAAGACGACTGGAGGAGAATTACATGGCGTCCTGCGGCACAACAACGAGCCAGCCGAGGCAATTTCGGCCGTGCAATTTGAACATGATCCCCAGACCAAGACCAAATTTACAGTGCAGCCCAGTCGTGAAAGGCTAGTCATGGGCGAGGACTTCTACACGTCCGACTTCAGTGCGAACGACACGTCCACGACCATCATCTTCAACGTCTACCGGGGCGAGCCCGAGGCGTTGCATATTCAACTGGACGCGGCGCTCAACCAGGAGAACGTGGAGCCGCCCAACGTCTGGGTCACGTGCTTGAACTCGCCAAACCGACACCTGTACGAGGCCGTCGTGGAAACGTTCCGAGCCATGTACCCTGCCCAAAGCCACTGATCTTCACGGTGTCCGAGTTCAACCACAAGTTCCACGGACGCTTCCTGCTCGCGTACATGGCCACCACCAAGTACGTGCTGATCGTGGACGACGATAAGGCCATCGACTCCACGACTGTGTTCGACTACATTCAGTACATGAACATCAAGAAGGGTGTGTGGGGCAACAACGGCCACCTCCGTGCAGCGACGTTCGAGGGCTACAAGAGCTGGCCGACTGTGGGGTATGACCTCTCGACCACGGACATGGAGGAGCAGGACTACCTCTGCGGCATGTGGTTCCTGGAGCAGTCGTGGCTCGAGTACTTCATAAAGGAGCGGCCACCGTCCTGGGCGACGTCGGAAGACATGCACCTCTCGCATGTTATGAGGAAGTACCTGAACCTCAACACGTACGGCGGCAAGGTGGCTCTAAACGCCACCGCGTTGCCCGGGAAGGAGTACGCAGCGACGAAAGGCTCAGCGCTGGACATGCGCGATCGACCACCAGCTCGGCCGCGGCAACAAGGTGGCGAACGTGGAGCAGCCTCTCGACTCGCTTGTATACGCGGAGACGGTCGAAGACATCGAGACGTTCATCGCGAAGTTGGATGCCTGTCCTCTCATTATTAGAAGCTTCAGTGACTCTCCGTGGTGCAATGCCGGCGGAACGGCTGCGGTGTTCCGCGGTGCCAAGGAGCAGAACGTCAACGGTCTCATCGCCGCGGCTGAAAGGCTCTGCGCCAAAACTCAGTGCGAGTACTTCAGCGTCAAGCCCTGGATCAGCCACGGCATCAAATACTTCAACATGCGGGAAGGCTACGGCCAAGCCAACACGGGCGTCGAGATTCCGTTCCAGACGGGGGCGTCCGACGTATTGACGTCGCTCGTGGGCATTCTGAACAACGTGTTGCCCGAGACGTTGTTCGTCCCGGACGTGGCTTCGATGCGGTGGCCCAAGGTGACAGATGCTTCGAAGCGCAACCGTCTGCAGATCTACCACCGCACGGTGCTGTTGGCGGTGGACATCCACCGGAGCTCCAAGACGAACGGAAAATGGGACCACCGGGACGACGAGACAGAGCAGTTCCCGAGCGGGATGAAGACGCTCGTGCGGCGGAACGAGGAAGCTATACGCTACGAAAGCTATAGATAGGTTAGTGTCCATGTGGGCGGACGGAATAAATTACGTACTTCTTACCCGTTTTGCAATCTTCCCTCACCATAATGCCGGGGAACATAAGAACTTAATTCGTACTTAGTAGTTGCAAGTAAGTACGATTGACCGGCCGCCCTCTCAGCCGCACAGTCTCCTACAGCTCCGACACCTCTGGACAGACATGAGCGGCGGCGGCGAGTATCCGTACCCCAAGTACACGTGGTCCCCGGCCGGCGGCTGGTGGGCCAAGACCAAGAACTGGCAGCGCAAGACGGGCGTGGGGCTCGTCGTGCTGGCGGCGGCGGCGGCCCCGCTGGCGCTCTACTCGAGCTCGAACCACATCAAGTTCCCGGCCGAGGAGCGCCGCAAGCTCTAGAGGCGCTGAGAGGCTGCTACTACGTACGCGCCAGAAGATGAAGACGAAGGAAGGGCAGAACGACTGCAATGCAATTAATATGTGGGCGGGCCAACGAGCAGCGGGCAGCGCGGACGAGAAGAAGACGAAGAATCGACGACGGATGGAGAGGAGGGAGGGAACCACCGGAAAGTTCAAAGGGGAACTCGTACCTAGTGTACTCGTAGCCTTGAGGCTATAGGACTTCCTAGTCGTTCAGTTCTTCTAGTCCGCGAGTTGCTATGCTGTTAAGTTGCTGTTGCTCTTCTTTTCATATTGCTTGTTGTCGCTATTTGTTACGGAAAGATGCTGCTTTGAGGCAGGGGACAGCGGAACTTGTTGAGGACGTAGAGGTGGGTGCTGCAGCTAGACTCAAGAGGTTTTCATTATTTGCTAGTTTAGGGCCTTGCAATGGCGACGCATGTAGCAGAGAGACGGAGACGGCATGATCAAAATTCGTGATGGTTGAAGCCACGGCGAATTGGAGACAGGGAGGCGGCCGCTTCCGGTGGCGGTGCCGCTTGGTTAGCCGTGGGCAGGAGCTTGGGCAGCTTGAACCCCCATGCAGACTTGGGCTTCGGCTGCTTCTTTTTCCGGTACGCAGCCGACGTAATGCCGCCCGCGGTCGGTTCGTCATCCTCATATTCGCTCAGATACTCGGTACTCGTGTCGACGCTCGTATCGACAACTGTCTCGGGGTACATGTTGCGCTCGTCCTGGCGTCGATTGCTGTGGGGAGCCTCGTGATGGTCGTACTCATTGTACACATCGTCGTAGTCGTCCTGGTCTTTGCGGTAGTCATCGTCCTTGTTGTAGTCGCGACGGTCATTGCGGTAGTCATCATCCTTGTGGTGCTCATCGCCGTAGCTGTCGTCGCTGTGGTGATCATCTTGGCTATGACGGTCGTCATGGTCATCAGTGTTTCCACGTCCGCTGCCCACCATGTCATCCGTCGGCACCTCCCAGCTCACCTTACCCGATTCGTGAGCGTAGTAGTATGTCCCAGGGTAACCGCGACTCTCGTGCTTGGTCCAACCCGGGGGCAGCTTCTCGCCAGACTCGCGGTCGTCCGTCGAAGCAAGTGAGGCCGTGTCTTCTTCCGACGATCGATCGCTTCTGCGGCTCTTTTGTGCCGTCCTCGACGAGCCCGTGTCCGATCCCATGCTTCGAGTCGATCGGTTCCTCCTAGAATCCTCGTCGTCCGCGTCGTCTTCAGGTTCAGGCTGCTTCTTCGTAGACGGCTTTTTCTTCTGCTTTGCCTTCCACATGGCAAGAACGTCCGACACGTTGTCCAATGCCGGCGGCTCCTCCCGGACCTTCTCCTTGGACTTCTCGCGTGGTCTCTCCTGGGACTTCTCCCTGGGTCTTTCCTGAGGCTTTTCCTGCGGTTTCTCCCTTGGCCTCTCCTGCGGTCTCTCCTGAGGCTTCTCCTGAGGCTTCTCCTTGGGTTTTTCCTGGGTTTTTTCCTGGGGCTTCTCCTTGGGCTTCTCTGGGATTACTGGCGGCTGATCCAAAGGCTTACGCTGTCTCCTGCTCCTAATAGCAGCCATGGTCTCCTCTTCCTCGCCCTCGGACAGCTCCAAAAGGCTCGTGTTCTCGCGCCTGGACACTGCCCGCTGAATAACCTGCGCGAAGCCCATGTTTCGTCGAGTGCTTGTAGTCCCTGCCTTCTCCGCCCTCATCTGGTCCAGCTCCTGCTTCTGCTGTTCCAGCTTGGACTGGAAGTTGACCAGCACGTCCTCCATCCCCTCCAGCATGGCCAGCATATCGTCGGCAACGTCGTCCAGGTCCTCGGGCTTCACCTCCGGGAGCTCATCGGTGTTGCCGCTGTCCACTGCGCGCATCTTCTGCAGCAAGGTCTTGGCTTTGACGCGCAGGTTGCGCTTGATGTCAGCCTCCCTTTGCTGCGCCTCCTCCAGCTGCGCCACGCGGGCCTGCGCGTCCTGCAGATCGTGCACCGTCTGGAAGAACTGCTCGTCCTTCTTGGCGCTGAAGCGGTGGTTGCGGATCGCGTCCATCCAGAGCTCGGCCTCGGCGCCGTCGTCCACGTCGAGGTACAGCGGCCGCATCTTGGGGACGTCCCCGCTCGCCGTCTGCTCGGCCGTGGGGCGCGGCAGCTTGCCCGACACGCGGAAACAGTGGTCGCCCGCGCCGACCGCGCGCTGCAGGCAGTCGGCGTTGCGCTTGATGTCCGTAAGGTACTCGAGGTCGATGATGCCGCGCGGCGTCTCGTCCTCCTTGGAGTTGTAGTAGAAGAGGTACGTGAGCGGCTTGATGACGAAGTAGTACTCGTTCCACGCGCCCGGCTCGTTGTCCGCCTGCTTGCGCAGGAAGCCGCTGCGCGTGGCCTTGGCCGTGAGCGTCTCGGCGGCGCCCTCGGCCTCGATGGCGCTGAAGCGCACGTGCGGCCGCTTGACGCTGGGCTTGCCGCGGCTGCCGCGCTCGCGCTCGCCTCGGCCCGATCCGGGCGGGCGCGACTTGGATCGCAGCACCGTGTCCTGGCGGCGGCGCTCGCGCTCTCGGGAGCGCAGGTCCGGGTCGGAGCGCTCGCGCGTAGGCGAGTAGGACGGGCGCGCGTCGTCCTGCGGGCGCCGGCGCGGCGGCTCCCGGGACGGGGAGCGCGAGTGCCTGCGGTTCGGCCGCGACTGCGCGCGAGGCTGGCTGCGGTGCCGGCGCGCGCGGTGGCTGGGCTCGGGCGGCATGGCTGCGTCGTCGGAGCTCCTGTTGCGATGTGGTTGTCGCCGCAGTCGCCGGACCGAATGCTGCCTGCGTCCACATGGTGAAAGAGCGAGATTGCCGTCTATACGGAGCGCTGCTGCGCCCGACTGGGCCATATGCCAATCAAGTCAGGCGTTGCATTTCGCGGTTCGTAAGCGAACGAGTCAACCCAATCGTCAACACAGTCGGGCGCAGCAGCGAGGGGATTGAAGCGTGCCTCAGTTACAGCGAAGTCATGGCAAGCAACGACTCACGCTCGGCTTGGAGTCCGAGCTGGACGCCATGACGGGGGCGAACCACGACCTCCACGCGTGCTGTCAACTTGACGGCGCCCCGCTCATATTGCAGCGCCGGCGCCGTATCTGTCGCTCTCTGCTGCCGCTGCTCGTACCGATGTGCGTTCGTCTGCGCTGCAGCTTGCTAAGCCGCGATACTACTCTGCAGGCGCTCTGCGCGCCAGTCTGTTTCGGAACGCGTGGCTGCAAGGCGCGCGCTGTCATCGGAAAGGTGCTTGACAAGACGTTTGGGTGTGCGAGGGTGACGCCTGCAAGTACATGTGCAGGCAGCAGGCCGGTCCAGGGTCTCGCTCAACACCACCCCATCGTCGACTCGCTGGAGATAGAGCTGTACGGAAAGCTCACATGTACATGTATCTCTCTTCAGGGGTCTTTAACTATCGCGGATTCAAAGTGCGTAGTTTGCGATCTTCGGGCATACCACGGGGAGAACGCTTTAAGTATCAACCTATCAACCTTGGCAGCTAATTGCATTATGCTTGCTCTTGTGCCTCGCTGCAATAGTGCACGCTGGCCCCGACGAAAGAGATCTTCTGGAGCCGCTGAAGTCAAGGTTGCCCGGTGTTTGCCCTCCCTCTCAGCAGTCATAATGTACCGTCTGGAAACGGGGAAGCAAAACCCCGTTTTTGGCGCCAACCTACTTTTTTGCGCTTCAAATTTGAAGTTTGAAGCGCTCCGGCTTGGGCTGCTCGGACTGAGCTTGTCACCGCGCATTGCCCAACCACGTCAGATCGCAGCGGCAACGGCAAGTCGACAATACGCCAAGCCAACGCGCCAAACATGCCCCCACCTTCACCCCGTCTTGGAACTTCTAAGCTGGAAGGCGGTCTCGGGTGAGAAGCGCTGCTGATCTGGCGCCGTCTTGGTGAGTTTGTAATCGTCGGCGGACGGCGTCGGACTGTGAGCACAAGCTGATCCTGCTCCAGACGATCTGATCGACTCGATCTCAATGCTTCAATGCTCAGCTGCGGTCTCGGGTTGGAGTTTAGAACCGATGGGGAGACGATCAACACTTTGCGCGCGTCGATCACTTTTTGCATTAGCGAAAGCAGAACGAAGCGCTGCTACTGTACATGCACTGTACGGCCACCGTGACGGCGCGATGGAGCACTCAAGCGCGGCTGCTTGACGTGATAGTACCGTACAACGTGTGAATGATCACAGTTGTAAGTGTTCCAAAAGGTAACGAGTAAGGTTACACCTTTGTCGACATCAACGCTCACCAGGACGAGGCGACCAAGGAGCAGACCATGGTATCAGCTAGTGTACACTTCTGTATTAACGGTGCGAAACGATATAAACTATAAAAACGTTGGCGACGGCGCTCGGCCTACTGCTTCGCGCCTCTGTCCACGATAAGTAAGGGGTATGCCTGGAACTATTCCTCCTGTGGGCAAATGGAGGCCTCACATGTGCAGCCCCAGATAGAACATCTGCCGCTCGTGCTCCTTCTCGAACTTCTCCACCACCGTCTTCACGAGCTCCTCCGTGAGCTCGTCGGACGGGACGTTCAGCTCGCGACAGAGGTCGAGTACGCGCGCGCCCCCCGTCAATGCCTCCTCGGGTGTGTCCTCTGTGTCGAGGCAGATGATGTGGAGCTGCTTGGTCTTGAAACTTAGTCGAATCCGCATCTGAATGTCTGCAAACACGCACAACTCGCACGTGGGTTAGCGGACCGTAGACATGGATAAATAATGAGACGGCGCACCCAGCTCAGATCGGCCAGCCCACCTTCCAACACGGTGAGGAACATGACGTAGTCCAGGCACACGACCACGTCGATGTCCAGGAGCTGCTTGTTGCTGAGGCTCTGCCAGCGCTCGGGCGCCTTCTTGATGGGCATGTCCCGCTCCAGGATCTGCAGCACGCCGTTGCCCGAGAACAGCGCGGCGTCCTCCTTCTCCAGGATGCTGTGCATGTCGGCGTAGGGCGTGAGGAACTTGAATGTGCGCGCGTCCGAGCTCGTCTTGCCGGGGAACGTCACCTGCCTCCCGGCGCCGTAGGAGCAGACGCGCAGCCCCGCGGCGCTGAGACTCTCGTGGGCGGCGGCGCTGCGGTTCACGTTGTTGGCGCACACCATGGCGAACATGGGGCGGCGGGGCTCGGGGCTCTGCATGCTGTTATTGCTGCTGCTCTTCTTGCTCTTCTTGGGCTTGCGTTCCTTGCGGCCGAACAGGAAATGAAGCATTGCGGGAACTTCAAACTCGAGGCGCTCCCCTAGCAGTAAAAGGGCCGCGCTCAGGCGACAGCTTGTCGCACTGTAAAACGAGCGAGGGGCAGGGGCTGGCTTACTGTGGGCGCCGCCGTGGAGCTGTCTCTGTCTCCGACGGTTGGCGTCGCTGCTGCTTGCTTGGCCGAGGAGACCTCGCGCGCTCCGCTGGTGCCGTCGCTGTGTAATCGACCCGAGATCGAGGCCCACGTCGGGCTCGTCGCGCCGAGGCTGCCGAATTGAAAGTGGCGGGCGACGGGGAGCGCCTCCGCCAGCCTTTCAAGCAAATATCGAACTTTGCCACGGATACAGTGGAGGGCCTGCTACACTCGCCATCGGCGCTGCGGTTGAAGGCTCAAGGACAAGAGGGCTCATGCATGGATAGCAGCTACAGTAGTCACGCCACGCTCGACAAGATGGGGGCTTCCATTCAATTCAACTCAATCAATGCCTACGATTTCTTGGGCCTGCAATCACTGCACTGCAACTTCAACTTGCACCCTTTCCTGCGCAATGGCCCATTTACGGCAGCTCCTGGGCCGGGGGCTGGTCGGGCAGCTCGCTCTGCTGCTTGGCGCCGTGTGCCTTGGCGTGCTCCTCGGCGACGCCGAAGGGCGTGCCCTTCCAGGCCTTCTCGAAGTCCTCCACCGACCCCGACGTCACCTTGTGCGCGTGGGTGCCCTCGTCCTGCTCCGACGCGCGCTTCCACGTCGACTCGAGCGCGCAGGTGCCAATCTGGCGTCTGTGCTGCGCCTTCACCCGCCCCGCCGAGTCCTCGTAGCGGCGGCGCGTGCTGTTCACGCGGCGGCCGTTGTCGTCCGCGGTCAGACACGTGCTGTACGCGTACGTGAAGAAGGAATAGCCGTCCTTGGTCTTGGAATCGGGCGGCGAGAGGTTCGAAGGCATTTGGGTGTCCATGAGCTTCGCACCGACGGGCAGGTCGCCGAAGAAGTTGCTAGTCATCAGCTTCTGCTGCTCGGCAGCAGGCAAGTCCTCCGTCTCCATCTCTTCCTCCTCATCCGCTCCCTCCTTGTCTTCTTGCTCGGCCGTTCCTGCCATCGGCTCGTCCTCCTGCTGGCGCCGGCGGGGGAAGATCAGTAGACGCGTCGACGGATAATCTTCGCCAAAGCCTCGCATGAACTCCTCCTCGTCGGCCAGCGAGTCCAGCCACGAGAACGGCGACACCAGATCCCAGTTCGAGCGGAGCATCTCGACCACCGCTTGCTTGCCCCGGCGCTTTTCGGCGACTGAGCGATGCCCGGCAATATGCTTCTCGAGACCTGAGACCCGACGCCGGTAGCTTCAATGCTGGCCACTTTGCAGTGGGTTGACAATGCTAGGACCTGGCAGTTGGAACGAGAGATCCGCGGTGAGACGTCTTTGACGCAACAATGCCAGCATTTTTCACCATGATACATTTGCAGTTACGTAGCGTCCTGGGCCAGCTATCACCCTGCTTTCCTAACATCGACTGGGGTCATCATGACGCTGGTGCAAATTGACGCGGCTTGGGACGCCACTGCACGGCGCCCTTAGTCACTGGACGGATGAGCTTCACGATCGGACCATCCAAAAGGCTTTCCTCGTCTGGAAGATACAACACCATCGTGTTGTCCACGCCCAGAGTCGCCCACAGCTTCTGCCCAGACGCGATAATCTGCACGAGGTGCATCTTCTTCTCCTTGTCCCATTGCAGCACGCGCGCACGTTGCCATTCGTCCTGTGCCTTTGCTAAATAGTCCACGATAGCTCCGACCACGTGCCTCCCTTGAGGGAACTCAGGCAGACCCAATCTTCTGTCGCCCTTGGAAACAGCAGGAGGAGGGAAAGCTATCGGTCGCTGCGTGCTCATGCCCTGAACCACCATGGCAGGCGGCGCATACGCATTAGCTGATATCTTCGCCCCCACGAAGGTCTTGCGGTCGATGTCCCTCGGTGGAGCAGGCGCCGCCGAAAAGGGCGCTGGCCCAAAGTGCAGCGTTGCCGTAGCCCCCAGCAGCTGCTGCTTGCAGTGCAGATAGGGCGTCGACTCGAGCACGAACGCGTAGCGCTCGGCGTCGGTGTAGTGTGGCGTATCAAATTCCTCCTCGTCGAAGTCCTCGTCGATGGAATATTCGCTCATGATCTCCTCCACGAGGTCTTCGTCGCTGATCCAGCGCTTGGCTCCGGGGATGCGCGACGTCGGCAAGTGCTTGTCGCAGTACACTCCGAGCAAGTTGCCTTCGTTGCCGATCATGAGTCCGGCGTCGGCCGCGCACTGCGGGTGCACGCCCACATTGCAGTTCTCCGCCTCGCAGATGACGGAGGCGCCTCCACGCTTGCGGCAGATAGCGCACAGGTACCTGAATCTTCCGTTCTCGATCTCCTCGAAGCCGTCCACCGGTTCCATGCTCGGGACGTCGCGCATGACGAGCTCCGGGATGGCCAGAGCACAGAGCACATGCACCCACTTCTGTTCGTCACTGGCCGCCGACTCCGACATGGCCAGCGGCTTGAGCGGCCCGCCGTACTGCATGCAGACCGCGCACATGAGCTGCTTGCCGAGCAGACACGACGGACAGCGCCACGGGCCGTCGTCCTGCTCCCTCATGACGACGCCGAAGCACTCCTCGTGGATCCTGACGGAACACGCGTCGTTGCCGCAGTACAGCACGCGGCCGCAGGACCAGAGGCCCTCGCACACGCTGCAGTTCTCCTTGGGCACGAAGTGCGGCACGTAGCAGTCGTCCACGTACTGGCGAAGCTGGCGCAGCAGCTCGTCGTCGGCCTGGTCCAGACGGAAGCCGCACTGCAGCTGGATGGCGTCGGCCTCCTCCTTGTGAGGCAAGCTGTGTCCCTGTTGCTGCTGCTGCGCGTCCCAGGGCAGCACGCGCTGCTCGCGCGGCAGCAGCTCGCGCATCTCGAGCACCTTGACGTAGTTGCGGATGAGCAGCAGCACGCCCGGCAGGTCGGGCGGCGCCAGGTTGGAGATGTCCACGGCTAGCTGCCGCCGCTGGTCCCACGTCGGGTGCGTCGGGAACGCGCGGTTCGCGCTGGACGACGCGGCGTCGCTCTCGCCGTAGTACAGCTCGTCCGCCATGGTAAGTTGGTGCCTCGGTGGTTCTCAAATGGAGGCGCCGCGTCTATGCGCGTGGTGTGCGTGCACACCAACTCAGAGTATGCTCTAGGCCGTTTGCGAGGTTTAGTTTTTTGCAATCGAGCCAGAGGGGGGAGAGACCATCGGACCTGGGCAGGGCAGGAAGGAGCTCGAGGACACTCGGCAATATCCAGCGCTACGTGACGACTCGACCCGACCCGACTCGCGCGCAGTGGCGTCAGGTCCAGCAGAGTGCAGTGCAGGGCGGAAGAAGCCAAGCTACCAAGCCGCGACCCCACGAAAAAGTGCACATTGCCTGCCGTTGGAGCAGCAGCTAGCGCGTCCAGTCCATCGCCGCGTCGTAGTGAGCTGAGACTCGCCGTTTCGCCACACCAGTTCGTAACCTACTACGTGCAGGGCACACGTCCGTCCGTCCCGCTCGTTTTACCCGCCCTAGCACCCCCTAGTTAAGCCTAGGCGAGGCTAGAGACAGCAAGTAGCATGAGCTCTCCCGACGCACCGGCGTCCGAGGGTGCGCTGGCCAAGGAGCTGAACGCGCTCGTGGCCAGCACCAACTTCGACGACAAGATCTGCCTCGAAGACTTCACGCTCATCCGCGTAATCGGCAAGGGCTCCTTCGGCAAGGTCACGCTCGTGCGCAAGAAGAACAACAGCAAGGTCTTCGCCATGAAGATCCTGACCAAGTCCCATCTGCTTAAGCGCAAGCAGGTGGAGCACACCAAGACGGAGCGCCGCGTGCTCAGCGTGGCCAGCCACCCGTTCATCGTGGGGCTGCACTACGCCTTCCAGACCGAGGCCAAGCTCTACTTCGTGCTGGACTACTGCCCCGGAGGCGAGCTCTTCTTCCACCTCTCGCGCATGGGCAAGTTCGACGAGGACATGGCGCGCTTCTACGCTGCGGAGCTCGTGGTGGCGCTCGAGCACCTGCACTCGCTCGGCGTCGTCTACCGCGACCTCAAGCCTGAGAACATTCTGCTGGACGAGTTGGGACACATCAAGCTGGCGGACTTTGGACTGGCCAAGGACGAGGTCACGGAGATCGACAGCGGCGCCACGTCGCTGTGTGGCACGCCCGAGTATCTGGCTCCGGAGGTGCTGGCGCGCAAGGGACACGGCACAGCAGTGGACTGGTGGGGGCTCGGCATGGTGCTGTACGAGATGCTGACGGGCCTGCCGCCTTGGTACACGCGCAACCGGCAAGAGCTGTTCGCGCGCATCCGTGAGGCGCCGCTGGAGATCCCCAACTACCTAAGCCGCGACGCGGCCTCGCTTATCCAGTCGCTGCTGCACCGCGAGCCCGAGAAGCGTCTGGGCAGTCGCGGCGCAGGCGACGTGAAGGCACACCGCTTCTTCCGCACTGTGGACTGGGACGGTCTGCTGTGGGCCGAGCCGCCGTTCAAGCCGTCGGACCCGCAGTCGAAGGAGGAGGGCGACACGTCCAATTTCGACAGGGAGTTCACGGAGCTGCCCGTAAGCGGCACCCCACTGAGCAGATCTGCAGGCGGCTCGGGCCTGCCCAAGAGCATGTTCACAGGCTTTACATACGAGGCACCGACACTTTCGTACGGATCCAACACATCGCAGTCGAAGGTCGATGTGTCCTCCACCCCGTATATTTAGGTCAAGCGAAGCGAGAAGCTGTCGCTGCTGCTAAGGCCGTCGCTGGTGGGCTTGCGAGCGCTTCGGATGGCGAGATGGACGGGCACTGTGCATGTTGTGTATGCGGATATGTGCGCGTTCTACCAAAAGCACTCGGATCCCCAGCTGCTGGCTAGAGAAGGAGTTCATGAAGCTATCGAAGGACAAGCAGGCAGGCGGGGCCGAACAGCGAGCGAAGCTGCAGCAGGAAGTACAGAGGTAGGTAGCTATATAGCGCGTTTTTGGATTGAGCTGGCCGGCGCGTCACCTCCCTCCCCCGGTGGCGTTAGCCATGAAGTCGGCAGGCAGGATGTCCCCTTGATAATAGAGCGTTTAGAAGAATGCAAGTTGACGCACATACTCATGCCCCAAGTCCTTGTTGAACTCTTTTTCGACGTTGCCGCCATACAAACATCAAGCCAGTGATTGGTTGGCAGGTGCTCAAACTGAACAGACCCCGATCAAGATGGCTGCGACTGCTCCTTCCTTCGATGGCTGCGGCGTGCGCGTGGCGCAGAACCCCGTCAAGGGCAAGGTCGTCTTCAGCGAACGCGCCTTCCAGCCTGGCCAGGTGATCTTCAGCGAGCAGGCGTTCGTGGCGGCTCCGTGGAGCACGGACCTATGTGGAGGATGCGAAGAGCTCCGTTCGGCCGCCACTGGCGCCCCCAGCAGCGCGACGATGGACTCCCGCCATCGCTGCCATTGCGAGCGCACGGGCGCGCCCAAGATTATGTACTCGCCGCGGCTGCAGGACAACGTGGGACGGCGTAATGTCGTGGTGAGCATCATGAAGAGCGTCGACGGCATCGAGGAGGTGGACCGCGCGCGCTGCATCCTCAAGTGCTTGGCCTTGTACGAGCGCGACGCACGCTCGCTGGACGAAGTGCTGGGCTTGACCTGCGCCGGGCAGCAGCGAGCTATGAGCGCGGCCTTGCAACTGCGTCGGCAGTTGCCCGACATCTTCCCCGCGGGCTTCTCGGACGAGCAGATGGCCACGCTCATCGGCGTGTTGAACACCAACTCGCACGAGCTCGAGAACCTGGGAGGCTCGGGGCTGTTCCTGTCGGCCTGCCGCATGGAGCACAGCTGCCTGCCCAACTGCAGCTTCACGACGTTTGACTCCACGCTGTGGATGACGGCGATCCGCCCCATCGCGCCTGGCGACGCGCTGTCCATCGACTACGGCAACTTCTTCTACCGCCCCACGCCTGAGCGCCAGGAGTCTCTGCTCGAGTCGTACGGGTTTGTCTGCACGTGCGAAGCGTGCGTCTCGATGCCGGACCCCACGCGTGCCGTCCGCTGCTTGTCGGGGAACTGCCCGCAGGGCGTCATGCTGCCGTGCCCCATTCGGACCAACGCCCCCAGCAGCAGCATTGGACCGAACCAACTGCAGTTCGAGTGGCGCTGTCAGACGTGCGGCAAGGTCGCTGACGCCGCGGAGCACACGCGGATCTTGGCGGCGGAGCAGGATCTGATGGAGAACGGGTTCCCCGAAAGCCTGGAGGAGGTGGACGCTGTGGTACGCCGCGGCGTGCTGCACGAGCGTCACTATCTGCTGTTCTGGGCGCTGGACAACATCGGCTGCGAGGCCGCCGCCACCACCGCCTTCCAGGCAGAGGCGCAGATGGCGCAGCACCGCCGCGCGCTGGCGCAGGTCTGGGAGCGCATCATCGCGTACATGAACGTTGTGGTGCCGACGGCCCACCACGAGAAGACCATCTACTACGACAACTTGGCGCAGGTTCAGGTGGTGCTCGGGGATCTCGGCGCTGCCAGCCAAGCTTACGCGCGCGCGTACGAGATTTCGTGCGTGGTCAGCGGCACTGACTGCTCGCCGACGCGCAAGCTGCAGCGCCTGATGGAGAAGCCCCCGCAGACGGCGGAGGAGCTGCGGCAGATGTATGCGGCGGAGGCCCAGCACCGCCGACGCCCTGTGAGCGAGGCCGACGATGAAGACATGAGCGACTGACTGCCGTAGTGGTGAAAGACACAAGATAGATTTTTGGGTAGGAAGCAGAGGCCTCGCATTGTTAATAGCATCCCTGCACTGAGGCGGATTCTTGCAGTGGCAGCCTCCCGTAGATGAAAACAGCGGGGCTGAAGATGAGCAACACTCACTCCTCCTTATGTGTCGCTTCAACTCACAAGATACAAAGCTGTCAGATCCCACAATCATTGTGCATTGTGGCACAAAGCAATTGAGCCCATGCGGCGATTCTCTCTGGAGTACAGGCTGCTGCATACAGGAACTGTTTTCATTCTTACTACTACTAGTACCCCTGAAGATACGTACGTATGCCGCTGCACCAGTCCTCGCTACGACGGTCTCCATTCGAAAGGACAGCGACCTTCGGGGTCTACCGTCGTCGCGAGGATACATCGACGTAGACGTCTCTGCCGATGGTGGAGCCGCTGAGCTCCTTGAGCTCCTTCGCTCGAAGCCGGCACCACTGGTGGTGTGCTGCTGGCCGGCCCGCCGTCCTGGCGGTGCAGCAACGATGACTCAGCGCCGCCGCGCGTCAAAGTGAACAAGTCCAGACAAGTTCAGTCGAGCTGAAGGCGTCGCCACGTCGAGCGGCTTCGCTTTCGGTGTGCGACAAGCGATGCCCCTCTCTTCAAGGGACAATGCTGTCCCTACAGCAAGGGGCCGGCACGCTGTGCCCCTGGAGCAGACGCCGCAGTTGATCCCTTCGCGGCAACAGCAACAGCGACTCGAACAGGCAGCTCGGCGAGCTCTCGCTGCCCGCGTCTGCTCCGGATGGGAGTGCCGCACCCACTTTGCAGGCCCACGCTCGACCAGGTTGATTCAAGCCCGCGACAGCAAGCCCGAGATTTGAGGCGGGAGGGAACAGTAGACCATGCTGCAGCCCAACGCCATGCTGCCGTCCTTGTCGTCCAAGGCGACAGAGCTCACAGTCAAGTTGTCGCCAGGCTTACTTGCGATGAGAAGACCTCCAGCGCGCGAGCGAGCGGAGGCTCCGTGCAGCCAAGAAGGCGGCGGCAGCGAGCGAGCAGATTCACTCGAGCACGTCGATGTGCGTCTGTCGACCGACAGACTCGGAAGAGGTGTCGCAACGGACCGCATACTGAGCCCAGGTCACTTTATGGAAAAAACCATATGGATACGCGCATCTGGTTTCAGAGGTTTTTACACAGCCTCTCATTACCTGAACGCCAATGTCGATACCGTCGTGCTATACAGGCAATGTGTTGTCGAAGGTGATGGCCCCTCTCCGTCGCCCCGTCGCTGCAGTGATGAAGTGCCACTCTGTCACTATCCTCCCCCGCTTTACGCTTTCGCCTTGCGGCTGCTATGACATCATTTCGATATCGGCGCCCAGAGGATCACAGGACCAGGCGCCATGTGGCTGTTCGCGGCCATCAGCCTCGCGATCGCGACGCCGTGCTTCCGCGCGTGGCTCGAGGCGCTGTTCGCCGAGCTGTCCATCATCTTCTTCACGTACCTGCGGCTGGTGTCGGCCGGCCTGAGCCTCGTGCTGCTGCTGGCGCTGGCCTTCCACGGCCGCCGCTTCCTGCGCAGTCGTCGGGTCGCCAAGGCGCCGCGAGCGGGCGGCAGCGGCAGCCAAGCGGCGGATGAGGGATCCAAGGCGTCGCTGTCGGCCAAGACGGGCCTGGCGCGCGTCCACTGGCGGCGCGGCACCAGGCGCCGCGCGCTCATGCTGCGCGTCAAGAGCACGACCAGCGAGATCGCGGGCAGCGGCTTCTACCCGCCGCAGCTCTGGACCTCGTCGCTCTTCGCGCTGGCCATGCTGCCCATTATCAACAGCGTCGTGGTCGGGGGCGGAGGCGGCTCGAGTCTGCGCGGACTCAAGAGCGAGACGGCGGCCGCCGCCCAAACGGCTTTCGACGCCGACGCGGCGGCACTCGTGACGCTGCAGCAGCAGCTGACGACCTGCAAGTACTCGGGAGGCGACGACTGTCTTGACGACGTGACTGCCATCTCTGTGCTGGGGAGCTATCAGCAGGCGAGTGGATACTGCGTGGCCTTTGACGCGGCCTATGTGAATGTGACGACGGGGGCGGCACTACCGGCCCAGTACTTCCCCATCGGGGTGGAGGAGGCCCACGCCCAGGGCTTTGCCAACAACTTCTCGGCGTGGTCCGAGACCAACCAGGAGAAGTTCAAGACGGACTGCCCCCTGCTGTTCAACGAGACGGTGAGTGGAGACGGAGAGGGGCTGCTGTGCTGTACCGAGACGCAGTACGAGATGCTGAGCCTGCAGGTCCGGAAGCTGCCTGGAGAGTGCACGTCCTGCAAGCAGAACCTGCGCAACCTGTGGTGCCAGTTCACGTGCCATCCGAGCAACAGCCTGTTCGTGGACGTGACGCAGGTGCGGCTTATGGAGGGAGACGCGGACCACGCGGACGAGGTCTTCCCCGCCATCGAGGAGGCCACCTACTACGTGGGCAGTGACATGGTGCGCGACCTGCACGACTTTTGTGAGGCCGACTCGGGCTTCATGCCGCTGTTGTGCGGGATGAATGCCGATGGTAATTGCTCGACGACAGGCTCGGACATGTTGGGGTACCTTGGAGCGTACAGCTTTGACGGTGTGGGATCGCCCTCGCAGGTGATCTTCACTACGATGGAGCAGCTGTCAGCGGCTGAGCAGGAGGACAAGATCTGTGCCTGTGACAGCAGCAACACGACTGGCTGCTTTTCGCCGATGGATACGCGGCTTGAGTCGTGCGTGGATACGTGTGGCTCGCTCTGTGCTGTGAGTGATGATGACAGCCGGCAGTATCAGGCGGCTTGCTACAGTTCCGGCAGTACGTCGGCATCCGACGATTTGAGCACTGTCACTACAGCCACGACCAGCACCAGCGCTGCTGATAAGCTTGAGTCTTTACTGTCGGATTTGTCGTCCCGTGCGGAGGGTGGTAGTTTTGCCGTGCTAAACTATGTCCTTGCTGTTCTCGCATTCTTTGGCGCCACAGCGCTTGCGCTCGGCTTCGCGTACTCGACGCGGTACGGCAGGAAGAAGCGCCAGTCTGTGCTGGACGACCCTGTTAACGGTTTGGGATCTGGAATGCTGTCACTCGTGAATTTGGATCAGTTGAAGGGAATCGGACGTTGGGATGACCGGCTGACGATGCACTTGAAACGCTGGGGAGATTTCGTGGCCATGGGGAACCACCCGTTGTACATTATTCTACTGTCGTTGATGGTTGTCGTTTGCTGCTCGAGTGGGTTGATCCGCATGGAAGTGGAGACGGACTCCATGAAGCTGTGGGTTTCCGGTAGGAGCTCTGTTTTTCAGGAGAGGACGCGCTTCGGCGAGATGCTTGGGCCAGTGGATCGTATGGAACGACTGGTCCTTGTCACTAAGGACGGCGGCGCAGTGACCAGACCAGCGTATATCAAGGAGGCGATCCGCTTGCAGCAAGTCATTGGAAGCGAGGTTGCCGCTGACAGTATTACACTGAGTGAGATCTGCGTCAAAGACGCCTCGAGCTCTCCATGCCAGGTGAATTCCGTAACGCAGTACTTCCAGAACAGCATGGATCACTTCAACATGTACGATGCGTATGGGCTCGTAGGCAAGCACTTGAGCAACTGCGCTAATGCTCCGGAACGAGCGGACGGTAATGTGTGCAGTGAGCTGCAAGTGCAACTCAATGCCTCGGGTGCTTCGCTTCCGACGAGTATGAGCGGCTGCCCTTGTGCGTCGTCGTTTGGGGTGCCGATGGCTGAGCTGGAGAAGTACCTGGGCGGATTGAGTACTGACGGTGGATCATTGAATGCCAGTGCTTATCTGGAGCAAGCGACAACTCTCTTTTCAACTGCCATGGTGACTAACCACCAGGATGGTGCTAAGAACGCAGATGCAATCGCTTGGGAACGCGCGTATATCGCGCGGATGGAGAAAGAATCGGATACCAACACGATGTATGATATCTATTATGCTGCAGAGGTGTCTGCTGACGACGAGTTCGTGGCTGCTTCCAACTTGGACATCGTCTTCAAGGCTGGAATTGCAGGCTTTCTCTTTATGTTTGTTTACGTGGTCATTGGACTGAACCACTGGAAGCTGGACTACCGCTTCTTCCATTCGTCAAAGATCGGTGTGGGTTTCATGGGCGTTGCGTGCATCCTGATGGCCGTGGGCGGGACCTTGGGTATCTTTGCGTGGACTGGAGTAAAGCTTCAGATCGTGACGCTCGTTGTGATGCCGGTGGTTGTACTTGCGATCGGCACTGGAAACATCTTCCTGATCCTGCATGCCGTCGACCTGAAGCAAGAAGAGTTGAAGATGGAGCAGCGCTCACTGTTTGTGGGTCTTGAAGACAACGATTTCGGTATTCATGAGATCACGTGTGTGCTGCTGTGCGAGGCAACGGGTTATATCGGCCCCAGCATGATCGCGACGTGCGTATGCGAGTGCTGTATCGTTGCTTTTGCAGCATATTCGACCATGCCAGCTGCACAGTGGCTCGCTGGATCGTTGGTGCTTGGGCTCGCAGCCAGTTTTGCTTTGCAAATGACCTTGTTCCTCGCCATCGTAGCGCTGGACAAGCGTCGTGAGCTCAGCGGCACGTACGATGTGATCTGCTGTAAGCGGGCATCGTTCGCTCGCCGCCCTCGCCTCTCCGAAGACGAGACGACTGCTGCGACCGAAAACTCGTCGTTCCCTGGAAGCACTATTTCACTGCCCGACTTGAACTTGATGAACCGATGCGTTGCTGGATACATCCATGTGCTGCTCAAGAAGGTGTCGAAGGTGTTGGTGCTCCTCGTGTTTGCCGCGTGTACTCTGGCGGCGATTGTCTCCATCGAGGCAATGGATCGCGGTCTTTCACCGAACTCGTTCATCCCGACGAACTCGTATCTGCACGCATACTACCGTGCAGTGGACGAAAATGACTTGTCGACGAAGGAGTTCCCTGCCTATTTCGTTGTTGAAGCTGGCTACGGAAGCAACCCTACCGGATTCAACGATCTCGCCAACGATGCGGAAGCTCAATGCAAACTGTGCTCGTCGAAGGAGTTCTGCGACGACTTGTCGATCCCGAATATTCTCAGTGCGTTGGTTGCCGCTGGGGAAAGCAACGTCACGTTTTTCAAGGACGGCACTGTTGTTGGATCATGGTTGGACGACTTCTGGAGCTTTGTTGACCCAGCCAGTGAGTGCTGCCGCGTCGATGCGGAGAACGACTACTCGTATTACGCTATTCTACCGGAAGAGAGCAGCGCTGAATATGTGCTCAAGCGCGCGTCCAACGCGCCATCGTGTCTCGCTGACTCAAGTGCGGTGCTCTCAGTGCCCGATGAATCGTTCATGTCGTTGTTCAGCATGTTCTCGACTGCGGCTGCTGGACCCTTGTGCTCGTACGCAGCAGGCACGCGCTACCATGGACAGCTCAGCGTTGATAGCCAACCTATTCCTGCCATGAGCAGTAGTGCTGCTGCGGGCGTGACTCTCAATGGCACTGGCTACGGCAGTGATGTGACGGCGTTTGTGTACAAGGTTCTGAGCACTACAGTCGGCTCGTCAAAGATTTCAGGAAGCCAAGAAGGAGCAATCGCAGCCTACTCGCAAGCTCAGCACATTGCCAAGTGGATCAGCGAGGAAACTGGCATCGATGTGTGGGCGTACTCCCCCGAGTACGTTTATCTGGATCAGTTCCACTCGGTTCGTCGTACTGCGTACATTGTGGTGGGTGTCGGACTCGCAGTGGTGTTCGTGCTGCAGAGTTTGGCTCTGGGGAGTTACTGGTATGGATTTGCGGTGACTTGTGTCGCTGCAGCCACGGTTGTCCAAGTCGCTGGCCTCATGATGCCGATGGGGGTCCCAATCAACTCGCTTTCGATTGTGAGCCTCTCGATCGCCGTCACCTTTTCCGTCGGATTCTCGGGGCATTTTGCTCGTCTTTTTGCCAAGGCTCGCACCATCACTGACGACTTGGGCTACTCACCTGGCGGCGATGCCTGCGTTCGGAAGGTGTTGGCGCAGCTTCTCGCGTCGTGGACGTTGGGCGTCGCCGTCTCCAAGTTCGTTGCCATCGCAGCGCTCGCGCTTGTCGCCACGCCCGTCTTCGAACCCGCTGGGAACTGTTTCTTCCGGACGCTGATGGCTGCAGCGGTGTGCGCGTGGCTGAACAGCGCCGTGCTGCTTCCCGTCGGGCTCAGCATTTGTGTGGATGCCACGGAAGGCCGCGTGCGTGACGTGAAGCCGACGAATGAAGAGGGCGGGGAGTACTCGCGTGAGAGCCCTTCGTCGTCATACCACACTGCGCCGCCGACTAGCAAGTACTGATGGGCTGGCTGGCTATCCGACCGCTCACTAGCACTCGGTATGCATGTATATGAACCACAAGACGACAAAACACGAGAAAAAAGCGACGAAGACGCTGGAGATGATCCCGAATGAACAAGAAGCCCATGTGTACACTTCTGCTATGGGCAAGCAGCAAAAGGACAAACAAAAGCCGGAGATTGCAACAGCGCATGAATGTATTTTATATTTTCATTTCCTGAGGGCTTGCCCCCCCGTCCCCTTTGCGTCCACTGCTTCGAGTCGGGGTTTCCTGCCTTGGTCGCGAATGGCGAGTATTTCGGCCCCGGAAGCTACAGGTAAGTCCTCTCCAAAATAGTTGTGCCAGCACCACTTCAACGTTGTCCCCATTTAGGCTGAAGGAGCTGGCGCTGCTGCGGTTGAGCGGTCGAACAACCTGAAGGTGTCCAGGCGACGGCGTGCTTCCTCTCGCGACCATGAGCAACGCGCCTACGGCGGGGGGCGCCATGTCCAACATGTTCAGTCCTCGCAGTACGAATGGGAACAACCGGTATCACCTGGCCAGCGGTGGAGCTCGTACGCCGCGTGTGTTTCCGCCAGATGTGCAGAGTATCCCGCTGAGTCCGTCGCGGCTCGAGAGCCCGATGTTTCGAGAGCGGGTGACGGCGCTGATGCAGCAAGGCGACACGTACGCGAAGCGGCTGGACAGCGAGCGTCGTCGGTCCCATGACCTGGATCTAGCGCTGCGCACCCTGCGAGTCGAGCACTTCCAAGCGCGCAAGGCGCTGTGTGACGCCACGAACGCCCAGCTCTGCGCTGCTACGACAGAGCTGAAGCCGATTCGGACGCTCGAGAACCGCCTGGACAAAGTGCTCACGCGCTACAACGAGGTCTGCAACGCGAACAAGGCGCTGCGCGAGCAGATCCAGGCCTTGCGCCGTGAAAAGGTGCAGCAGGCTGCAGTGCTCGACAAGCTCGAGCGGGAGACTGCGCAGGCCCAGGCGGAGGCTGCTCAAGTCGCGCAGGCGTCGCAGGCAGCAGGTGACGCTCGAGATCGAGCCAACCGACAGAGTGAGGCGCTGCGCAACCAGGTCGCGGAGGACGGCAACGAGTTCGAGTCCGGGTGGTTTGAGAAGACTGGACAACTCGCGGAGGACCGGGCAATGATCCGTGATATTCCACGACTGCGTACGCCGAAGAGTCCTTCGCGACCGCACTTCATCAACAACGCAACACCAGGAAGCATCAGCTCCCCACTGCCCAGCAACACGTCCGGTCGGTCTCTGCCTGGTGGCTTCAAGTTGCTGTCGACGCCCGACATCAAGCTGCGCGACGAGACGCAGAAGAATGAGCGGCTGCTCCACGAGAAAGCCAACGACTTGCAGAAGCAGAGCGAGCGGCTGCGGATAGCTCAAGACGGTCTGGCCAAGATCAAGCGCAAGACTGGGGAGAGAGACTCCCACGCTCTCGCTGCTGCGCTGGTCGCTGCGGAGGAGAAGAACTTCTCTCTCTTCAACATGATCAACGAGCTGAGCACTGAGATGGAAGCGCTGGAGGTGGAGAACAACGCACTCGAGGCCCAGGTGAACGAGCAGACTCGCGATGGGTCGATGGGGTCGGCCGAGGATGCACGACGACGCGCGCTCAAGCAGCAGCTAGAGGACCAGATCGAGAAGTCCCGACAGAAGGTGGCTCGGCTCGAGGCTCGTCACAGTGAGGCCGCAGAAGCTGCCGAGGTGATGAAGGCTGGCGCAATGGGGCTCTTCCACAAGCTCCAGGGCCCCAACGACGAAGCGTTCGCGGCTCAACTGTCTGCGCACGGCGTGACGGACGTCACTATGGCCCAGCTTCTGGGACTCATCGAGCAGCGCGTAGGTGAGCTCGTGGACATCCACAACATCGCCACGAATGCGCCTGCAGCCGCGGCATTGGGCTCCCAGCACCCGACCATGAAGGTGGACGTGGGAGGTCACGACAGCGGCCACACGCGGCACTCGCGCAATGGCGACCGTCCCAGAGGAGGCGCTGGCGCGTCCAACGCCACTGGTGCGCTGCTGCGACCTACGCCGCCCGCTGCTGACGACTTTGGCGACTCCGACAACGACGAACCACAGCAGGACGACGTGCTGAGACCGTGCAAGATCTCGGACATCCAGGAGAAGACTGCCGCTGCCGTAGGCCGACGAAAGGAGAAGCAGATTCGGGCCAAGCGGTAGACGCGCTGAACGAGTAGGAGGGACAGCTTCAACACGTGTATTTTCACCATTGCTACTAAAGGACGAGCGATTGACTGCGGCTTAGCCAGACTTGCTCTTGTCGTCGATGCCGAACTTGCGGATGAGGTGGTCGTAATAGTCGATCACGTGGTGCGTGTAGGCGCGCTTGTCGGCGTAGTCGCCCGGCATGAAGGAGCGCTTGAAGCCCGTGAGCAGGATCTGGCGCAGCTCGTGCGGCGTGAGCTGGAACGCGTCGCAGGCCAGACGCACCTCGCGCACCATGTCCGTGTGGGAGACCGTGCAGTTGTCGGTGCACAGACTCACGGCCAGCTTGCTCGTGAGCATGTCCCGCAGCGGGTGGTTCCTGGCGTCGAGCTCCATCTCGGGCAGCGTCTGCAGGTTGCTGGACAGACACACCTCCAGACACGTGCGCGAGTTGCCCATGTACTGCACGAGGTCGTGGCAGTAGGCCTTGCGCTGCTTGTCGTCCATGTCGGGCTTCTCGATCGTGTCGTGCCGGAACAGGTGCAGGCCGTGGCCGATCCGCTCGGCGTGCAGGTCCGTGATGGCCTCGAAGATGCTCTCGGGGCCGTAGCCCTCGCCCGCGTGCACCGTCTTGTGCATGAACTTCTTGTGCGCGAAGGCGAAAGCCTCCACGTGGTCGTGCGCGGGGTATCCGCGCTCCGCGCCCGCGATGTCCAGCGCCACAATGGGCACGCCGTGCTGCACCTTGGTCTCGTAGGCCTGCGTGATGAGCGCCATGGACGCGAGGCCGTAGAGCCTGTGCGCGTCCTCGTGGCGGTGCACCTCGCAGAACTGCTTGTAGTAGGGCGAGAAGTCGGCCGTGAAGAAGCGCATGGCGCACACGATGATGCCGTAGCCGAAGCGCGGGGCCAGGCCCGACACGACGTCCGGGTCCTGCGCGTTGAACTCGTCCGCGGCGCGCTGGAGCCCGCGGTTGACGCTGAGCAGCACCTGCTCGAGCGAGAGCTCGCCCGGCACGGCGTTGAGCTGCGGTGCGAAGCGCGTCTCGAAGTACCGCACGCCCAGCGCGAACTGGTCGCACGCCTGCTCGTAGGCCACGCGCTCCAGCGCCTCGCTGGTGCGCAGCACGGACGACGCGTAGGCGAAGCACACGAGGTACTCCTCGAGCGACTCGTACGTCTCCTTGAAGACCTCGCGGTTGAGCTGCTCGGCGTCGTACGTGGGCAGCGCCACGCCCTGCTGGTTGGCCAGGTCGACGAGCGTCTGCGGGCGCAGGCAGCCGTCCAGGTGGCAGTGCAGGTCCGTCTTGGGCACCTGCCGCAGGAACTCGTCCGGGAACGTCTCGTTGCGCGGGAAGTCGCGCAGCTTCGAGGCGGCGGCAGTAGACGAGGAGCTGGACATGGTGCGCAGAGGATGAGGGAGCAGCAGCAGCTTGAGCTTGGGCAGGCAGAGGCGCGAGTGGCGGCGCAGCAGCGCTTGGGACATCGCGGCTGGATATGGAGAGCGACTGACGTACGAGATTTTCCTAATTTACAGGTAACAGCGCGATTTGCCGGGTTTACTGGCCAAAACGCAAGAAAACGATCTGGCACTATTTGCTTTTTGGCTGAATGCGAATCGTCCGTGGTTGAAGCGGGTTAGAATTCAACGTGTTGCAACCGGCGAGAGATCGTCCGCAGCGACTGCGAGTGGCTCTGATGGCCACGGTAAAGTGTGGCTTACCACGTGCGCTACCAGATGCAATGGTAAAGTTGCACTTCAGGATCTTTTGCTACACCGCTCGCCGCTGAGTGTGGCTCAACACTGCGGCAGTATGGCAGTGTCACTGCCATGGGTTGAATACCCGCCAAGCTCAACATCACCATAAAAACGAAATAAAACACAAAACGTTCCCGAAAGACCAGAATCCAGTTTTGCTGAAGTTGAAGAAGGTCTCACTGCCCATGCTGCCGTCGCGCGGCCCGGACGACGCCAAGCGCAAGCGTTCTGCGTCCTCTGCGCCTCCACCGCCCCCTGCAGCTCCTCCTCTCACCTCTGCCGATGCAGCAGCCCCGTCGCCCCCGCAGCGGCGCCGCAAGTGGGCGCGCCTGCTGCTGCGCGAGCTCTACGACTGCGGCTTCCGCGAGTCGGCGGCGGCGCTGGAGCGCGAGGCGGCAGTGCAGCTGCGCTCGCCCTCCATGGAGAAGCTGCAGTCGCTCATGGGCGCACGTCAGTGGGACGAGGCGCTGCGGCTCGTGACGAGCGGCCCGAGAGACGCGGACGCAGAGGAAGGCGCTCACACTGAGCGCGTGCGCATGAAGTCGCCGCAGGCCACGCGCGAGGCGGCGCTGCTGCTGCTGCGCCGCAAGTTCATCGACCTGCTGCTGCAGAGGCGGCTGCCGCTGGCGCTGCGCACGTTCCAGGAGCAGATTCTGCCCGTCTACAGGCCCAGCGAGGCGGAGGTGGCGCAGCTGGCCCAGCTGCTGCTGTGCCGGGACGAGGACGAGATGAAGCGGCGCGCGCAGGTTCCGTGGCAGGACGAGGAGCTGCAGCGGCGGATCGAGGCGCTGGTCAGCCCGGAGGAGATTATCCCAGAGGGGGCGCTGCGGGTGAGTTGAGTGAGGGGTTTTTATGACAATAGAGAGAGGAGGAGGAGGAGGAGGCTGACGCTGTTGTTGTTTCCATTTGAGCAGAGGCTGGTGCAGGACGGGTCGGAGATGGATCTGCAGGTGGCGCCGCCCATGTTGGCAGGGAAAGTGACGGGGAACTGTGTGGAGGTCCTGACGCAGCACAAGACCGACGTGTGGGAGTTGGCCTTCTCGCCCGACGGACAGATGCTGGCCTCCGCGTCGAGCGACGGATCCGTCGTCTTGTGGCAGATTGAGCTGGACGAGGACGCCATGAGCTATGAACACTCGGCACAGGTGAGGAAGAGCCGATGAGATTTGGCTGGCTATGGTGCATGGTGCTTAGTTTTGTGTGTGCTTTTACCGTGTAGCTGTCGTCGAAGCCATTGCACGTCCTGCAGAGCCTCGAGGGCCCCGCAGATTGCCTGGCTTGGTCTCCAGACAGCAGGTTCCTGCTCTCGAGTGGGAGCCGCTCCAGCACCATCCAACTCTGGGATCGAATGGTCTGTTTACCTTTTAGATCCTGCGCTTATGTGCTCCTTGCACTAACATTGTGTCGCTTGTTTTATTTGTTCGAATTGTCCGCGTGATGCAGAGTGGGTTGTGTGAGAAGCGCTTCCAGCACCCAGGTGGAGTGGTGACTAAAATGCGGTGGCTGCCTTGTGCGGGTCAGTTCGTGAGTGGAAGCGCAGACAAATCCCTGGTCTTGTGGGTACGGCCGCCTTTTAAGCTTCTCGGAAGAGCATAGTCTGCATGGCTCTGACCTCTGTTGCTTGTATGTCTTTCGTGTAGAATGCCGATGAAAGTTCAATCATATACCAGTGGAGCGGCCGAAGGGTTTTGGACGTGGTTGTGCACCCGCACGAGAGCAAGGTGTTCGTGCTGATTTCGGCCTTCGAGATTCGCGCGTACGACGTCGCTCTTAGATCGGATGAGCTGCTCTTGGAAGCGGAACACGCCATCTCGTGCTTGAACATTTCCTCATCCGGAAGGTTTCTGCTCATGAACCTTCTCAAGCAAGAGCAAGTCGTGTGCGTGGAGGTCGCAACAGGATCGGTAATAGCCAAATACCGCGGGATTCGAGAGCAGAGATACGTGCTTCGCCCGTGCTTCGTTGGGGCTCATAGTGAGCTCGTCGCGTGTGGAAGCGAAGGTAAGCTTACGAAGCTGTTCGCAGCAACTCCATAGCTCGATTATTGCGGTACTCACAGGGTTTGTTGCATTATGCGTGTGTATGCAGATGGGAAAGTGTACGTGTGGCAGCGAGATAGCGGCAAGCGGGTGACTGAGCTGGACGGTCACTCAAGCGTCGTGAATGTGGTTGCACGCCACCCCGTTCATTCCAACGTGATCGCCAGCGCAAGTGACGACGAGACCGTGCGGCTTTGGTCTCTCAAGTCGTCGGAGTAAGAAATGAAAAGTTGCAGCTTGTGCGTTTGTTCCCTGCCTCACTACCATGCCAAGCCCAGTAGGTCGGTCCTCCGTGGCTTAAGTCCCATGCTCGTATCTAGTTATGGTCATATGCAACCGCCACAACGTCCTTGTCCGACTGCGAGCTTCGTCAGAGGAAGAGGCGCTTTGTGCTGCGACTAACCACTGTTGAATTGACTCGGACCAAGGAATCAGCAGTCAGCATGCACGCCACCTACGGTGAGTCTCGTTGGGCATGGCTGCTTTGGTTGCCCAGTAGTGCCTCTGACCAACAACTTCATTCTGAGTAGATACATGGCAGCGAGCCACCTCGGTGGAGCACTTCCAGAAGCTGGCGCGGGGCGAATGACGCTTGCAAAACAGCGCGGTGGGGCGATTATGCTTACGGTCGCTGCGCGTGTTCAAGCAGCTCCCCAACTCTCCAGTCACGTGGTTGTATCTGATGGTTCTAGGCTCGCTGGCTGCAGTCTACGGGTAACTTCACTAGTGCTGCCTGTTTGAATCGCATTGGCGCAAGCTAAACTAACTACTGCGATGCAGACTTTTGTTTGACGGGTGGGTGCGTACGCTGTTGACACTTCGCCGTCAAATGGTGGAAGCAGTGGGGGAATACTCCTTCGGCGCATTCATTCTCTGGACGGCGTGGTGTGTGGGCTTCGGCATGCTCGCAACCTGCTGTGGGTTCTTCATTTCGCCCGCCTCGGACGGCTCTGGCATCCCGACAATGCGCGGACTATTTGCAGGCGTGTTTCAGAATCCGGGAGACACGCTGTCGTTCCGCACTCTCGTTGCGAGATCCCTCGGCACCGTCCTCTCGTCCGGCTCCGGTCTCTCTGTTGGTCGCGCGGGGCCGTTCACTCAAGTCATGTCCATGATCGGATACTTGATGGGGAAGATCTCGCCGTTCCAACGTGTGAACTATGGACAGCAGAACTACAACTTCATCCGTGCAGGTGAGCGAGTGAGATGCCTAAAAGCTGAAAGTATGTGCTGAGTTATTATTGTTGTGATCTTTGTGTAGCGGTGGCATGCGGCATGACAGCAAGCTTCGGGTCGCCGTTGGGAGGGGTCCTCTTCGGAATCGAAGTGACGGCGAAATACTACGAGATCAAGTGCCTATGGGAGGGCATCATTTGCTCGTCCTTCTGCATCTTGGTGTTCCACATCATCACGTTCATGAAGCGCGAGGTCCTATTCGAGCGCACAAACTTCAATGGATTCGACGTGGACGGAGAGCTGTTCGCGTTTGTGCTACTAGGAGTCATCACAGGCGTAAGTGCACGATAGTGTGGCTTCATTTGCACGAGAAAAGTGTAACACTAACTTGGTTTTCTGGCAGATTGGAGCTGGGCTGTACTGTAAGATGGCTCTGGCGCTACGAAGTGTCCAAGTTCGTCTACTGGAGAGGTTCAATCTGACCAAACCTTCCATGCGGCGTCGCGCATTTCACGTCGTCTCGATCTGTTTGGCAACTGCAATTATCACGTTCCCGTTCGGCATCATGCGCATCTCCGATCGACTGATGGTGAACGAATTGTTTCGTGACCAGGAGCTGAGCTTCCCTCAGTGGACGCAGTTCACGGACAGTAAGCACACGGCGCTCGTTGTGTACTTCCTTCTGAAGCTTATCTCGAGTATCCTGCCGTGTGGAGCCCCGATCTCTTGCGGCGTCTTTGGTCCGCTGTTTACGATGGGCGCGGCTGTCGGACGATTCTACGGCGAGACGCTCATGGAAGTTTGGAGTCCGAACCAATCGCCAGCAACGTACGCAGTGGTCGGAGCCGCCTGCTTTGCTGCTTCGGCTACGCAGACAGTGTCGACCGCGGTCATCTTCTTCGAACTCACCGGCCAGCTCAGCCACATGGTCCCCGTCATGGTGGCTTGCATCGCGGCGTACTTCGTCAGTGGGATCTTCACTCCGTCTATCTACGACATCCTGGCGAGCTGGGCTGGAATGAACTCGGTTTGCTACGACTTCAACGAGCACGTGTTGAGCCAGAAGGTTGCCAAGGATTACATGGGATCGGTGCCCGTCGTATTCACTCGTGACACCACGTATGAGGAAGCTATCCAGGCCCTTGTAAGTGGATGTGTGTGGAAGCTGTGCTATTTTCCTGCGTACTCACTGTCTATCTATCGATGACGATGCATTTTAGAGCACGTACAATAAGGAGGAGTACTTCCCACTTTGTGACAATGTCGAGAACAAGCTGCTACTGGTGAGTTGCAAACTTTTGCACTATTCCACTCAGATTCTTACGGTAATTTCTGACGTTTGGATTGTTATTAGGGCTGTCTTCGACGCTATGATCTGGAAGTGGGCATTGCGAGGTTTCTCGCCATTCACAGCAGTGGGGTCGGTACCTATTTGCTTGGTATTTTGCTTCACGCGAAAGAAGTATCATATCTTACGATGATGAACTTTCGTGATGCACAATGCAGAGCTCGGATGCTAAAAACCCGAAGGTAACAGATCGCATGCAGGAGCTCATTTCCCAAGTGCTGGACATCGACAAGAAGAAAACCGCGGCAGTGGAAGACCTCTCCCTTCTCAAGTTCCAGCCAAAGGATACTTCGTCGACATCAAACATGGTGCGCTGCGGTCATTTCTGCACTGATTGTGCGTCGCCTTGGTTTTCCCTGTCCCTGTTCAGTTGGAGCTGGGGCCTCCTTTTGACGAATACGAGTTCACGTCAATTCCAGTGGAAAGTTACCCTGTCCAGGTATGACAAGCCCCAAAACTTTGCCCACCGGTGGTAACTGTGCTTGCTGCTAACTGCTTGCCTTCCGTAGGTTGGTGAGCACGTCAACTTGTACCGCGTGCACAAATTGGCCTCGATCTCGAGCTGGACGCAGGTGTACGTCGTCAAATTCGGAAAGTTGCTGGGCGTCATCCACCTGGACTCGTCCCTCACGAAACTGTGCAAGGAAGAAGTCCCCGTCCACTTCTCGTAGACCGAAGAGGAGGGCTCAAACATCATAACTGCATCGATACTGAACTACCAAAACCAAATACTTACACATCGTCCCCGAAACCATTTGTGCCCTCCTTGAAACGGATTGAAGACCAAAGGTCGGATCACAGCCGACCGCGACCACAGCGTATCTGTTGCTGCTGTAGTTCGACCACTTGGACGGGAGCAAGCTCTCATTGCTCTGTCAGGGTGAACATGCGAGCCAACTACGGTGAGTCCAACATCGCTACCAGCAGTAGAGTTGGCACCAAACTACTGGCGCTTACTTATGTATGCTTCCGTGGCCAGATACGTGGCAGCGCGCCACCTCCGTGGACCACTTCAATGACCTGCTGCAGGAGAAGCGGCGGATGGAGAGGAACCCGTTCGGGCGGTGGCTGATCCGCACGCTTCGTGTCTTCAAGCAGCTCCCGAACTCTCCCGTCGCGTGGCTCTTCCTGATGGTCCTGGGGTCGATCGCTGGGGTTTACGGACTTTTGTTCGACGGCTGGGTGCGGTCCTTCCTCCGATTCCGGCGTCAACTGGTTGAAGAGGTGGGGGCCTTCTCCTTTGGGGGGTATCTCATCTGGGTCATCTGGTGCGTAGTCTTCGGCCTGCTCTCGACGTGCTGCGGCCACTACATCACGCCGATGTCGGACGGCTCAGGCATCCCCACAATGCGCGGGCTCTTCGCGGGGGTTTTCCAGAACCCGGACGACCTCCTTTCGTTCCGCACGCTCGTAGCCAAGACGCTCGGCACGTTGATCAGCTCGAGCTCTGGGCTGTCGGTCGGTCGCGGAGGCCCCTTCACCCAGATCATGGCCATGATCGGGTACCTCATGGGCAAAATCCCATTGTTCCGTCGCGCCAACTTCGGCCAGGCGAACTACAACTTCATCCGAGCAGCGGTGGCAGCTGGCGTCACGTCCGCGTTCGGGTCTCCGGTGGGGGCGGTTCTCTTCAGCATCGAGGCTACGGCGAGACACTACGAGATCAAGTGTCTGTGGGAGGGGATCATTTGCTCGTCCTTCGCCTTGCTGGTGTTCCGAGTCGCCCCCGTGCTCAAGAGCGAGCTCCTCTTCGAGAAGACCAACTTCACAGGCTTCGAGCTGGACGTCGAGATGTTCGCGTTCGTGCTTCTAGGCGTGATCTCCGGGGTATGCCAGCATACATTACAGCTGCGTACTTTACTTCTCACTCACTAACCACTACCTAAACGTGCAAGCTCGCGGCAGGTTTGTATTGTAAAATGATGTGCGTCATGCGCTACGCCCAGATGGAATTGTTCACGAAACTCGGGTTGACGAAGCCCTCGCTTAAGCGCCGCGCGCTTCACGTGGGCTCCATCTGCGTCTTAACTGCGTCCGTCACTTTCTCGCTGGGGGTTCTGCGGATCTCGGATCGGATCATGGTCAACGAGCTGTTCCGAGACCAAGGACTGAGTTTTCCGCAGTGGAGGGACATCTCCGACTTCCCACAGACCGCTCTACTCACGTACATCCTCATGAAATTCGCGATAACGCTGCTGCCGTGTGGAGCCCCCATCTCATGCGGCGTCTTCGGACCAATTTTCACGATGGGCGCGGCTTTAGGGCGACTCTATGGGGAAATTCTAATGGTATACTGGAGCCCGACTCAAAGCCCAGCGACGTATGCAGTGGTGGGGGCTGCTGGCTTCGCCGGCTCTGTTACTCAGACGGTGTCGACGGCTGTGATCGTGTTCGAGCTCACGGGGCAACTAAGTCACATGCTCCCGGTCATGATTTCTTGTATCGTGGCCTACTTTGTGAGCAGTATGCTCACTCCGTCTTTCTACGACATCGTGGCCGAGTGGGCGGGTCTCAAGTCGGTATCATACGACGTGAACGAGTACATCCTGGGCCAGAAACTCGCCAAAGATCACATGAACTCTGTCCCCGTAGTCTTCACGCGAGAAACGACATACGATGAGGCTATCCAGGCGCTGGTACGTAGAACTGAGCTTTTACCAGCGATTTGGAAGGATGCTGACGCCTCTCACGCTCGTATTCGTGCACGCAGAGCGCAAACAAGAAGGAAGGATACTTCCCACTTTGCGACAGCAAAGACAGCAGGATCTTGCTGGTAAGCCTGCGTTATCTAAGAATCTTTGGATATGTTGGGGGCTACCGCTAACCGTTGTTATCTCTCGCAGGGTTGCATTCGGCGATATGATCTCGAGGTTGGAATCGCAAGATTTATCGCAGTCAACCGACCTCGGGTAAGATCTGCTGGCTAAGCGACATCGTGCGATAGCAACGCTTACTAACATGCTTTCTGCACTGAAGATGAAGAACTCAAAGCATCGAAAGGTGACAAAGCAGATCGAGTATTTGGTGTCCAAGGTTCTCGACATCGACAAGAGGAAAATCATGGCGGTGGAGGACCTATCGCTGCTCAACTCCGAGGAGAAGGACGAGTTTTCTACTACAAACACGGTGAGGAAGATCGAAGCCTCTTTCCTTGTGCAGCAAGCTCTTCTCATGACGACTGTGTTGCCACTCTCACAGCTCGAGCTTGGGCCGCCATTCAGCCCTTTCGAGTTCACCTCAGTCCCAGTTCAGAGCTACATCCCTCTGGTAAAATCAATGCTCCCGTCATCAGATACAACCATAAGCGCTAGGCTAACACAGTCTTGCTCCAGGTTGGAGAGGAAGTGAACCTCCACATCGTCCACAAGGTGGCGTCCATGTCCAATTGGACGCAGGTGTACGTCGTCTCACTCGGAAAACTTCTCGGCGTCATCCATCTCGACGCGTCGCTTCTAACGCTGCGCAGCGAAACTTCATCCCCCGTTCGACCCAGCTAGCACACTCGATCCATCGTTGCAAAGTTCATCTGATAGAGTATCTCAAAGTTATTGATCGAACCATTTCGGGAGTGCTCGAGTTGAACCGATAAAAATACGACCCACACACAGGTTGTGCCCGTGACATTCCTCCATCGCCACTCGCAACGCAGCGAGTTATTGTACCATGCAGCGCAATGAGGTGGACGCCGCCTTGACCTCCATCGGCCTTGGGACTCCCGAACTCTGGCAGAAATTGGGCCAGGAACTGGAAGGCAAGACGCAACTGGAGCAGCCGCGCGTGTCCAAGAAAGTTTTGGTCAAGGCGCTGCGTATGCAGACCGAGACCATGCGCTACATGGTGGACGAATTCGACCGGCTGCGGGACAAGATGGCCGAGATGGAGCGGGAGGCGCGCAACACGGCCAAGCACGTGGAGCGCGTCAACTCGAAGCTCATCACGGTGCAGGGCCAGGTGGACGACGTCAACACCAAAGTGTACGAGCTCGAGGTGCAGCAGAACAAACAGGCCGAGCAGCTCAAGGAGATCGACGACGTGGCCAACCAAGTGCGCGTCAACCGCGAGGAGATCCAGCGCGTCACCGCGAGCGTCGAGAGGGCGAGCGACGTCCACAACGAGTTCGTGCTGCAGACCGAGCAGAAGCTCAACGTGATCCGCGAGGACCACGAGGTGACCAAGCAGTTCGCCATGAAGATCGAGGACCGGCTGAACGAGGAGCAGAAGGAGCTCTTCCTGGACTCGGATCACATTCTGCACAACAAACTGACGCTGGCCATGTGGATGGAGGCCGTCGAGAAGGACAACCGGCGCAAGGACGACGCGCTGCGCGACTGCACCGACAAAATGATCAAGCAGGGCCGCAACGTGCAGGACATGATGCTCGAGACGCGACGCACCTTGGACGACAACACGTGCGCAGTCGAAGACGTCCAGCGCCTGCTGCTCGAGAAGGCCGACCGCACGCGTGTGGACGAGATCATCGAGTCCAAGTACGAGGAGATCTGCAACCAGCTAGACAAGGCATTGGCGTCAGTGCTCGGTGAGGAGGACGAGTTCAAACGCGCCAGTCAGGAACTGCAGCAGCTCGTGACGCACCTGAGCGAGAGCAAGGCGGACAAGAAGGACCTGCTCGAGGTCAAGGAGCAGGTGCTGTACGACTCGCGCGTGCGCCAGCAGGTCGAGAACTTGCGCTCCTTCATCGACATCAAGATGAACCGCGACGACGTCTTCTCCGCGCTCAAGTCCAAGGCCGACAAGGACGAGATGCTGGCGCTGCTCAAGAACCTCTCGGACAGCATGAACGCGTCCATCGTCCAGGCGCAAAAGTCCCTCAGCTACGCCGACAGCGCCTTCCTCACAGGCAAGCAGGCCGGACACCAGCACCAGCATTCGAGCAACAGTGGTCAGAAGCGCGCTGGAATGCTGCCGAGTCTCGACCGAGAGAAGTGTCTGTCCTGCAACAGTCAGCTTCGAGACCCCTCCACTGCGTCCGGTGGGCCGGTCTCCAACAAGAATCCGTTCCAAATGGCCCCAGTGTATGGCGGCGGCTTCGTACTTCCTGCTGGCGCTGGGTCCATCGACAAAACCTCCATGCGGAACCGATCAAACAGCCTCAGCAACAACAACTCGGCCAGCGCTCCGTACCTGTCACCGCGGACTGTAGCGAACATGGCGTCATCTGGACAGCTCTCTGAAAGTGCGAGCGAGGGGTAAGTTGACTCTGGATCTCAACCACTATTTGACAACAATCCACGCCTTACCATTCGTTGTGCTTGACTGCAGGTTCCTCGTTGGAGTGGACGGTCGCGTGTATCAAGCCGATCCAGAAGTGGTCGCTCAGGTCCAGGACCGAACTCGATCAAATCCAGGCTTGAAGCTGCCGCAGGCAGTAGCTCCTAGAAAAGCGCTGCCGGTCCTCGAAGACGCTGGCGGAGACTGACAAAGCAGCCGATTAAACCATACCATACCAATATTCTGTTCGTGTACCTCTCACACCCAGCTTGCATTATTGCAGGAATTTCATAGTGATGCGGGGACCTCGCCGGAAGCTTCGTGAAGCAGCTCTAAAACATATCCATCTCATCCAGCAGCATGCCTTCTCCCTCCATCTTCATGGACACTGACAGGTCGCCGTCCAACGCAGCGATACCGTTGCAATCTTCGCCATTGGCTCCTGCAGCGCCAGCAGAGGACGTGCCGTTCTTGGCTTGTACCGTGCGCTTCAACGCGTAGTACGTAAGCAGCGGGATCGAGTGGCATGCTTCTCCTAGTTTCTGAAGAGTGGCAGCATTTTCCAGTGGGAGCGAAGGGTTTGCGTTCGCCTCAGACTGGTACTTAACGTTCAACTCCAGTGAGCAATCGGGCTTCGCGTTCACTTCGATCAGCACTTGCTTGCCAGGTCCCAGTAGATCGCCAGTGTTCATCGTAATCCGCTCGGGGGCAGCGACATCAACCTTAATGCGAGCTGTCAATAGGTAGTAAAAAAAATCAGATCTTGTCCAAACAACCGGGAAACATAAGACTAACGAACCGATAACAGCCTCCTCATTGTCGGCGGGAATGCGCTGGCCAAAGGTGTTGCTTCTTGAGCAGAATGCGGATAGTACCAGCGCGTGGAAAAACAAGCTCCTCCCGCACACTTGGAAAACGTTCGCCAGAGTCTCCATCGACGCGTTTGATAGCTACAAAAACACAATAGTCAGCCGTGCGCAGTGAAAGTATCATTTCCGCAACAAGGCAGTACCGGGATGGGGAACGAGTGCAGCTTCAGACCGCCAGAAATCTCCTTCGTGGTCAACGTGTACTCCTGGCGCATCGCCAGCGATGATCGCGACGGGAAGACAGAGCACATGCTGCGGTCACGAGCAAAGTGCAGCCGGGGAAGGATCGGCTTCTTCCCGTCGGGCGTCGTCCAGCTCACGAACTCGTTGAACAACTTTTCATCTTCGTGCACGTCCTTGGGCGCGGTTGCAGCCATCTCGGTGTGCTTGTGCATCGCAACAAGCGCCAGCTTCCGAGCCTGTTGTCCAGCCATCACGAGCGGCGTCTCCCCAACCACGTGCAGCGCCACTTCGCCCCGCCACTCGATAAAGCTGATGCTGCCGACCCACTCGCCATTGGCAAGCGGGGATAGAGCATCCGCGGGCGACGAGGTCTTGTTGGGGTCATCGCGGTCGTCTCCAGGTCCGCTGGCCCCGTCAATCGCTGTCACATCAGCAGCCCCAGTAGCGCCAGCAGCAGCTGCTGCAGACGCCTGCGCGTCGTCCAGCTTCACTCGCTTGCGTGGTGGCTCAACCACCGGGATACAAGCGTAAGGATCGTTGAACATGATGCGCACTCCTTCCACCGCGCGCTTGGCCGTCCAGTATTTCTGCGGTGGTACAAAAAGTTAAGGGGTGAATTTGACGGTCTGATGGTACGACACTGAAGCAGGAGGCAAACTCTCCTACCTGCTGACTGCACGCCTCCGTGACCTTGGTGTAGAGCTCCAGCTCCAGCTGCTCGAAGCTCACTGCCAATCACAAGTAAATAGATACAGTAGACACATCAGCAACCTCTTCTCAAGCCTAGCAGCATCAACTGCAAGCTTGACAGCCACGTACTGGCCGGGAACTTGACTGCCAGCTCCGCGCGGTTGATCAGCCGGTTGAGTTTTTCCTAAGCACAACAATGAGCAAACCACACAATAATGACTACAAGCACAGCACAACCCGCCCGCCTCCGTGCGCACCCACCGTGAAGTTGGCGCTGTCGCCGCTCGCCAGCAGCTTGAGCGACGCCAGCAGGTCCTCATCTCGGTCCGGGAACTGGCTGGACTGGTCCTTCTCCACGGTCGTGAGCGAGGCGGACTCGACGGCGCCCTCGCCTCCCGACAGCGCGATGTCCAGCACGAACGTGTCGCAGTAGATGGAGAGCGACGATTCGTTGGGCTTGAGGATCTGCAGCTTGACGAGCGGGCGGCTCAGGTTGGACACGATCTTGGTGACCTCGAACATGATCTTGTAGGCGCCCACGCGGCCCTCGAGCTCGGCGCCGCGCAGGCCGGCCTCCAGGTCCAGCTTGCTCACGCTCTCGGCCAGCAGCGTGCGCACCGTGGCCACGTGCGCCTCGAAGCGCCGCGCGTCCTTGCGCAGCTGCACGAACTGCTGGTTGCGCGCGTACCAGTCCTTGTGCTGCTTGAGCGTCTCGAAGAGGTAGTTGAGCCCGAAGCGCCACGAGTTCTTCTCCGTCTGCAGCCGCGCCCTCTGCTGCGCCAGGTGCGCCGCGAACGCCGCGCTGTCGTTGCGCAGGTTGTCCGGCAGCATCCCGTCCAGGCACGAGCGCAGGCTGCTGGCCACCGAGTGCAAGTGCGGAGAGTTCTTGCCCGCCGCTGCCGCCGGAGGAGCAGAAGCCGCCATCCCCGCCGCTGGTGGCGTCGACATTCGGCTTTTGGTCCTACTCAAAATATCTGATCCATACTAAAGCGTAGTAGTCGAGGGGATGTAGTCAGAGTTCCGTAGCAGTAGCGTTCCTGCGTATGATATGCTATTAGTGGTAAGTGTACTAAAAGATCAAATGTCGCTGTAGTATATGACACAAATGATATATTATAGTTGAAGCATGAGATCAATATCATAACTCAATAATATTAATTGTTGCTATTTGAGACGGCGGCTGACATAATGTTACTAATCCACCTTTTAGAGTTATCGAGATAATCGCCTTCAAAGTTGGGCGACTGATTTTCGCACTTAAATGAAGTTTTGAGAAACGGAGGGTTTTGTGTTTTGAAAATTCGAACCGTCACTAAACCGAACTGGGCCGCCCGCACAATCGATTTTGCCAACCACCGTCAAGATATCTGCCATGCCGCTAAGCCCTACTCCTTCTAGCACTGCAGGAGGCTCCTCCAGCCCGCTGCAGTCACCGTCGAGCTCCCTGACGTTGACGCCGCTTCCTCCTAGCGCGGTTGCTACCGCTGCGACGCCTGAAGAACCCATTCAGCTTCCTCAAGACACTGAACAAGTCCAGCAAAGTCGCAGCGGCGAAGGCGATCTGGGAAACAGCGCGGCCGAGAGCGACGATCCCGACAACAGCGCGGATGAGGACTGGAGTGAGAAAGAGATGAGTGCAGAAGAGGACGATGAAGACGAACGATTGACCGGCGAGAGTGTGGAAAGCGCCAGTGAGGACGAAGAGGACATAAGTATCAATTTGATTGAGGTCGATTTGCGACAGAAGGTTGCTGCGTTGATCCAGGCAGACGCGTGCGAGCGCCGTTGTCTCGAAGGAACGGCGCGTGAGATCAAGTGGTTGGTGTGCTCACTCTCCCAGATGACTCGCTCGGAGCGAGTGACCAGTATCTACACGATGTTGGCACTGCTGATGCAGACGGACACCGTTGAGCGGCGTCGTGGTGGCGGGGCGCGAGAAAAATTTCACTACTACTTGCCCTTTATCGGGCAAGTATGCCGTCCCTCGTTTGCAAAGTGTCTTGATGTGGCACCGCTCACTATTCAGCGCTATAAAGGAAGGGTTCGTGATGGTAACATCGCGCCAGAGGCGCACGGGAACAAGCTGAACAAGCACGCCGCCAAGGCCGACGTCGTGTGGTTGGTGGAGTGGTTTCAAGAGTTTGCCGCAGGAGTAGGTGACGTGGTTCTTGTATGTATCCGTCTACAGAAGACTGTCGACGGCAAGATTACAAAGTACTGCAGCCGCGAGAACTACACACTGCTGCCTGCGATCTTCACGTGGGGCGCAATCGACGACGAGATGCACTCGCAAATACGTGACGGAGGAATTCAGGTCGGACGTGATGTATGCAGCCCCGTCAAAGAAACAAGGCGAAGACGCAAAAACGGCGAAGCAAGCGCGCCGTGAGCACCGGGCAGCTACGGCTGCGGCTGCAAAGGAAAACTGTGACCGTCGCGGACGGGACACTACAACTACTAAGAAGCAGAAGACATCCTGCAACTCTTCGGACGCTTAGCTTTCTGCTAAGACTTAGGCAAAACATTTTGTTATTTGTCTCCAAGTGTTAATCAAAATGATACTTAGTGTCACCCAATGTCACTATTCTGAAATTACACACAAAAGGTAACTTTTAGGTCAGTTACACGTCGAATCTGAACAATCCGACGACACCGTTGGCTCCCCCGTGCAATTTTACGTATAGACCACCAATATGTTTTTTAGTTTTCGGCTTCGAAAAAGAGATAACTTTTTCAAACGATCACAACTTCATGGGATTTCATTTCTAGAAAGCCAGGGAGGGCTCATAAGAAAGAGGAGACGCTGATCTATGCAAATATGTCCTTAAATCGCGATTCGTACGTAGGTTGATTAGTAACCGGGTGTTTGCCGCGGTCTCAAATTTTGTGAACGACGTCGTCGCCGTGCCCTCAGCAAGTGTAATTGCCCATGGTGTCGTCTTCATACCAGTCAATCTCCACGATGTATTTGCCGTGTTTCTGGAACGCGGTGATTGAGAAATGAATGAAAACACTTGGTTTTGCGTATCATTTGGGAACTTGAGAAAAGTAGTAATAAGATACACTTATTACTCATGTATGGTTAATATCAACAATCGGGTATTATACATGGTTAATGCATCATTTGAGTGAAAATAATATTGTTTGATTGGTATATGAATTAATATATGTGTGTATTGCTATGATTTAGATATGTATGACTTTTTGCAGCGCACTTTCTAGATCTAGGTAATCTAGGAAGCATTATCCTAAAAAAGGTCCCGAATAGCTTAAAAATTGTGTACATGATACGGTGCGGCACAAAGGACCAATAAGCGAGCGCGATGACGTACGTCGACGCTGGCGCTGCTGGGACCTGCCAGGAGGCCACGCCGCTCGTAGACAAGAGTAGCAGGCGCAACCCGACCGTGCTGTATGTGCTGACGCTGTGCTCCACCATTGGCGGCTTCCTTTTCGGCTACGACACGGTGAGAGAGAAGGACCTACCTTTCATCGGAGACTGCTGACTCACTTGTTGGACTCCTGCTCTTGCTGCTGCTGCTGTATTAGGGCGTGATCTCGGGGGCGCTGGGGCTGCTCAAAGGGCCCGAGGCCTTCCGCCTGACGGACCTCCAGAGCGAGAGCGCCGTGTCCGCCGCCGTGTTCGGCGCCATCGCCGGCGCGGCGCTCAGCAGCTGCGACAACCACGTCTTCGGGTGGCGGCCCGTGATCCTGCTGTCGTCCGCCATGTTCGCGCTGGGTTCGTGCCTCATGGAGGCGGCACAGACCTTCGTGACGCTGCTCTTCGGCCGGCTCATCGTGGGGGTGGCCATCGGCTTCGCGTCCATGACCGTGCCGCTCTACATCGCCGAGGTGTCGCCCCCTGACATCCGAGGGCGCCTGGTGTCGCTCAACACGGCGCTGGTCACGGGCGGCCAGTTCTTCTCTGGACTGCTGGACGCTCTGCTGGCCGATGTGGACGGTGGCTGGAGATACATGCTCGGTCTGGCAGCCGTCCCTGCAGCTGTGCAGTTCTTTGGTTTCTTGCTGCTGCCCGAAAGCCCGAGATACTTGATCAGTAAAGGCAGGATGGAGGAGGCGAAGGCTGCGTTGAGGAAGATCCGAGGCACGGACGATGTGCAGACGGAAGGCAGCCACATTGAGGCGGAGATCGAGCGTGCAGAGGAGCAGAACGCGAATATATGGGACGACATTCGCTCTCCTGCGGTGCTGCGAGCGCTGGGGCTCGGCTGCTTCCTGCAAGCTCTTCAACAGCTCTGCGGGATCAACACTGTCATGTACTACGGCGCCACCATCATCCAGCTCGCAGGGTTTACGGGTCCGACCACGGCCATTTGGCTCTCAGCGCTCGTGTCCTTCAGTAACTTCATCTTCACCTTCGTAGGGATTTACCTCGTGGATCGCAAAGGTCGGTGGGTGCTTACCCTTGCAAGCCTCATCGGCATCGTGTTGTTCCTCACAGCGCTGGGAGCGAGCTTCTACTCGGCAGAACTGGGGGGAGAGGCTCGGAAAACCTTTTCCTCCCAAGTCTCGGACGTGAGTCCAGCCGCCTTGCGGAAGCAACTGTCCTCGTTTGCCGAAGACAGGCTGAACATACTCAGCAGGGTGCGAGACTCCATGGCGCAAGCCCAAGATAAACAGAAGGAGTACTCTGACCGAAATGGAAGAGGAAACATGAACGTGTTTAAGGTTGGGAATTTAGTTCTCCTAGATACTAGAAACCTACCGCTAAACACTGTTAGCTCGGTCGAGAGCAACAAGCTGAAGCACCGCTTCATTGGACCCTTCACGGTCCTCAGCCGGCATGGAGCGGCGTACACCATAGACTTGCCCAAGTCGATGACGACTCACCCGACGTTTTACGTGGGTCGTCTTAAGAGGTACCATGACCCTCTGGCTCTGGCTGCCCCGCAGGAAGCGGTGGGTGGCCCGGTGGAGAAGAGCGCAGCTCCTCGAAGCGCGGCGTCGGGTCGCGGTAAGGCGCCTGATACGCGCGCTCGTCGTAAGACGGCGCGGCCTACATCGGAGCAGCATACGCAGGGGCCCCGTACGAGCCCTGGCCAAACTGGGCCTGATACGAGTGGGGCTGCTGCTGCTCCGGATACGGCGCGTGGCCATGAAGCTCGGCCCGAAGGCCAGTGAGCTGGTTTCGCAGCGAGTCGTAAGACGACAGGTCGGCTCGACGATCCACGCGGCCATGGAGACTGCGAGCTTCTTGATAGAGCGAGGCAACATCCTCACGGAGCCGCTCCACGGCACCAGGCTGACCAGCACGAGCGGCAGCCTCGCCACCAAGGCCGACGCCAAGCGCGATCTCGAGGACGTACACACGCTCCCGGAGAAGACGAATCTTCTCTTGCTGCAGGGCCACCACCTGACTCGAGGCCCCAGCATACGGCTGCGTCGCCTCAGGCTCGTAGCCATGGCCGTGCGAGGCCACCGCCGGCCCTCCTTGATCGTAATGGGCAGATCCACTACCACGTGGAACGAGTCGTCCGGGAGCGGCGGCTCCATGGCAAGCGCCAGCTGCTCGTGAAGTGGAGGGGCTACCCTGAGTCGGATAACTCGTGGGAGCCCGTTGAGCAGCTCCAGGCAGACTGCCCGAAGGCTGTTGCGATATGGGACGAGAAGCAGCGGCAGCTTCGTAAGTAGTCCTTGGCTTCTTGGCCGGTACCCGGGGCACGGTAGCAGACGTAGTCGCACCACGCCCACGCTCTTCACGAGCTTTGGCTCTCGCATCTTGCTTCAGCTCGTCCATCTTCGAGTGGAGCTTGCGCTTGCTCACGAGTTGAGCGAACTCGATGCGGAGCTCGCGCACGTCCAGGATTGCGGACAGAGTGCGATCCTCACGGAGTTCTTTGAACTCTTGGTCGGAATACCCTTTGCGCTGGACGTAGCGCCAGAAGAGGTCTTCCACCTCGCTCCAGGTCATGTTGTCATTCGACTTGACCCAGTGGAAACCCCACACAGGATGGAGTCCACCCTTGTCCTCCGGCTTCTTGCGAAGCGTGGTGAACTCCTTCAGTGTGAGCTTGTGTGGTGCTAGTAGCACACACCGGGCAACTTCAACGTCGCCAAGAAAGAGTGGCTCTTTCTCAACAAGAGCACGCTCATAGGAACCCCTCGAGGTGTACCCGCCGATAAGGCCACGAGGAGCCGAGAGTTCTCCAACAGCGCTGGCGCACCAGTGCCAGGCTCGGGCGGGAAGTAGCCCTGCGGGTACGTGGCATCCCCGCCTGAAGAAGACTCGATGGGGCTGCCTGGTATACGCACCCGAGCTAGCAGCGTGGTATTGCTGCTGCTGCTCGTCGAGGTTGTTGGAGAGCTCCTTGGGCTCGTGGATGGCACCCTCCTCGTCCTCAGCCTCCGAGTCGATGAACAGCTTGGAGCTGGAGCCGCGAGGCGACCTGGAAGCTGAACGCTTCTTCGCCTTGGCCTCGGCGGCCTTCGCACCGGCAGCCGCTTTCGACGCTTTGGAGGCGTGCTTCCGGTCGACGTGGAGACCCTGCGGCTTGCTCGGCGATGCGCCAGTTGCTCTGTGAGGCCCGGGAGCCGAGGCGCCAGAGCTCGCGCCGTTGTCGATGGATTTCGACTTTGCGAGTGAAATGTGAGTCGCCGGCGTAACCTCGCTTTGATTGGTCGATAAGATCGAATCTAAGTGGGGGAGGATGTAACGGGGTTACATGGAATAGTGACCCTGTCACTATTCCGGGATGGCTACATCGGTCACTCCCCTGGATAGTGACCCAAGTGGCCTCAGAGCCAACAGATACATTTTGTATGACACAAACTATAGGGAACTTAGGATTTGTATGCAGGCCAAATCTGTACCAACCTATAAATACATTCAGTCTTAGATCTACCGCTTTTCAAGTCAAGTCGTCCCCTTCAGACCAGGGACACGTGAACGGCTGTTCACTTGGAGTTTGTATACTCCTGCTTCCTCTGTAAAGAAGTGCTGTGTGCCCCGTCACATGGCTGGTGACGCTGGGTTTCCGTCAGTTGACTAAGCGGAAACACGGTGCACAGAGGAAACATCAACCGGGTGCAAGGGAAAGTTCCTGGGCCTTCAGGTTCTAACCCTAACAAAGCCCATTGAGTCATCGGGACTTGGTGGGTGTTGTTGGTGGGGAAAGTGTGCTATTATATAATTTAGTGCGTGTTCCTACACGACAAGCCTAATGTGCGTTTGCTCAGCAAGAAGCGCCTTGAATCGGTTCTTGTGTATGGGCGCTTTTGGTCGACGCCTCAAGCATCACGGAGGAATATTTTACCCGACTCGCGAATATGCGCTGAATCTCCTCGAGTTCCAAGCCCTTTGTCTCTGGCAACTCAAGCCACAAGTACACGAAGCCGAACAGCGAGACAAAGGCATACAGCCAGAAGGCTCCGTACGGTGCCAACGCGTCGATCGTTGACAGGAAGGTGAACGACACCAGAAGGTTGGATACCCAGTTGACGGATGTGGACACGCTGAGGGCGAAACTCCGCACTCTCAATGGATAAATCTCGGCGTTGATAGTCCAGGGCATGCACCCCATCCCACTCGCGAAAGATGCCAGGTACAGGAACATCGCTAGCAGAATTACCCAACCGATCCCCTGGTTGTCATCAGGGCACGAGTCGAATGACCACTGAGAACCAGAGCAAAACCCAAGTGACGACGACTTTACCGATCCCGGCATACACAAGTCGCCCCCCACGTTGGAGCAGAAGCCACAAGCAGCATTGGCCACGCAACTGAAACACGTCGAGATCCCGGCACAAGCTCCCGTGCCCTTGACCTCCACCGACTGCTTCTCTGCAACGTAAAAACTGCCGCCGAGCGCCACCAACGAGAAAAAGACCCCGGCCAAACTCCCCAGCGTCAGCAGTCGACGGCCTGCACGTTCCACGAGGTAGATGCCGACGAACGTGAAGATAAAGTTGCTGAAGGAGACGAGCGCCGAGAGCCAAATGGCCGTCGAAGGATCAGTAAATCCGGCCATTTGGATGATGGTGGCTCCGTAGTACATGACGGTGTTGATGCCGCAGAGCTGCTGTAGACACTGGATGAAGCATCCAAGAGTGAGTGCACGAATCACCGGCGGCGAGCGCAGTTCTTGCCACACGTTGGATTCATCGAGCTTGGATCCCTGCACTTCCGCCTTGATGTGCTTCAACTCCACGTCGACGTCTTGATCGCCACGAATCTTCAACAGCGCAGCGCGAGCTTCGTCTTCTTTCCCCATGCTGACGAGGTAGCGGGGGCTTTCCGGTAGTGCTAGGAAGCCCACGAACTGCAGAATGGCAGGAATAGCAGCAAGTCCGAGCATGTACCTCCAGCCTCCTTCCGTGTCTGCGAGCAGCGCGTCCAACACGCTGGCGAAGAACTGCCCACCAGTGATCAGCGCCGAGTTGAGCGACACCAACCGCCCTCGAATCTGCGGTGGTGACGCCTCTGCGATGTACAGCGGCACCGTCATGGACGCACAGCCAATACCCACCCCGACAATCAGTCGACCGACCAGCAGCTCCTCAAAGGTCCCGGCCACAGCCATGAGCCCCGCCCCCACTGTGAACAGGGCGGAGGAGAAGAGGATCACCCGACGACGACCGAGTTTGTGGTTGCCCACGCCACTGAGTGCCGCGCCAGCGATGGCGCCGCCCACCGCAGCAGCCACCACCGCCTCGCTCTGGAGGTCGGAGAGCGCGAAGCCTTGCGGACTCTGGAGCAGCACCAACGCTCCGGAGATCACGCCCTACCAGGCATACAAGACACTTGGTGAGAGGGTGGTATGGCTGGTTGCAGTGCTAGTGCTAGAGCTACGGACTGTGTCATAGCCGAAGAGGAAGCCTCCGATGGACGCGCAGAGCGTCAGAAGATACAAGAACGGGGAGGACGTCGCGTGTGGGTGGTCGGGCGGAGCTGTGTCGGAGCTGGTGGAGGGCGGAGGCGGCAGCGGAGAGCACTGCGGCGCCGACTCGGACTTGGACTCGGACTCCATGGGCAGAGTCTCAACTGTCTGCGCCACGTCACAGAGGACGAAACTGACTCACTGCCGCCTTCTGATTGGCTGATCGACGAGAGAGTGAACCCATGTGCAAGTTTCCTGCAAGTGGATCATTTTCACGAACGTTGAATACTTTTAAGTACACGTATTTTAAAAACATTGCAATACACACTGGACATCACCCGTGCAACGTGCACGCCAGAGGGTCCATGATGCCCGAAGAAGGACAATGCCATCGTTAGATGAGCATGTCGCACTCCTTACGCCGGCCCGCCGACACGGTCCGTCATTTGTGAATTATCCCGGTCACGCGCAGATTGCAGATCTATCAACGTACTATCCAGCACCATGGCCCAGGGTGTCCTCGTTATCCCTCAAGCGCTCCAACAGCCAGCGGAGAAGGAGTCGACGCCTCTACTCCAGAAAGACAGCGGCAGTCCGTTGTACCTGTACTTGCTGACGCTTTGCTCGTCCATCGGAGGCTTCCTCTTCGGCTATGACACGGTATTGCATGCACTCGTTACTGTATGCAACTTCAACTATAGCCGAGGGTCAAATGAGCTGACGTGGGAATTTCTTTCGTGTCTCTCGAATCGTAGGGGGTCATCTCCGGTGCGCTGGTTCTGCTCAGGAGTCCGGAGGTCTTCAACCTTACCAATTCCAGAGTGAGAGCGTCGTGTCTGCTGCTGTCGGTGGCACCATCGCCGGAGCAGCTCTCAGTAGCTGTGGGAACCAAACACTCGGTCGTCGTGGCGTGATCCTGCTGTCGTCGCTGATGTTCACGGTGGGCTCCGTCCTCATGGCCTCGGCGACGTCTTTCGTGTCATTGCTCGTCGGCCGGCTGGTCGTGGGCATCGCCATTGGATTCGCGTCCATGACGGTGCCGCTGTACATCGCTGAGGTGTCGCCCCCAAACATCCGCGGACGGCTCGTGTCACTTAACAACGCCTGCGTCACTGGCGGACAGTTCTTCGCTTGTGTGCTGGATGCATTGCTCGCCAACGTGGACGACGGCTGGCGCTACATGCTTGGACTAGCCGCGATCCCTGCGTTGCTGCAGCTGCTCGGGTTCTTGGTGCTGCCTGAGACTCCACGCTACCTCATGAGCAAAGGCCGCAAAGAAGAAGCCTGGGAGTCCCTCATCAAAGTCCGAGGTACGATGGACGTATACGCCGAGTTCAGCCAAGTGGAGGACGAAGTGGAGAGCACTCGATACGAAGACACCAACGTGTGGGAGGAGCTGCGCTCGCCGTCCGTTGTGCGCGCGCTCGTACTCGGCTGCTTCCTCCAGGCGCTCGCGCAGCTGTGCGGCATCAACACCGTCATGTACTATGGAGCCACCATCATCCAAATGGCCGGCTTCACCGACCCGTCGACGGCCATTTGGCTCTCGGCGCTCGTCTCCTTCAGCAACTTCATCTTCACCTTCGCCGGCATCTATCTCGTCGACCGCGCGGGCCGTCGACTACTAACGCTCGGGAGTCTGGCCGGGGTCTTTCTGTCGCTTGTAGCGCTTGGCGGGAGCTTCTACGCGGCCGAGCTGCAGTCCACGCAGGTGACGGGCGTCGGCGAGTGCGCGGGCATCTCGACGTGCTTCGACTGCGTGGCCAGCGCCGCGTGCGGCTTCTGCTCCGAGGGCAACGCGGACCCGACGAGCGCGCTGTCGAGTCCCACGGCCATAAACCTGTGCATGCCTGGCACGGCCGAGTCGACGGCGCTCGGGTCGTGCTCGAGCCCGAACTGGTCTTTCCAGGCCTGTCCGACGGACAGCCGCGCCGCTGGCTGGACCATCTTCGTGGCGCTGTTCGTGTACCTGGCCTTCTTCGCCAGCGGCATGGGCTGCATGCCCTGGACCATCAACGCCGAGATCTACCCGCTGCGCGTGCGCAGCTTCGCGTTGGGCATTGCGACGTCTGTGTGCTGGGTCACGAATCTACTCGTGTCGTTCACGTTCCTGTCGATCGTGGACGGGCTGTCGGTGTACGGCGCCTTCTGGCTGTACGCGTCCATCGCGCTCTTGGGCTTCGCGTACCTGTGGAAGGAGCTGCCGGAGACGAAAGGACTGGAGCTGGAGGAGATCCAGCAGATTTTTGAGCGTCGTGTGAGAAGACCATCGTCTGTCGCGGTGAACTGATCGATGCACTGTTGAAGTGATATATATAATAGTAATAATAGTTTCAAGTGGAAAGTAATGTACATATGAGCCTACGACTTACCCGTGAACAATTTTTGCTGTGCACGTCTCAATGCGCGTTAGTGTCAGACGCGTCTACAAAGTGCTAAACCAACTGCAAGATCAACGAGGCGATGGCCACCACGCAAGAAACGATCGTACGTCACCGAGAATGGCGTTGGTGGCGTGGTCAAGCCGAACTGCGTGAGCGCGGAACAGCGGATACAGTACTAGTAATTTCAATGTGTGAATGCATGGTTGGTTCAATTAGGTGCAACCAACTTGGTTGCACCGATATCTTATGCTTCACTTTAACCGTTCATGAAAGCATCGTCTCAAAAAGCCTTGGTGAGCCTTATCACACCGCGACAAAAGATTCGCATCAACTTGCATGAGTGCACACAAGTGCCCTATCCCTTCTTCTACGACGATCATGTTCGACTGAAGACATTCTGCTGGCAAAGTCTCCGTTAGCAATGTCGCCGCTACCAATACATGTACCGGTAACATGACTCAGCCCGAAGCGGAACACAAGTGTTACCAGTGGCGGTGGGCGCTCCGTTGGCAACACATCAAACCACGAGGACAGCCTCCGCCTCCGGTGTCGCGACCATCAAGTTGAGTGCAGCTCGTTTGGACAGTGCACGGCTTGAACAACACGCCGAGATTTGCGAGTAACCCATGTCGTGTTCTCGCCATTGGCTAAATCGCTATGTGACGCCACGCCCCCATCGCCAGACGCTGCTGCAAACGAGCACACTGAGGAGAGACAGGAAACTGGAAACGCCGACCGACGATCCGTTTCGATCTTCATTTGCGATTTTGTCGGCTCGAGCTCAAGACGCTGGCGACTAGCGAGTTTTCGGATACGATTTTCGAGTTTTCGAGTGTAGCCATCTCAGATAGACAGATCCTGAGTTCAACATGGCTGGAAGCTCGCTGTGCCCCTCGAGAGGCTCCCGCATTGATACCCAGGAGTCGACGCCGCTGCTGCCCAAGGCGGATCCGCTGCTATCCATTCCAAAGGAGGGGAACCCGCTCTACTTGTACGTGCTCACGCTCTGCTCCACCATCGGCGGCTTCCTCTTTGGCTACGACACGGTACGTCCCCCCATTCCTGCGCATACACTCATATTACCTCTAACTCGTCGCATTTGCTGCAGGGTGTCATCTCCGGAGCGCTGGTCTTGCTCAAAAGCCCCGAGGTGTTCGACCTCTCAGATCTGCAGAGCGAGAGCGTGGTCTCAGCTGCAGTCGGGGGCGCCATCCTGGGCGCAGCTCTCAGTAGCTGCGGTAACGACGTCTTCGGGCGTCGCCGAGTGATTCTGATGTCTTCCGCCATGTTCACTGCGGGTTCAGTACTGATGGCGTCGGCCGAATCCTTCGGAGAGCTGCTCGTTGGACGTCTCGTGGTGGGCATCGCCATCGGATTCGCGTCCATGACGGTGCCGCTGTACATCGCTGAGGTGTCGCCCCCAAACATCCGCGGACGGCTCGTGTCACTTAACAACGCCTGCGTCACTGGCGGACAGTTCTTCGCTTGTGTGCTGGATGCATTGCTCGCCAACGTGGACGACGGCTGGCGCTACATGCTTGGACTAGCCGCGATCCCTGCGTTGCTGCAGCTGCTCGGGTTCTTGGTGCTGCCTGAGACTCCACGCTACCTCATGAGCAAAGGCCGCAAAGAAGAAGCCTGGGAGTCCCTCATCAAAGTCCGAGGTACGATGGACGTATACGCCGAGTTCAGCCAAGTGGAGGACGAAGTGGAGAGCACTCGATACGAAGACACCAACGTGTGGGAGGAGCTGCGCTCGCCGTCCGTTGTGCGCGCGCTCGTACTCGGCTGCTTCCTCCAGGCGCTCGCGCAGCTGTGCGGCATCAACACCGTCATGTACTATGGAGCCACCATCATCCAAATGGCCGGCTTCACCGACCCGTCGACGGCCATTTGGCTCTCGGCGCTCGTCTCCTTCAGCAACTTCATCTTCACCTTCGCCGGCATCTATCTCGTCGACCGCGCGGGCCGTCGACTACTAACGCTCGGGAGTCTGGCCGGGGTCTTTCTGTCGCTTGTAGCGCTTGGCGGGAGCTTCTACGCGGCCGAGCTGCAGTCCACGCAGGTGACGGGCGTCGGCGAGTGCGCGGGCATCTCGACGTGCTTCGACTGCGTGGCCAGCGCCGCGTGCGGCTTCTGCTCCGAGGGCAACGCGGACCCGACGAGCGCGCTGTCGAGTCCCACGGCCATAAACCTGTGCATGCCTGGCACGGCCGAGTCGACGGCGCTCGGGTCGTGCTCGAGCCCGAACTGGTCTTTCCAGGCCTGTCCGACGGACAGCCGCGCCGCTGGCTGGACCATCTTCGTGGCGCTGTTCGTGTACCTGGCCTTCTTCGCCAGCGGCATGGGCTGCATGCCCTGGACCATCAACGCCGAGATCTACCCGCTGCGCGTGCGCAGCTTCGCGTTGGGCATTGCGACGTCTGTGTGCTGGGTCACGAATCTACTCGTGTCGTTCACGTTCCTGTCGATCGTGGACGGGCTGTCGGTGTACGGCGCCTTCTGGCTGTACGCGTCCATCGCGCTCTTGGGCTTCGCGTACCTGTGGAAGGAGCTGCCGGAGACGAAAGGACTGGAGCTGGAGGAGATCCAGCAGATATTTGAGCACCGCGAAAAGCGCTCGAGCTCGGCATTCTCCACTATCAGCGAGTTCGCATCAACCGCATCGACGTTGTGAGAACCCCCACAACACTGTTGTCGTAGATTGGTAGTAGTATTTCATGGAGCAGAAGTAGGTAGAAGTATCGAAGCTATACAGATAAAGATTGTGCTGCAACTTTCTTCCTTTTGAAACAGTACGAGCTCTTGCGCTGTGGTGATCCATACAGCTATTAATACATAGGATAGAACATGCATTGTACCCCCAACGGGGGGGGGGGGTCAAAACTAAGTGGCGTCCTATGCGCCGGGGACGGCCTCGAGCAGGTTCGGGTCCTCGACGCACGCCTTGAGGTTCTTGGCCATGCGCGCCGCCTCGGAGCCGTCGACGTAGCGATGGTCGATGGTAGTGGTCAGTGTCAGCATCGGGCGCACTTCCACCTTGCCATCCACCACGACGGCCTTGTCCATGATCGACCCGATCGTCACGAGCATCGGCACCTGCGAGTACGGCGTGATCGGGGAGAAGGCGAGATCCAGCCCCATCATGCCCACCGACGTCACCATGCAGCTGCCGAACATGTAGGGCTCCACGCCCACCGGCGGGATGCGGAAGCCACAGGCGCTGCCCAGCCAGCCGAAGAAGTTGAGCATCGGCCGGATCACCCACGTCGGCAGCACGCTCATGATCTTGTTGCGGTCTTCCTGGCCCTTGTCCTTGCCGCTGCGGATCTTGGTCGCGTCGCCACGAACGCGCTTGACCACGTCCTGCAGCGTCATCTTGTCGACCTCGGGCAACCTGCAAACGCCGAGGTCCTTCCCGGCTCCGACGGCAACCAGACACGAAATGTCCACGGTCGGTGCCGGGTAGTACTTGCCAAACACCAAGTGGCCATTCACCGACGGGGCCTTGCTCAATGCCTTGCCCAGAGCTCGCAGGACGATGTGCGTGATGGTAAGGTGGCAGTCCGAGTCTTTCCGTCGCTCGGCGATGTACTGGTTGGTCTTGGTCATGTCCAGCTGCAGCGTGCCGAGAATCATGCCGCTGTCAGGAGGTCCGAACGTCGAGATCATCATTTTCCTTCGCGGTGACATGCGGCTCGGGCCGAGGTGAAGCTGCAGCGCGAAGAACAGGATCAGCAGGATCACAGCCGTGAAGTGCACAGCAGTCGGAAGGCCGACCGTCTTCAGAGCCAAAACGGCCCCGCCAAATTGAATCGCGTACATGGCCACGTCGCTCACTGTATTCTTGCCGGTCTTGGAGAGATCCATAACCTCAACTGACTCGGCAGTTTTCTTCGACTCACTCTTCTTCGCTGCTGCTGATGATAATACAGTAGATGCCTGCTTGGCTTTCGTTTTCTCCTCTGCCGGTCGCGAGGCGGTATCCACTCGCAGCGTTCCATTGCGAGCGACTCCATTCTGCATCGTGTGGGAGCCCATCGACGACGACCGCTTTTTGTAGGGAGGTGGGAGCTCGAACAGCGTGTTGGTCAGCTTACCCTGAGCCGCCACCTTGTCGAGGTCGCGTCTCGACTTGATCACCTCACCCATCCGGGCAATGACGAACGGCTGCTCTGCTGCTGCCTTGCCAGCGATCCGCGCGGGGATGTTGCCCTTGAGGTCCGTCTTGATCATCGTGGTCACCTCAGCACCACTGTACGCTGCGTTCGGGACGATCTTGGTGCACGCCAAGTGCAAGTCACCACGGACGACCTTGGGCTCCTTGAGCGGGCACAGCTCCTGATCCTCGATACTCTGCACCACAATGATGATGGTGCCTCCAGGCAGCACGCGCCAATGAGCCAGGTTGCAGAAGTCGCGGCCGGCGACCACAAACATGGACTTGTACTCGAGATAGTCGATGTTGGTCTGAGCGTTCAATGACTTGAGGTTCATGCCCAGTGCGAGCTGCGGGTCCACGAGCTTACGCCTGGCAGCGTCCACCACTTGTTCCCAGATAGCGCGCGGGTGGTAGGGCAAGAACCCCACGCCCTTGGCTGCCGTCAAGGACCCGTCCACCCTGGTGTAGGCCTTGACGCCGTCCTTGTCGCCGATGAAGTTCCAGGACGTTTCGTCGTTGAGCTCGGCCTCCATCCGCGCCACGGCCTTCTCGATGATCTCGCTGTACTCTTCAGGGACGACTGGGAAGCCTTCTTCCGGCACGACACTCGGTCGTCTGCTTGGAAGCGACTCGGCCTGGTCATCTTGGTCGTTGACGTCCGGCAAGTTCGAGACAGCTTCCTCCTCGTCTTCCACGCAGTCCGTCGTAGAGATGCCAAAGGTTGTGGCGTTCGTGACGCGTTCCCACTGTCTGGGGCTCTCGTCCTCGTCAAGCGCCTTCCGCAGTCCGTCCACCACGAACGCCTGCTTGATGAACATCTTGGCCTGCAGTCCAGCCGGGATGCCCGCCTTTACATCCACCTTGGTGATGTACGTGGCGGTCACGCCGGTGTAGTCCTCGTTGGGCGTGAGCAGGAAGCCCGCCATGATGATCTTGCCGCGCACGATCTGCGGCTCCTGGCTCTTGACGAAGCTCTCGTCTTCAGCGTACGTGGCCACGACGACCATGGATCCGTCGCGTAGCACGCGCCAGTGCGTGAGGTTGACAAAGTCCCTCGCAGCGGCGGGGAACACCGCCTTGTACGTCAAGTGGTCCACCCACGTGTGGTCGTTGAAGACGTGCACTCGCTGCGTGGCCAGCAGCTGCGGGTCGAACGTGTATCGCTTCGACAGCTCCAGCACGAGCTGCAGCACCTTGTGCGGGTGGTGGGCGATGAAGCCCACGCCCTTGAAGGCGCCGATCCTGGACGCGCGACGCACGTACGCCTTGACGTCGCGCTGCTCGGTCTGGAACTTCCAGCCTTCCGCGCCCTCGCGCGCCTGGGCGACGAACTCGGCCAGCAAGCCGTCTATCTTATCTGCAAACTCGTCGGGGATGGCCGCGCCGGGGACGTCCAGCAGCTCCGTGACCGACGCGTCCACGAGCATCGAGTGGGACGAGGCCGAGTGCAGCAGCAAATCGCTGCTGGACGAGTTGGCCATGGGCAGTTGTCTACTGGAGCCGGGGCTGGAGCCCGAGCCGGAGCTGGAGGCGGAGTTCTGCGCCAGCGTGGCGGCTTGAGTCAGCGCGTGGATCCAGTCCTCCGTGCGGCTGGGCAGCGTGGCCGCCAGGTCGTAGACCTTGGACGTCTTGGGGTGAGAGATGCGGAAGCTGTAGAGCTTCTTGTCCTTGGTGGCACGGATGTGGCAGCCCGTGAGCACGACGATGCCCTTGGGCACCGAGTCGCCCTCGCGCTTGTAGTAGTAGAGCACGGTGCCCTCGAGCGAGAAGAAGCGCGGGCGCCAGGACCGGCCCAGTCCCGTCTTCTTGTACAGGTGGCCGGCCTTGCGCAGGAAGGAGGAGGACGACGAGCCGTTGCCCGCGGAGCTCGAGAGCGCGGCGGCGGCCGATGACGCCAATGGCGCAGGCGGCGGCGACTGCGGCGAGTTGTGCATCGTAGCGGCGGCGCCAGCAGTAGCGGCTTCTTGGCTGGTGCTTGGGTGGGCGCTGGGCAGCGACTTGCGGACTGATGAGAAGCTCGCCATCTTTCGCTTGTCACGCAGTTACGCGGAGGGATCAGGCCGGGCCCATACTGGGCGCTAGTGAAATGGCAAGGACGGGGCAGGTTGAAGCCCAGTTCTGCGTACTGTGGGTGACCTGGCGCCGCCAGTTTCACGCGCGATGCGCGCACGTCAAGCTCCCGCTTTGCTTGACGGCAACGTCCTCGCCGATCTGCCTTGGTCTGCCATGCTGACTTGCATCCGCGGCCTTCGTGCATTGCGGATTCGTTAGTGTTTCTGCCCAGGTGGATGCCAGCGGTTCAACGCCAGCTTCGGCTCGGCACATTGGCGTTGGCTGACTCACTTGGCGCTGGTGGTGGAGTCCACGCCACCAGCATTTTGTCGCTCGAGCAGACTGCGGCAGCATTGTCGATCGAATCCCACCAGATTGCTGGAGCTCAATGCCGCTCGTTTGTCCGTCGGGTCCGTCGTTCAACTGACCCCAAGCTCTTCTATAGGAGCTATAGGTCTGCATTTGAAAGCGTTATCAGAGCACGTTTGACTACCATGGTTGGCTGGCCAAGGAGCACTCGAAGCATGTTGGCTAGACGGCCAAAGTCATCGACTTTGTGGTACTCGAAGTGAAGACGCACGAACTCGTCTGCTGCGTTTTCAAGCAGCACAGACAGCCCTCGTATCAGCTCGCACTTCAACCACTCACTTGGTCTTTGTAATGATCCCTCGTCTCGACGCTCATTGGCCAATAGTCCCCATTCAGCTTCAATCTCCTTCCTCCCTCCCTCTCCGAGCCATGGCGCGCGCCTTCTATCGCCTGGGCGCGCTCTGCAGCGGCTCCCCCGTGCTCATGGCGCTGGCGGCGCTGCTCTGCGGCGGCGTGCTGTGCCTGGGGCTGCTCAACATGCGGCTGCAGACCGACCCGCAGGGCCTGTGGGTGCCTCCGCGCAGCGTCGCGGCCCGGGAGCAGGCGCGCTTCGACGAGCTCTTCGGGCCCTTCTTCCGCGTCCAGCAGCTCATCTTCTACGCGGACTCAGACTCAGATGGTCTCTCTGCGACGTGTGACGCCTCGCGCGACCTGGTGCAGCGCCGCTTCCTGCTGCAGATGGCCAAGGTGCAGGCGCAGATCGCCGACGCCGCCGTCACAGTGCAGGGCGACGGCGCCCAGGGCAAGGTGACGCTCTCGCTCGAGGACTTCTGCTACCGCCCCATCCGCGGCAAGGGCTGCCTCGTCACCAGCCCCTTCCAGTACTGGCTCGGCAACGCGTCGCTGCTGGAGGGCGACCCGGACATCAAGCTCACGACCGCGTGCCAGACCACGGACCCACAGCTCCAGGAGCGCGCGCCCTGCATGGACCAGAATGGCGTCCCCGTCATGCGCGACGTCGTGTTCGGCGGCCTGTCGAGGGACGACTGCCACCAGAACCCGGACCCGTGCGGGGAGGCCACGCCGCAGGCCCAGGCGCTCGTGGTCACGTTCCTGCTCAACAACAGGCCCGAGAACGAGACGTACACGAGGTACGTGGAGCAGTGGGAGCAGCAGGCGTTCCTCAAGATTGCAGCACAGGCGGCGGAGGCGCTTAAGCCCTCCTCGACCGCCAACAAGAGCGACGAGTTCATCTGGGACAGCGTGCAGGACCAGGAGCTGGCGGACGTGGGCGTCGACGGCATGCGCCTATCCTACATGGCGGAGCGGTCGGTGGCCGACTCGCTCGTGGTGCAGACCAACCAGAACGCGTTTATTGTGGTGGTGAGCTACCTCGTCATGTTCTTGTACGTGTCGGCGTCGCTCGGCAAGTTCACGGACCCGGTGCGCTCGCGGTTCGGGCTGGGGCTCACGGGCATCCTGATCGTGCTGCTGTCGCTGGGGGCGGCTATGGGGGTGAGCTGCGCCATTCTGCAGATGGAGGTGACGATGATCACGTTGGAGGTCGTGCCGTTCCTGGTGCTGGCTATCGGCGTCGACAACATGTTTATCTTGACCAACGAGTTCGATCGACTCGCGGCTCTGCGTGGCCTCGCAACGCTGGACACCAGGCGCAACACGCGCGACCGGGCAGAGGACGAACTGTTGATGTTGAAGCAGGTGCTGGGAGAAACCATGGTCAATGTCGGACCCTCGATCGTCGTGGCGGCTGTTGCAGAAACGTTGGCGTTCTTGGTGGGGGCTCTCACACGTATCCCCGCCCTAACGAGCTTCTGCGTGGTTGCTGCGCTGGCTGTTGCCGCTGACTTTGCGCTGCAAATGACGTGGTTTGCCTCGGCCCTCGTGTTGGACGCGCGCCGCGTGCGTGCCCGACGCTACGATTTGTTCCCGTGGATGAAGCAGAAACTCACCCTCACGCCGCCCACAAAGGGCAAGCGGAGGATCGAGTCCAAGATTCACTACCAGTATGACTTGCTGGTTGACGAAAGCGAGCGAAGTGACGAGCCAGCAGCTCGTGTGAGCAGCACTGGCACACTTCAGCGTTTCGTGGAGAAAACCTACATCCCGTTCCTGTTACGCCGGTCCACGAAAGTGCTGGTGCTTGTGACGGCTCTTTCAGTGGTAACTCTTAGTGCTTTTGGCTCCTCCGAACTCCCACTCGGACTCGAGCAGGAGCTTGCGGTGCCTACGGATTTTTACCTGCATGAGTACTTCAAGAAACAGACCGCGCTTGGTGAGGCGGGGCCACCAGCTTACGTTGTTCTGGATAGCGATGTGGATTACACAGATGCACGCCTCCAGCAAGATGTGAACGTGCTATTGGATCAGCTTTCCGGTCTTCGCCAGTATATCCAGCTGCCGGTGTGCTCGTGGCTGCATACGTTCAACCAATGGCGTCAAATGCGCTTCTTCCTACAGGACAAGATTAAACAAGGTCAGTGCGATTGTCCGGTGCAGCCAATGGATCCGTTCCCGTACGAACTCGCGAATGTTGGAGTCGAGGACCCCAGTGGAGACGTTGATTTGTTCCTAGCGCCCGAGTATGGGTATGGCGCTCTGGCAACGGCGCATGTGACCCCCAATGCGCTGTTCTACCCGTTGGTGAAGAACTTCACAAAGATCTCAATTGACTCAACGTGCTGCCAGCATTTCGGGCTGTGTGGAGCGCAGTATGAAGGAGACATCATATTCAACGAGCCAAATGCAGGTGATGACGACTCTACGGGCATGTCTATCGTCGGTTCTCGTATACGCTTCCAGCTGAATGCACTCCGCAACCAGTCCATGTTCGTGAACTCGTACTACTACCTTCATGATGTGGTGGGGCGTTGGAGCATCGACCATGCCGCCACTGCCTTCCCGTACGCTCTTGTCTTCGTGTACGAAGAGCAATACACGTACATCCAGGGAGTGGCGCTGCAAAGTGTGCTGCTGGCGCTGGCCGTGGTGTTCGGAGCGCTCTTCGTGCTGATGGACGGGAGCTTGCGGCTGACCACCGTTGTCACCTTGTGCGTGCTGTCGATGACTTTCTCGCAGTTGGGCTTCCTCTTCGTGTGGAATATGATTGCTGGGCCGGGCGCAGAAACGTCGATCAATGCAGTCTCGGTGGTGAATCTGCTCGCCTGTGTTGGGCTTGGTGTCGAGTTTTGCGTGCACACGGCACACCAGTTTGCCTTTTCGCGACGGCATCACCTGGGCACAACTGCCAACGACCACACACGATACGCTCTGAGCAGTGTGGGCGCATCCATCTTCTCCGGTATTACGCTCACCAAGTTCTGCGGCATCGGTGTCCTTGCGTTCGCGCCGTCCATGTTGTTCCGCGTGTACTTCTTCCGCATGTACCTGGGCATTGTCGTGTTGGGCTGCTTCCACGGTCTCGTACTGCTGCCAGTGCTGCTGAGTCTCATTGGCCAGCCGCAGAAGTACCCGAACGATCTCAGCTCGTTTCTACTTTCTGAAGAGCGAGACGACGAGTTAGAGGACGAAGTGAGAGCGTTCAAGTGAGTGGTGCTAGGTGTCAACAATACTTCTCTGGCCCACATAAGAAACAACACTTCGGTTTTCTGGACATAACTATTTACAAAAAAATCGTTTGGCGACTCGCCGAACACTGCGCATTTGCTCCGTTTCACGCTATGATTTAAAAAATCTAGCAGCAGAAAGAAAAGAGAAACAGCCTTTTATCTGAAGTCCGTTTTAGGCAACATTAGGTTTTTTAGCGAGGTGCCGTCAAAAATTAGCGATATTAGAAAATAAAATATCACCGTAATCGCGAGTGACTGCTTTACCCTTATGTTCGGTTGTCGATGTTGTAGCGCCTGTTGGAGACGAGTTAGAAGGGCTACAGTTTTGAGGGTTTTCTACGCGATTATCTCGACATGCGCAGACCCATTTATTTTGGCCAATAGTAAGCTGAAACAGTTGATTATACCCAATCATATGTGACATGTGGTCCACATCAAATTGAGGTTTAATGCCGAATGTTGTTACTTAAGTGGGCCAGAGAAGTATAAACCAGACTGTGCTGAAGTCACGTGGTTTTCAATTCGAGGTAGACTCTTACTGTTCGCAAGTCTACGAATTTGCGTTGTCATAGAAAATGATCTCGCGGATGAGTGGATGCCAGCCTACCACGCATTCTTGCGCCAGAACTGCCACCATTCCTTGGCCAGCAATCCCTTTTTGCGTCGCCAGAGCGCAGAGAACTCCAAATACTCATGGAAGCGCGGGTCGTCTTTCAGTTTTTAGTCCCAGCGTAGTCAAGATGGTAATCGGGTTTTCATCCTCCTTGAGCCACTGGCGGTACTTTTTGTTTTTCGCGATCTTCTCCAGCTTCGCGGGGTCCTTGGTGAACCGGTTCGTTAGCTTGATGATCAAGGTGAACGCCCTCTCCTCCTCCTCCTCCGCAATGCCCGTGCTGTCAACTCGAAGCCGTCTCTTCCTGGCCAGGCTGTCCCCATCGGCGAGTCCGTCAAAGTCAGACGCGGTTACCTTCGTCAATCTCTCTTCACCTGAACTCAGAGCAGCGCTGCTGGCGATCGCGAAGGCCACAAGCAGCAACACGAGGAAAAGTGAGCGCATGTGAACTCTTGGCTTGAAGGTTGTTTGTCTTGAGTGCTTCTGGAGTAGTGTGCAAATTGTGAAATGAAGGAGAAAAGTGGTTGAGAGGCTGCTGTTCGCAACGGCGACATGAATTGGCTCACCGTCCACTCGAGGAAATATGAAAAATCCACAGCTTTTTGAGGGATAACCCACAGCTTTGCGTCTCCAGTCCACAGCGATTCATGCTCTTTCGTAAGACGATACTTAGCCCCAGAGAGCCTACCGTAAGACAAAGTGTCTTACGTTTTGCAATCAACGCATTTTGGCTACATCTTGGTTTTAGTATACCAGTGGCTACATTGTATTTTGTCCGTCAAAACGTAACACAGTTTGTCGGACAACAATTTGCACCATGCGATTGGCCAAAACTTTCTGCACGAAAGAGGGTCAATTCCGAGACCAACTGGGGGCACCCAGTGTCGTTGCGTGCGTTCCTCCGTTAAGCATGTAGAAACCCGAGGACAACCGCTTTGCCGTTTTTGAATTGCTCGTGCCACCTACAGTCGAGCCGACGAAATAAGGCGCTCACAAGCACGAACATGTAGTCGGTAGTGCGGCCCTACTGCCAACTACAATGTACACGCTTGTTTGAGAATGGTTAATAAATAAATGCACCCGAACCATTAGCCCAGCTTGACAAACAAAACGTTCAGGGCTTTATAGTGAATTCTAGTTAATGCATAACCAAATAGAGCCCCTCTTCCTCCGGTAGTGCGGCCCACGAACCCTGTCGTGTCCTCTGAGGACGCCTCCGAGCGAAACAATGCACGACGAGCGCGCACACATACTCCGCACCGAGGCGTTGTCGGAGGACGCGAGGGAGTAGACATTCAATACATTATGGGATCTTACCAAAGCCATGAAATGAACTGTTTTGTAGTAGCAACAAGGCAGCGTCAGCCAGTCTTGGTATTTGTATTTGTTGCGGTTTGCTTGGCTGCCTTACTCCCGGAGGCGCACACTGCTGCAGCTCCACCTACGTCGGTAGTGGACACCTCCGACCTCACCCGCGGCCACGTGTAGGCAAGCTGTTGGTGGAGTCGCAAACGACGTGAGGGCCTCTAAGAGTCAAATGAGCGGCGAAACTTCTCGGGAATACATGAAAAATGCCAAAGCTAATGTAATTGATCAGCCCGGCTGAAGGCGCTTACCAGTTTGCTCGGCTTGCTACTGTGGTACTAGGAAATCTAAACGATCTAAGCTCGCCGTGGTGTTTTAAATATGTAGAGGGAGTTTGTTGGTGTCGCAGCGCTCCTCCGCACAGTTCTATCGAACCGCCAATCATTACTACCACTACTATGCTGCGCCCGATATTAGTCAGGATACGAAGTGCAACGAAATGCATCAAAAAGAGTAGCGAAGAGGAACGCGGGCCTTCCTAGCAGAGCCTCTGCGCCTGGCAGTGCCAACAGAATTGGCAAGTCGTACTATTCGCCAATCAAATCACTAGATTTGATTTGTCGTCAAACTGTCTTACGAATGCTCGACACAAGTGATTGACGACGGAGCTGGCCGATGGGTACAATAACAGGCGTCAGGACCATCAATCTGCGGCGACGGCTGTACCATTCTTGAGGTACATGTATAGCGAGCTACGGTACCCTTCTTTAGGTACCCAGGTCGGAAGCACATGCAGCAGGTGCTGAGTGTGCAGGTTCGGGCGTCTAGCGCGGGGAGCAGGTGGGTACAGGCAACATCTATGGGTACGATACTTAGCTGGCTATTAGGGCAACAAAATGCAGTGTCGGCGTCGAGCTAACTCGCAATACTGACGTTACTGTGGATGAAAATGCAGACTCCAAGATCCTGCTTGCCGGGCACGGGTGGCTCTGGGGCCGTAGAGGATGGCGCGTGGCCATTTTCCGCAGGTGCGCGTGCAGCGGCATACTTGTGTGGTTATAATGATGCTATGCTTGTAGGCTAACGTGCTATATTGGTGGTGCTGTGAACGAATAGGAGGTGAAGTGTGGATTGGCGCTCGAGGGGCCAATACGCCCATGCCATGGACCCCATGGTACGTGTTGGGCGTGCTGGTGCATCCGGTTTTTTTTACAGCAGCACCTGGGCGCGCTATACGTGGACGACCGTGAGCAGCAGCGCAAGAACTGCTGCATCGCGTGCAAGATCGGCGACTTCAGGCTCAGCGCGGACGAGGTGCTGCGCGGCCGCCTACGACGCGATGCCCAAGGTGGCGAAGGTGGCGCGCCAGGAGGCGTACGACACGATCGCGGCCGGCAAGTAGTCGCGCGTCATCATGCTCGTGCGCTTGCCGCTCATATCCGACGCGTCGTGCGCGTTCGACACGTTCTGCGAGGTGTTCGTGGCCAAGGACTTCAACGCGTACCCCTACGGGTCGCAGCGGTTTGCTCCGTTCGCCTGCTGGTTGCAGGACAGGCTGCTCAGCGTGGCGGCGTACGGACGGATGAACTGGTAGAGCTACAGCTAGATGCACAGTTAGGGTCGTTCATGTACAATAATTCCTTTAATGCTATTAGAATATTTGCTAGCCATGGTCATGTAATGCGCGTGGACGAATAATGCAACCATATCTAGATTGACAAGTTGTTGCGGGTCATGGCAATACCTACTACTGCTAGTAGATACTACGTAGTATGTGCGTAGGTTAAGTTTTGCGCTTGAACTTGTCCCGCGACGACAGCGAGTGGCGGCGAAACTCCGAGTGGACCAACGGCGACGCCTCGCTGTCGCTGAGCGCCCCCATGACGCTCCGCGTCGATGCTCTTGTGCTCGGCGAGCACCCCTGTGTGCTGCTTCCAGCTTCATAACCTCTATACAGCAGCGTAGACACGTCAGCATTTAGAGTTAGTACGCCAACCATGCCACAAAAGATGGGCCATAACACAGGTGCTCAGACGCACCTGCAGCCCACGCCAAGAGCGCCCTCCATCGAGAGGGACAGCCTGGAAACAGCCCGAACTGCAGCATCGAGTTTCATTTTAGCTCTAAAAAACAGCGTAGAGACGCCAATTTAGAGAGTTAGTAGATCAAACAAGGCGTAAATGCTGCTGCGCACTACACCACAGTCACGTGCGGTGTCGAACGAAGCTCGATTCTACTGCCAACAAGGCGAATCACTGCGTTTGTTCAACGTCTTCTCATTGTACTATTGCGGGTTTCGAGCTTCAGCTCCACCAATATAGCGAATTAGGTAGTAAATTAGAGTTCATTAGATGTGTGATGTCATGGCCTAATAGTTCTGCCTGAGGAACTTGGCTTCTGCTGCTATCCTTGCGCTCAATAACACCAACAGCATCATCGACTTCACAATGCACTTCAATCGCATTTAGTGGTCACGCAGATAGAGAGAGATTCTGATTGGATCAAATATCAAGATAGAGAATGATGATGATTGGCTTAAATAGCTGTGGACTAGACATCCTGCATCTTGTGGATTGACTCTGGGAGCTGTGGATTTGCTCATTGAGCTGTGGATTATCCCCAGGTTCTGTGGATTGTCACCACCTGTTGTGGACTGACCTCGCAAATCTGTGGATTAAGACGATCGCTGTGGATTATCTTGTATTTCTGTGGATATTTTAGCCGTCCTCCCGTCCACTCACATGCACACAAAGTGAAATGGGAATAGAGTTCTTTATTAATAGCAGAACTGTGTGGGTTTAAGGCACAACCCCACCAAAGCCCGCAACTGCTGATTTGCTACAAATCTTTGTGGGTTGTCACCACCAGCACATGGTAGAGGCACGATTTACATACCGCTAGGCGAAGAATTAGCTTGGTGTTGAGCTGTTCGCCAAGTGCTCATGCGAAACGCTCTTTTGTTAAATAAGTAATATTAAAGAATACTAGTCTCCAGGCCGAGATACTTCTCAAAGCTTTCGCTTTGCATGTACCTTCGATCAAGTATATCGGACTTGGTAGACTCGCATTGCGAGTAAACACTTGCGAGTCGCAAGTGTTTACCCAGTTCAAGTGGTGGGTTTCAATCCCACAAATTGGTGGGGTTAGGACTAATACAAGCTGTGATAACCCACAAAGTATTGTGGTTTTCAACTATTTTGCCTCCCGATTTGACGTGTTATCTCGGAGTCCGATTTATATAAAATGGAGCTCCCACATGATCGGTTAGTCCAATTTAGCTATATCTGGCCTGGGTTAGTAGCATAAGGCTCAAAGGGGAGGCATTCCAAGTTGGACTTACCTCCCCACCTCTCATGACGCATTAGAACCGCAAGACATTGGGGACAATAGTACACTGTATATAGCCACTTCATGGCACAATGGCCATCTAAATCACCTGTGTGAACATCTACGACCGCTACAACTCCGTGCCACGCCGATCTGAGAGAGCCCCAGACATGTTTTCGCGGCGGTCCCTTTTGCCGGCGAAAAGCGGCATTTCTGGCCCCTGCTTCGCAACTCGCAGCCCCCAGACGCATATCGGGCCAGATATAGTTTGCTTCCCTCAGCCCTTCCTGCTAAATCGGAGCCCTCCAGCAAATCGGGCCCGATATATCGGATCTTGGACCACCCGATTTGCCAAAACGGATGAAAGCCACAGTAATTGGCAGATTCCGGACCGGAATCCGGAAACCTGTCAAACCTGCAATAGAGCCACACTGTCGCCACATAAAAAACCTCGTTCCAATCAACGTCGACTTAATCATTTCGGACGGGAGTGCAAAGGGCTAAAATTCATACTTATATGAAATATGTAAATCCTCTCCACTTGTTCTCTGTGGTGTAGGAAACACCAGATTTCGCGCGACCAACTCGGCTGGAGTGGTACACTGTACCGGTAGCCGAGCTCAGCCGAGTTCACCAGCTTATCCGGACACCTTATCCGGCTCAGCCGAGTTCGAAGAATTGTCCGGATAGCTCATCCGGACAATTCGAGCTCAAGCGTCGCCGAGCTCAGCGAAGAGTCGGCCGAGATCCAAAACCGCCCACTTTCATTTGGTATTTGTATAGGAGCTTAGGAATAGTGGAGGTGCCCCTTCAGGGCGCCCGACAGAGATAACAAACAACAGAGCAGACTTTTCTAGGCCTAAAGCACGTGTACACGTTCCGGTAAGTCCCTGCACGGGGCCGAATTATGTCTGCTGCCGGTACCCGAGAGGCATAGCTTGTTTGGTACTCGGCTGGCAGCGCCAAGAGATTAAGGTCGGCCCGGGTTGGGCGCGAGCCTCGCCAAACGCGAAGGAAAAGTCTCGCCACCGCTGCGAGCCGGTGTTCCCGTACGTCCCGGGCACTGATTGCTGAGTCGAGAAGCCTTTGCTCTCGGCGACCTGTAAAAGCGCTCCGTGCGCCGTCGTCCATCCTTTGGTGGAGGGCACAGGGTTGAGTGAACGGAGGCCGTCGAACTCGGCGGTTCTCCGGAGGAGTGATCTTGGTTGGCAGGTCTCGGCGAGAGGCGAGACACCCGCTGTCCCGGTTGGGCCGAACCGCTCGGGGGCAACCCGGCGCAGGCCAACAAAGCCGACCAGCTCGGCTATTGTTGTGTTTGTAGCCAAGTTACCACAACTGACGATTTTGTGTGTACTGCTATACCACAACTGGTGCCGCGACCCGGGAACAGGGGTGTGCTTGTGTGGCGAAGTGGATCCGCGAAATTTGCAGATCGCGGGGGTCCTCTTGCACACGGCGCCCGAACGGCCGACTAACGGAGGGGGTACTCCGATCTTCCGTGAAGTTGCTGATCCTCACCTTGTGTACCCGTCGGTGGGCTGGATCGCTCTTCAGGTGATCTCGAGAAGACGCGCTTGGGGTTGAGTCTTGGACTGTCTGGTGGACAGCGGGAACTTGTGGCAGCAACGCGGATATGCTTCACGCTGTGCCGGAGTAGTTGTGGCGGTTTCGATCTGGGGTTGTCTAGATCGACACTCGTCGGCCAGGTGTGATCTTGGCCTGGGGTTGCCTTGTGGTGGGTGTGTGACCTTCCTTTCCTTTCCTTGCTTGCCGCTTCCACTAGCGGTGGGTCGAAGTGAGGGTTGACGGACGCTGGGCCAAGCTATCCTGGCGTCCGAGATTCCTTGATCTTGGGGTGTAAGTCGACTTGCGTAGCGTCAGGTGGGCCAAAATATATCCCGTGCCCGGTATTGCGAAGGCGAAGACCACTTGTGAAGAAGGAGGTAAAATCAACTCTGTTTAAAATGTTAGCTTGTCCTAAGTCCTTGTCCTATCGTTCTCCTGCACTCCTGCGCTCGTGCGGTCTGTGCGCGTGCTCTCTAGCTCCCCTTGAACGTTGGTGGTGTCGCTGGCTCTCTGCCCGGTGTCTGCGCAATCCGTGAGGTCGAAATCATCACTCTTTCTCCAAGATCGCGTCATCCCCGCCAAGATCGATATCGTCGACTTGGATCGATTACGCCGGGGTTTGGCTCTCAAGCACCTCCAGAGATGTTGTTCACCTTGATGTTGCCCCCTTGACCTTCTTGCTGGTTACTATCGTGCCAGACTACGCGTCGCCACGCTTTGCCGATCTTGGTCCACACTGTCGATCTTGGCCATCTTGTTGATCTTGGGTATCCGCGCGAAAATATCTCCATCCACTACACCACACTTGTGTTTCGTAGGTTCCAGCTAACCAAGGTTTAAGAAGAAGAGAAGAGAGTTTGAAGATGGTCAAGGGAATTGCTACGCCGTGTCCAGCGACGATTGGAAGTAACTCGGCTGGACTGACCAACTCGGCGGACTCGGCGAATGCGATGATCACGGACGCGACGGCGGACGAGGCGCGCACCGTCCAGTTCGATGAGGATGATGCCCAAGACCAAGAAAGTGAAGAAGATGTTGAGGATGAGTATGAGGAGAAAGCCGAGCTACTCGGCGAAGTCGACGAGTTGTCGCTGCAAGTCGGACAAATGGGAACCCCCACGTCCAGTTGTGCGCAACCTGGCGGCCGAGCTCGGCAATGATACGGACGACGAAGATCAAGCCGCCGCTCAAGGGGAACGTCCGCCCCTGATCCCGCGAGCGACGAGGAATGCGGATACGCCAAGTGCGAACAAGGTTCTGGGCAGGCTCGGAGAGGAGATGCGAGCTCAGAGCGAGTGGATGATGATGTTTGCCCCAGTGGCGATGGCTCAGGCGAGATGGCCGGTGCTAGGGCCCGAGCTGACTCAGCCGGTGAACAGCACCGACATCAACCAACTGGTCGAAGACACGGTGCTGTTACTCAAGGCGATGAGGCTCCTGTGCACGAGCCGACCCAACCGCCTGCTACTCGGCGATTGGGACCCCAGCCGAGCTTCTCGCGAAATCCTCAAGTGGAAGCGCCGGTTGAGAGTCTCGTTTGGTCTCGAGCGGGGGGCCGTCGGAACTCGGCAGACTATTGCGAAACGAGTGGCTGATACTCCGAAGACCATCGAAGACCCCAGCAGGATTCCGCTGCCTAAGACTCCCGAACGCAAGAGAGCCAAGGTGTTCCGCTCTACTGAGGGTACGCCGTATTTCGAAGATTCGCATATGAAGACGCCAACGCGTGGCAAGCAGCCAAGTGGACGCTACGCTGAGTTGTTTGACGCTGCAGACGCAGCCAAGCTCAGCGACAGCGACGATGGGCGCGAGTACCTGAACTCGGCTGAAGAGTCGGTGAATGTGACGGGGCACACAGCACTTCTTAACAGAGGAACCAGGAGTATACAAACTCCAAGTGAACAGCCGTTCACGTGTCCCTGGTCTGAAGGGGACGACTTGACTTGAAAAGCGGTAGATCTAAGACTGAATGTATTTATAGGTTGGTACAGATTTGGCCTGCATACAAATCCTAAGTTCCCTATAGTTTGTGTCATACAAAATGTATCTGTTGGCTCTGAGGCCACTTGGGTCACTATCCAGGGGAGTGACCGATGTAGCCATCCCGGAATAGTGACAGGGTCACTATTCCATGTAACCCCGTTACTTCCTCCCCCACTTAGATTCGATCTTATCGACCAATCAGAGCGAGGTTACGCCGGCGACTCACATTTCACTCGCAAAGTCGAAATCCATCGACAACGGCGCGAGCTCTGGCGCCTCGGCTCCCGGGCCTCACAGAGCAACTGGCGCATCGCCGAGCAAGCCGCAGGGTCTCCACGTCGACCGGAAGCATGCCTCCAAAGCGCAGTGCGCGCAGTGCGAAAGCACCTCCGGAACCGCGGGCCGTAGGGCCGAAGACCAGGACAGCCAAGGCCAAGGACGAGTCGTCCGCGCTGATGGAGGCCACGAAGGCGGCCGAGGAGGTGGTGCGCTCTCGTAGCAGCACTCCGGAGAGTGGCCGTCAGGCCGGGGCTCGGAGCAAGTCTCCTGACGCCGCGCAAGGCAAGGAGGAGAGTCCTCGGGGCCATAAAAGCCCGGTTCGCGACTGGGAAGCCGCCGTCTTTGACTGCACGATGGTCCAGTACTCCGGTGAGAGTTCACCCGACGACGAGAACGTCTCGGAGGGCAGCACGCACGCTGCCGAAGGCACGGAGCTGGCGGCAGGCGACATGACCAACGCCTCGGCCGACGCAAAGGCCTCGTCAGAGAAGGAGGCGGAGGACGCCGAGTCCGGCTCAGGCGACAGCAAGCAGTCGCACGACGAAGTCGCCATGGCCGACGCTGGGGTCGTGGCCGAGAAGTCGCCGAGCGACGCGGGCTCCAAGCCCAAGGAGGTGCTGGCATCCAAGCATCTGACGCTAGCACAAGGTCGTGAGCGTGCCCAAGCGTCGAAAGCGGCTGCCGGTGCGAAGGCCGCCGAGGCCAAGGCGAAGAAGCGTTCAGCTTCCAGGTCGCCTCGCGGCTCCAGCTCCAAGCTGTTCATCGACTCGGAGTCTGAGGACGAGGAGGGTGCCATCCACGAGCCCAAGGAGCTCTCCAACAACCTCGACGAGCAGCAGCAGCAATACCACGCTGCTAGCTCGGGTGCGTATACCAGGCAGCCCCATCGAGTCTTCTTCAGGCGGGGATGCCACGTACCCGCAGGGCTACTTCCCGCCCGAGCCTGGCACTGGTGCGCCAGCGCTGTTGGAGAAGCTCTCGGCTCCTCGTGGCCTTATCGGCGGGTACACCTCGAGGGGTTCCTATGAGCGTGCTCTTGTTGAGAAAGAGCCACTCTTTCTTGGCGACGTTGAAGTCGCCCGGTGTGTGCTACTAGCACCACACAAGCTCACACTGAAGGAGTTCACCACGCTTCGCAAGAAGCCGGAGGACAAGGGTGGACTCCATCCTGTGTGGGGTTTCCACTGGGTCAAGTCGAATGACAACATGACCTGGAGCGAGGTGGAAGACCTCTTCTGGCGCTACGTCCAGCGCAAAGGGTATTCCGACCAAGAGTTCGAAGAACTCCGTGAGGATCGCACTCTGTCCGCAATCCTGGACGTGCGCGAGCTCCGCATCGAGTTCGCTCAACTCGTGAGCAAGCGCAAGCTCCACTCGAAGATGGACGAGCTGAAGCGAGGCGAGAGCAAAAGCTCGTGAAGAGCGTGGTCGTGGTGCGACTACGTCTGCTACCGTGCCCCGGGTACCGCAAGGACTACTTACGAAGCTGCCGCTACTTCTCGTCCCAAATCGCAACAGCCTTCGGGCAGTCTGCCTGGAGCTGCTCAACGGGCTCCCACGAGTTATCCGACTCAGGGTAACCCCTTCCACTTCACGAGCAGCTGGCGCTTGCCATGGAGCCGCCGCTCCCGGACGACTCGTTCCACGTGGTAGTGGATCTGCCCATTACGATCAAGGAGGGCCGGCGGTGGCCTCGCACGGCCATGGCTACGAGCCTGAGGCGACGCAGCCGTATGCTGGGGCCTCGAGTCAGGTGGTGGCCCTGCAGCAAGAGAAGATTCGTCTTCTCCGGGAGCGTGTGTACGTCCTCGAGATCGCGCTTGGTGTCGGCCTTGGTGGCGAGGCTGCCGCTCGTGCTGGTCAGCCTGGTGCCGTGGAGCGGCTCCGTGAGGATGTTGCCTCGCTCTATCAAGAAGCTCGCAGTCTCCATGGCCGCGTGGATCGTCGAGCCGACCTGTCGTCTTACGACTCGCTGCAAAACCAGCTCGCTGGCCTTCGGGCCGAGCTTCATGGCCACGCGCCGTATCCGGAGCAGCAGCAGCCCCACTCGTATCAGGCCCAGTTTGGCCAGGGCTCGTACGGGGCCCCTGCGTATGCTGCTCCGATGTAGGCCGCGCCGTCTTACGACCAGCGCGCGTATCAGGCGCCTTACCGCGACTCGACGCCGCGCTTCGAGGAGCTGCGCTCTTCTCCACCGGGCCACCCACCGCTTCCTGCGGGGCAGCCAGAGCCAGAGGGTCATGGTACCTCTTAAGACGACCCACGTAAAATGTCGGGTGAGTCGTCATCGACTTGGGCAAGTCTATGGTGTACGCCGCTCCATGCCGGCTGAGGACCGTGAAGGGTCCAATGAAGTGGTGCTTCAGCTTGTTGCTCTCGACCGAGCTAACAGTGTTTAGCGGTAGGTTTCTAGTATCTAGAAGAACTAAATCCCCAACGTTAAACACGTTCATGTTTCCTCTTCCATTTCGGTCAGAGTACTCCTTCTGTTTATCTTGGGCTTGCGCCATGGTGTCTCGCACCCTGCTGATTATGTTCAGCCTGTCTTCGGCAAACGAGGACAGTTGCTTCCGCAAGGTGGCTGGACTCACGTCCGAGACTTGGGAGGAAAAGGTTTTCCGAGCCTCTCCCCCACTTAGGACCGAATCCCCGGTACTGCCTCGTAATGTGAGCGGCAGCGCAACCCGTTCAGGTAAAAGGGCGTAAAGCCCGTCGATGCATGTACCGCATTGTTGAGTGCGAACTCAACCATGGGCAATCGACCAGCCCAAGAGCGGGGCATCTCCGCGCAGATACTGCGGAGCGTGTCTTCGAGCACGCGATTGACGCGCTCCGTCTGGCCATCCGTCTGCGGGTGGTCCGCCATCGACACTGCCGAGAAGGCGAAACAGCGTCTGCCAGAACGTAGCGGTGAACCGCGGGTCTCGATCAGAGACAATGGTCTCGGGCAGGCCGTGGTGTCGGAAGACACAGTCCATGAACACGCGAGCGACCTCGTCGCCAGTGACGGTGTCACGAACTGGAGCAAAGTGGACCATCTTGGTCAGACGGCACACGAAGGCATCAACACCAGTGTTGCCACGGTCATCGGCCGGAAGTCCGAAGATAAAGTCGAGACTCATCGACTTCCAGCAGTCCGCTGGGACCGGTAGGCTCTGCAATGGTGCCGAGGCGTGACCGGCAGGCTTCACGCGCTGGCACGTCTCGCACGTACGGACGTAGGTGGCGACCCACTTGTACATGTGACGCCACCAAAACATCTGCGAGACAGACGCGTACGTCTTCTCACGGCCGAGATGGCCACTGGATGGAGCGTCGTGCGCCTCCATCAGGATGTCGTACTTGAGATCATCGTCGTTGGGCACGACAATACGGGGAGGATCCTCGGGCTCGACCCTATAGTGGAGCAAACCGTCAGCCCACTCATAGCGGTGCAGCCTTGCACGTTGTCGGGGCGTGAGCCACTCGGCCTTGGCTTCCGAGCCAGCGGCCAAGAACCGCACAAGAGGTCCGAGACTGGCATTGTCTCGGTACCCCAGCCTGATGCGATCATATAGATCCGTCGTGACCCGACTAATATGAGCAAGCTCGTAGTCGGGTCGGCGCGACAGCGCGTCGGCAAGCACGTTCAACTTGCCCGGCTTGTACTCGACACGGAAGTTGTATTCCGCGAAGAATGACAGCCAACGCGCCATCCGCTGTGAGAGATGCGACGTGTTGACGGCAGTCCGCAAGGACGCGTGGTCTGTATAAACGACAAAGGGCGTCGAGCCCAGGATGTGCACTCGGAACTTGACAAGAGCGTACTTCATGGCAAGTAGCACCTTGTCGTGGACTGGATAGTTCCGTTCGGCTGCCTTGAGCTGCCTGGACTGGAACGAGATGACCAGTTCGCGGCCTTCATCGTCGGCCTGCAATAGCGCACAGCCAATTGCGTAGTCAGACGCATCACAGACTACGCTGAAAGGCTTCGTCTCGTCCGGCAATGCCAGGACTGGCGCGCGCTGTAAGCTCGCTTTGATGTCGTTAAAAGCATCTTGATGGCGACGCTCCCAGCGCCAGTCGACAGCCTTTTTTTAATATAAATTTTTATATTAAAAAATAAAAACTAACATTTTTTTAATTAAAAAATATATAATCTTGCATTTTAAATAAATAAACATAGATGAGTATGTACTGACTTACTACAAGCTTAGCTCAAGAATACGGTGGAGGTATTCCCGCAACGTGCCACTTGTCACAGTAGGTCTCGCTGTACACTCATCTAAATCGATATGTTTGCAGAAGTAGCGCGCAAATCTTGAGAACTGCTTGTACTTCCTGTGCGAGGTACATGAAAATATACAGCCGGGACTGGCCCGGGGACGCCTGTATCTGCTCGTGTTGGGGCAAGGACACCTAATGACGTTAAATCTGTTAGCTGTTAATTACTGGGAAGTCGCACGGATTTCGTACTCGACGAATGGACCCAAATGGAAACAGCAACACTGCCGAAAATGCCAACGAGCGATCTTCAACGTGTATATAAGTATTGTACTAATAGCTGTAAATACATAATTTTATATTATATAATATTAAATGCACTTCTACTTAATTAACTTGCCATCGAACAGCTGTATGCACGTTTCAATGTTGACTATGCCAAGGATGTAACGCTGTTAGGCACGTCATCGCTGTTGGCAACATCGTTGTTGGATGAGCGTATCAGGGCTCGCAATCGGGTACAGTACTTATTGTGAATCACAATAGATTCCGTCGGAATCACAATTTGTGATTCCGACTTTTAATTTCTAGTCGGTTCTTGAAATCGCCTCCCGATAGAAAGCACCTATCAAACGGCTATCTGCCTTATCACTTCGGTTAATCACGGATTGAGTGCGGGGCGGGTAAGCAATGGGAGAGTCTAACGAGGGCCATTTCCAGAGAGGGCCATTTAAAAAATTGGCATATTTTCATGTTGAAGGGGGGCGGACACTCGGGCGTTGGCTCTCGTCTGCGGACTTCGACACGGGGGGGGGGGGGGGGGGCGCCCCTCTCTCGCTTCGCTCGGGGGGCACCGCTGCGCGGTCTGCCCCACCTTAGTCGAAGTCCCCGACTCGACTAGGCGCGGTGTCTAGAAAAAAATATCGGGTTGCAGCGCTCGCTGTGCTCGCTCGCGCAGACCAGCCCCGCCTAATCCGCGGGCGTTGAGTGAATGCAAGTGAGACTCGCCCTCGCCCATTCCTCAACAAATCATGATCAAATGCATTGTTTATGAAAATAGCCCTCGTTGGCCAGTCCCTAGAAAAATATACTTGTATACGTGTGGACAGATGAACAATTAATGAAAGAGTAAATCCCCTGATTTAGCATTGGATTGGCATAGCTAACGACCTCAGATGCCTAACGCCCCAACCAGATCAACTCGAGAGTACTGCTACTCCGAGCACTTAGAACTGGCGGAACTGCTTGCGCACGTTGATGGGCTTGGTCTCCGAGGCGGGCTCGACCTCGAGCACGTTGAAGCGCACCGTCTTGGCGAGCGGGCGGCACTGGCCGATGGTGACGACGTCACCCTCCTTCACGCGGAAGGCGGGCGACAGGTGGGCGGCCACGTTCTTGTGGCGCTTCTCGAAACGCTTGTACTTCTTGACGAAGTGCAGGTAGTCGCGACGCACGATGATCGTACGCTTCATCTTGGTCGAGAGGACGACGCCCTTGAGGATACGGCCGCGGATCGAGATGTTGCCGGTGAACGGGCACTTCTTGTCCACGTACTGGCCCTCGATGGCGCTCTTGGGGGTCTTGAAGCCCAGGCCCACCTCCTTGTAGAAGCGGGGGCCCTTCTTCTTGCCGGCGAACTTCTTGCTGGCAAGGAACACGCCCTGCTGCTTCTGGTAGGCCTTCTCAGTCTGCGCTCAGCAATGACAACAGGTTCATACAGAGTCAGTCTCTCGTGTCCTCAGAGCAAGCACAAAGCAAGCAGGACAAGGCAGGAGTGGACACTCGCTGCTGCAGTCCGGTTAGTAGCAGACAGCGTCTACTGTCGCCCAGAAAGGGTCAAAGGGGTCCTGCCGATGATGAGTCGGTTGAATTTGTCAATGGTTCGGGTCGTTCTCGCAGTCCACGAACAAGATCGCAGACACCAGCGTACATCTTCACCCCATGTATCCACAAGGACCAAAGGTCTCAGTGGCTGAAGGGGGGGGGGTGCCAACTGATGCTGCGACCTTCTCCATGGACTCGACACGCTCCACACTCAACAGGAGAGTGAATGCGTGTGTGGGTTACAGCCTTGGTGAGCCATCACCTCACCAACTAGCTAGCCAGCTCCTTCAGGGCTTCCTCCGCCAATTCCTCCTGGCGACCACCAGCCAGCCGCCAGCTCCGACCGCTGCGAGACCGTCGAACTCCCTCCTTTACCCCGACTTCTGAAGCGCCAGGCGCCGCCGCTTACCACCCGCTGTCAGCCTGCATCGTTCTTCCTCCCTGTCCTGTCCTGTCCTGTCCTGTGTGTTGCGTCCGTGTTGGGGGTCCATTCAGGAGGCGACAGGTACCTGGTCAACGTGCTCCATGGTGTCTCAAGGGGATTCGCAAATGGCTGGCGGGCGCAGAAGGCGGCGGACCGCGGGCAGCCATTGGCTGCGGTGTGTCAGGTGTGGTCCACGCATATGTTGCGCGACCCACCTGCGTGACTCACAGTCTACGTTGCGCAACATAGTGAGTGAATCACGCAGATGGGCCAAGCGGCTGATTGGCCAAAAAATAGGTTGGGTGGTCCTCATGTAGCTATGATGTTTGCGAGGTTTTTCTGGCGGTACGGCAACATGACCCAGTGTAACTCGTCTCCTACATGTACCAGTGTTGCTGTTCGCACTGCGCGCAGGGCATCTCTAGAAGGCGGTAGCCCGTGGTTGAAAGCACTCGTGTCCTATATTTTTATGGCTCTTTGTGTGAACGTGTAGTAAAAGGTCTCCTCCCTCTCCAGAGCTGCCCTTTGAGCAGGAGCGGCGGCCGAGAGGTCGTAGCGCGCTTACTGCTCCTTGCTGGTGATGTACTGCTTCACCTCGACCGGGTTCGCCTTGTAGCCCTGCAGGCGAAAGGACGAGTTCTGGAAGGCCCACAGGAAGCCGCCGAGCGAGCCCAGCACGCCCGTGACCACCATGGAGGGCACCGCCACGTGACGGTGCAGCTTCAGGCCTGCAGTCGGTCGCAGCAGACACGCAAGCAAACACACACATACACACAGCAAGTTAGTCTCATTGCCCACTGCCACACGTCATTACAGTGTAGCTGCAGCTGCGGCTGTGGCGGACGCACCGAAGACGTAGCCCGCGGGGAAGGAGAAGGCGCTGACGCCGAGAAACCGCGTGTAGTCGCCCGCGCTGAAGTTGGCCTTCACGTCGTCGAAGGTCGGGTGCTTGACGATCACGGGGAAGCGCGGCTCGCGCGGGTCACGGGCGGGGGCGGCGTCACTCATGGCGGCGATCGATTCCAGCTTGTGTCTCTGCAGGACGGGCGGTCCGTATTCGCCCGGGCGGATTTCAGCCAATCCAAATCAACCACTACCAACATGCATATATTGGACTGTGAAATAGAATATATGTGACGTGTGCACAACTTGAAGTGCATGCGCTCCCTCCCAACTGCAAAGCAGTAGCCACGTTGATACTGGTGTGAACATAGCTGCCATGGAGCTGCCGCCATGGAGCTGCTGCGAGGGTGAGATCGAGACCAGGACGAGGACGGAGAGGGTGGCGCGCGTTGTGGTATTATTGCTGAGGCTATTTCCAGTTCGATGTCTAAGATAAGACCTGCCTCCAAGTCTGCACCCGCCCGCCATTCGCCTCGAGCGAGATTAACCGACGCGCAGTAGAGAAGCATTCGCGTTGCCGCCCCCGCCCCCCTGAGCCTAAGGCAACTGACAGCTGGGAGCGACGCATCCGACGGCAATGCAGTCCCCGCCCGCGTCTCCGCCCAAGAGCAGCAGCGCGTCCCCCACCAAGAACGAGTTCCTCTACAAGGTGATCGTCATCGGCACGAAGGCGGTGGGAAAGACCAACCTGCTCTCCGTTGCGGCCCGTGGTGATCAGTTTGACGAGCGCAGTCCGCCAACACTTCAACCCGAGTTCGTCACAGGTAACACAGCAGCTCGTGTGTCTCGGTTCAAAAGCTTGCTCTTTGTAGTGTTTCTCGCCCTCACACGTTGACGCAGTCAAAGTGCAGCGCCCAGACTGGAAATTCGGCGAGCCCAACCAATTCATTCGCGCGCAGGTGTGGGATACGGCAGGCCAGGAGAGGTTCCAGGCCATCTCCAGCTCTCACTACAGACGTGCAAACGGTTGGTCGAGTCATGGGGGGCTATCAGGCCCCAACTTAATCGATGATCCTTGATATAATGCCTAATTAATGGTGTATTGTTGCAGGCGCGCTCATCGTGTACGACGTGAGTGAGAAGAGCACCTTCAAGGACATTTGGCCAGGCGAGAACGGGTGCCAGTGGCTGACCGCGCTCAAGAACAACTCGGATCCGTCACTGCTCGCAGCGGTCATCCTCGTGGGGAACAAGGTCGATAAGCTCAAGGAGCGGTCGGTCAACAAGAAGGAGATCGTGCAGGAGGACGTCGTCATGAAAGCTCTGGGCGAGACCGTCTTCAAGGACCCCAAGGACGGACTCGGCTGGCTGTACGAGGCCAAGCCGAAGGACGTGACCCCTTTCCGGATAGCCAACAGCCTCATGTACGCGCGGACGTCCGCACGTGACAACACCGCCGAGCTGTTTGAACTGACCGAAAAGGTCGTTCCAAGCCAGGGGCTGACGATCCAAGGCTTGGCGATCCAAGGGCTGCCCGATTTCTTGAAGACGGAGCCCGATAAACAAAAGCTGGAGTACGAACCCACGATAGAAGTGAAAACAATTTCCCAGGCGCTCGAAGCGCTGCTGCTTCGGATTTACGCTCGGTCGAAGGATATGGAGGCGGGGGCCTCGAAGACCAGTGGTAAGGCCTTCCACCTCCATGACACAAAGCAGGCACAAGCGGGTGGGTCGTGCTGCTGAAAGCTCCGATCAGGATTCGATACATTGCTGCGTATGCTTAGTTAATAAAGGGAGGCTGTGTGCACATCAACGACTTTCGAGTCCATTGCACGCCGTCTTCTTTTTGACTCTGTAAATATGTCAAGACATCAGGAGAAGAACGAAGCAAAGATCCAAGCAGGTGTCTATGCTAAAGAGAAGCAACATTGAGTCAAGCTGTCGAGTAGGTTCGCTCTACCAACCTCAGCACCTCGTGTTCCCGGTTATTGTTACGTCGTATCAACAGACTTTAGACGGGCACCGTGAACACAAATGGCAAGGACACTCTGGAATGGATTGTTGAATCTGACTTCATCCCAACGAGTTTACCCAAAGACTGACCTGCTATTGTCGCCACTTTCAGGTGTCACACTTGGCATAAGAGCTGCTGGCGGGTCCTCTTGGAAAGAGCTTAGCAACCGTTTGTCCGATCTCCACGGCTCAAGGCGATCAAGGACGGCTCCACCTACAGACCCTCCAGCGCTATGTGGGCGGCCAAGATTTGCTTTCGGGACGACCGATTAACGACGTCGCTTCTCAAGGGATCCCCGCTCCAAAGTGATGACCTTCAAACTGCATTGTTCAACAACGCAGTCACAACAGATCTGAGGATTTCGGGAAGCTGTCGCTTGCTACAGTATTGTACTGCAGTCATACTTGGGAAACGCATGAATGCTGGAGAGCCAGAAATCTGACTTCATCCTTACGGTGTGGAATTGTGCATGTACGGAGTCAGAAAACTTAAATTGCTGTGAAGTTTTCTGATCAGTGCTAACATTTCTTTCGGGTTGTCATGGTAAAAATCAAAGCTAATACACAACATGCCTCACTCGTAAACAATTACCAACTCAACGCATGTGCTTGAGTGGGACCCGATTTATTTTACCGAATTCGCAAGTCTCATCAAACCAGACCTTACACCAGGATTGATTTAGGTAAAATAGCCCGGCCTCGCTTCTGGATGCAGGAAGGCCCGCCTCACCACTCCATGTATGCGTCTGTGCGTGCTCACCACAATCGTCTCGGACATGCCGTAAACCTTGAGTGGTAATGTAAAAACGCTCGACGCGAACGGACACTGAGCTGCACGCGGCGACAAGTCAAGCCGATCCTGTTTATCGCTCTTGCGCTTGCATCCGGTGGAATGACCATTCACCTCGACCTCATTTCGCTTTCTGCTCCGTCCCGGCAACAAGCGCCATGAAGCTTTTCTCCGCCATCTTCGCTGTTTCTCTTCTGGTGGCTAGCACCACTATCGCCGACGCTGGAGGCAACGCACTGCAGTCTGACAACTGCGATTCAGGTTTCCCCAAGACCAGCGTTGACTCCAGCGGAAAGCAAGGTGTCCACATTGTTCAAAGTGGCGGAGGTGACCAGACCGGATCAAGCAGCACCGATGCGTCCCAAAACAATCCCGGCCAGGAGAGCCCCAGCCAGGACAACCCTGACCAAAACAACCCAGGACAGAACACCCCCGACCAAAACTCCACGAGTTCTGACGGATCGCAGACGCAAACTCCACCTGTCCTCAAGGGCGACTGCATCCTCACTGGGGACTACATCAACAACACCGACGTGAGGAAGTGCGACAGTATCATCGTCGACTCTCTTCGGGTGCCACCGGGCGTGACGCTGAACTTGACCAAGTTGCAGGACAACGCCAAGGTTTCGTTCAAGGGAACCTCCACTTTCGGCACCAAGGTGAGACTAAGAGCACCCCTCACACAGTTCTATTCCCTTGGCCCCATCTAACATATCTCCTCCTGTCGTGTGGCACAATCTGTAGCTGTGGGATGGCCCGCTCGTTAAGCTGCAAGGAAACAACCTCACCGTCACCGGACCCGGCACGCTCGACGGACAGGGGGCTTACTACTGGCCCCTGGGACAGAAGGTCGACAAGCCCGTCTTCTTCAAAATCTACAGGGTCGCCCACTCCACGCTCTCGGGCTTCACCCTTCTCAACGTGCCGTACCGAACCTTCAGCGTCGGAAACTCCAACTACACCACCATCACCGGCCTCACTCTCAACACCACGGCTGGCAATGGCGTCGCCCAAAACACGGACGGCTTCGACCTCAGCAAGAATGACCACATCACGATCACCAAGAACCGCATCTTCAACCAGGACGACTGCCTCGCCATGCAGTCCAGCACCAACACCGTCTTCAGCGACAACTACTGCTGCGGCTCGCACGGCATCTCCATCGGCTCGCTCGGGGGTCCCGAGCAGAACTCGTCCACCACCGTGGACGGACTCACGGTCACGGGCAACACCATCGAGAACAGCACCAACGGCATCCGTATCAAGACCATCATCGGGCTCAAGGGACTCGTCACCAACGCTGTCTACACGAACAACAAGCTCATCAACGTCACCAACGCCATCGTCATGCACTCGGACTACAACAAGACCAAGGGCGGCTACGCGGGCACGCCCACGAGTCTGGTCAAGATCCAGAGCATCAAGATCGACGGGCTCCAGGGCACGGCCGAGAACCTCTACGACATCGTGGCCAACCCGGACGTCGTGTCGGACTGGACGTTCACCAACATCGACGTGACGGCTGCGAGCATCGGCAACTGCACGGGTGAGCCCAGCAACGTCAAGTGCTAAGAAGCCTGAAGCACCAAGGTGCATCCACCATTCGGACAAATTCGACGCCTTTCCCAACTTGGTTTGGCAGCAACAATTCAGACACTTCGATATCTTAATTTACAGCGGGGGAGAATGTGCTTACTCTGCGTCTTCCTCCTCTTCCTCCTCCTTTAACTCCGGTAGGGTTTCCTCGTCGAAGATGACGCGGATGGTCAGCGAGCAGCTCGGGCACGTGGCGATGTCCTCGCCGTCGTAGAGTTCTTCCAGGTCGATGCTGAAGCGGTCGCCACACGGACACGGGTAGTAGTACACCTGCTCCTCCGCGTCGAACTCCATGTCCTCGATCTCCACCTCGTCGTACACGGCCGCCATGGTTCCGATGTCCCCAGTCTCAGTTTTTGACTGCCAACCAAAACGGTCACTCAACTCAACAATTCTGACAGGTTCAGAACCTGCTAAAGTCGTTTGACTAGAGAAATGTATGTGATGATGTAGCCATTTCATCTGAGAGGGCCACAGCAAACAAGTTGAAAGGCAACTTCCAGTGCGCAGCGGCATTTTTTAGTTCTACTTTTGGTTATTCATCCATCGATTGCTGCTACAGCTGGCTAGGAGGGCAAACGTCGATATTCGATTGCGTGCATCCTCTTGATGGTACTTCCTGGAGTTAGTTCGTCTTGCCGAACAAGCGCGTCAAAAAGCCTGAGGAGGGGACGCCGGCGTCGGCGGTGCCCGAGGACACCCCAACGACGCCCGCTGAGCCCATAGCTGCCTCACCCAACTGCGTCTTGCGTCGGCCACCGCCACGAATTGGCCGGATCACGCCGTCGCCGCCGTAGATGGAGCCACCACGAAGGGTTTTAATGACGCCCGTGTCCCCCGCGCTCCCCATGGCGGCCACAAGAGCAGCGTTGGTGTGGTTCAGCTGCGCCTCGAAGTGCGAGCGCTGAGCGCCACGGAAGTCGGCGATTTGGTCGCGGAGATGTGTGAGCTCCTCCACATGCTTCTCTGCCTGGGCGCGCATGTTGCCGGCCATGATGCGGTTGTTCGCCTCTACCTGCTTGATGCGCTCGTCGCGAAGGGTCAACTTCTTCTTGGCCTCCGAAAGCTCCAGCTCCAGCGACGCGTACTTGCGCAGCAACTGTCGGTGGACAGCGACAAGTTGCTCGAGTTTCTGCTGGATGGAGCGCATGTGCTGCCGCTCGCGCGCCGACATACCACTGGAACTGGTCGCGCTCCCGGTTGGGGACGAAGGGGTCGAGCCGCCCTCACCGGTTGAAGCACCCGCGCGGTCAGCGTGAGCCTCGAGTTCCCGGATTTGGGCTGCTTTGCGCTCGATGTCCTCCTGGAGTCGGGCCTTCTCGTGATCAGTTGCGTGCTTGAGCGCCAGGTACTCCTTTTCGTATTCCCTCAGCTCTGCTTCGAGCGCCGTGTACTTGGCCTTCAGATCCAGGTACTGTTGCGACTCCGTGCCGTCTGAGATCTCCTTCGGCGCTTCGTCTCCTGACATCTGCTCCTGACCCTCTGCAGCACCCTCACCTGCAGTATCTTGTGGCTTCTCCTCGGACGGCTGTTGGTCTGCTTGGGCAATCTTTTCCGCAGCAGCGGCCAGCTTTCCACCAGCGGCCGCAGTTTGCGCCGGCATTTCTGCCAACAACGCGTCATACTCGCTTTGAATCGTCTCCGAGTGGATCAGCAGCTCCTTGTGGTCAAAGTTGAGTCGGTCGAAATCTGTGCGAAGCTCCGAGTACAAAGTTTCGCGCTGGCGAATCTTCTCTTCCAGCGTTTTCTCCTGGAGTTCTTTTACTCGCTGCAGTTCTTCCGAGAGCACACGCTGCGTCTCAAGCGCCTGCACATGTTCTTCAAGTTTCGCCGTGAGCAAGCGAATTTCTTCGCCGCGCCGCATCGATTCTTGCTTCTCTTCGGCCAGCTCTTCTTCAAGCTGTGTCACCTTCTCCTGGAGCTCCGTTAGCGCACGTCCGGCACGTGCTGAAGGCGAAGGCGGTGACTCTATTGTCGTATGATTCGACAAGTCTAGCTCGATGTCTGCAGAAGCGATGTTACCCTCCGCACTGCCTGCTTGTTGAGCAAACTTAGTATCTTCCGACGCTGTGACACCTGCAGCACCCACCACATCGCCTTCGCCATCAGGAGCTTCACGACCGGCAAGTCGAGCTTCGAGCGCAATAATATACGTCTGTTGTTTGGTGATCTTCTTTTCTGCTGCGGCAAGCAGAGCCTCGTACTCAGCGACACTGCGTTGCTCGTTCACCACGGCCTTGTTCTTGATCGACTTGGCACGCATACCAAACCGCAGCGTTGAGATCGTTTCCGACGCATTGAAGCTGCTCGGGGAGACGTTGATAATAAGATTCGTGCGCGAGTTTCCACCAAGCGACTCTTGTAGTACTCGGGTGAGTTTACTGTCACGATACGGCACGTGTGTTATGTGGGAGTCGGTGAGTGCGTTGATGACCATGCCCAGCGCCGATAGCGACTTGTTGATTGTCTTGGCCTCTTCGAGCTGACGGCCTGTTGCGCCGGTCTTGCGCACCATCTCCGAACCGGCGAGATCCACCAGGTACAGTTTACCGGCCTTCGTGGCCTGGTTCTCAAGGTTTCGCTGGAATAGCGTCACCATGAACACGCTATGACTCCGCGAGCTTCCCTCGTTCATACCGGTTGCAGCCACAGCACGATTGGCAGCGCCAGCTCGCATAGCGGCCAGCAGCTCCTCATCGCTTGTCACACACATCTCCGTCATTCCCTCGACAAAGATGCCTCGCTGCGCGTCCTCACGGACTTGGAGGTTCACCTTGGACTTGTACGGGTCCAGGAGGTCACGGATGCGCTCCATGTAGATCTCAATGTAGCTCACTTTCACAATGAACTCCATGTTCTCGTCGGCGTTCATGACGTTGTTGAAGATCTCCGTCGCCGTGCGCGGGATGATACCCTGCAGCTCGGGGTGATCGATGTTGGCGCCCTCCATCGTGTACGTCTTACCCGAGGACGTCTGGCCGTAGGCGAAGATGGTGGCGTTGTAGCCGTCCATAATATCTACAAAATAATAATAAAAAATTCAGTGAATTTCTGAGCTCCGACTAACGTAGCTCTTGGCTTAAGTGTGGTGTACCTTGCACAACTGGCAGCGCCACGTTCTCAAACACCGTCTTCTGGTTGTCCTCTTCTCCGAACACATGGTCGAACGTGAACTTCTGCGGACTTCCTTCGTTCGTCTAGAGGGGGGATAAAATACAAAAGAAAAGCATCCAGATCTGAGTATTTGGTGGTGCTGCTGCTTGCCCTCCTCCGGCACAGTCTCCTCCCTTCTCACCTTGACTTCGATCGTCGCCTGGTCCGTGAAGACGCAGCGCTGGGCCGCGGCCATCGTGAGCTCCTTGGCGTTCTGCGGGCGCACGCGGCAGCACACGCGCACGTTGCCCATTTCTTGCTGTAGGTGGAAAAAGTTTCCCAACAGGTTAGCGGCCAATTCCCAGCAGAGATCAAGCGCGGGCAATGCAGATCAAGCGCCTGGGGTTCACTCACGCCGGTGGACGAGGGACGCGCCATTGCTCTCGGCGCTGTAGGGCGTCGCCCAGCTTCCTCCCCTTCCTTCCTCCGATGCAGCAGCAGGAGCTCAAGTGAGCGAATGAGTTGGCTCGAAATACACACCTTCTTAGATCGTACTTAGTCCGACCAAATGGCTACAAAGCAAAATAGAGACAACACCGAGTTTAGATTTTGGACACATGGAGGACGTTTTTACGAGCGCGAGAGACTTAGGAGGACGGGGAAGTGCACGTCGGGCACGTAGTCGGCGCGGGTTTGCTGGTAGGCGGCGTGCTGGCGGACGATCTCCGGGTCGTAGTCCTCCGACTTGTGGACGGCGAAGCCGTGGCGCGCGGCGATGGCGCAGAAGCGCTCCATGGAGCCGTTGCGGCTCGGCTGCAGCAGCAGACAGCGCCCCGAGCCAGGACGCAGCAGACTCTTGACGGTGTGGGCCAGGTCCTCGTGGAACTCCTCGAAGAACAGGCAGTCGCTGGCGAACACGAGGTCGAACTGCTGCTGCAGGTCCTCGCGCAGCTTGGCGTCCCGGTCCCAGCGCAGCAGCTCCGCCGTGATGTCTGTGTCTTGGCTGCGGGCAGCGAAGACCTGCTGCTTCCTGTTCTCTTCGACGCAGAGCTGCAGGTTCTTCACCGACAGCGGGTTGCCGTCCGTCACCACGACACGACGTAGATCCACGGGAGGACGCGCCAGCAGCCCCAAGCTGGCGAGTCCGGCCATGCCGCTGCCCAGCTCGCAGCAAGCAACAGGCAGTGGTTTGCCACTAGCGTCTCGCCGTTGAACTTGAGAGCACACGCCGCTCTTGAGCATGTAGGACAGCAGGATCTGCTCGGACGGCCACGTGCGGATGTTGCCCGTGTTGTCCACGCCGCGGTTCACCTGGTGGCTCAGCAGCTCCGCGATGGACACGCGCTTCACGTCCTTGCACTTCTCGTGCACGTAGATCTTCGAGCCTTCTGCGCCGGCTGCTGGGGGCAGATCGTAGGCCACCCAGACGAAGTTTTCCTGCGCGGGCGAGTGGATCCGCACTCGCGTCGCGTCCACTGCGCACTCGGCGAAGAGCGGGAAGAACTCGGTGGAGATGGAGGACGCCGTCGCGCCATTCACCGCGCCGCTGGACGTTGAGCGCAGCAAGGCCTCGCGCAGCACGCGCCAGTGTCGCTGCGTCTTCTTGTCCGCCACCATGCTTGTCAAGCGTACCGCAACGCCAAAAGAATTGTTTTGGCCAATCGGGGCGCAATCGTGCGTGGATTGGTCAAAAACATATCCATACCCGATCTTCTCTTGAGCAGAGCGCAAAAGCCCCCAGCAAGGTCAAGATGCCGCTCGAATCGACGATGATATGGTGCGTGTGCGCGGCTTTGATGGCGCTATTAGCGACTGCATCACGCCCCCCTGCCCATCGGCTTGCTCTGCGTGCAACGCGCACCGCGAGCCGCCCATTATTGACGCCTCTGTGCCTCTTCCTGCGCGCAGCTTGGACAACTCGGAGTGGATGCGCAACGGCGACTACATTCCCTCGCGTCTGGAGGCGCAGCACGACGCCGCCAACCTGCTGTGCGGCACCAAGACGCAGGCCAACCCGGAGAGCACCGTGGGCGTGCTGGCCATGGCCGGCAAGAGGTAAGCAAGGGCAGACTCGGCAGATCCGGTGTCAATAATGGGCGACTGACTTTTCCACACGCTGCGCAGCGTGCAGGTGCTGGCGTCTCCGACCGACAACATGGGCACGCTGCTGAGCGCCATCCACCGCGTCAAGATCGGCGGCACCATGAGGCTGGCCAACGCCATCCAGGTGGCGCAGCTGGCGCTCAAGCACCGGCGCAACAAGACAGGTGAGAGGGGACGAGTGGACGTTTGCTTCAAGGTGGAGACGATATTTTGACAAGTGTGGGGATGCGGCATTTTTGACAGGTGGCCAGCGCGTCGTGGTATTTATCGGCTCGCCCATTGAGGAGGACGAGAAGCAGCTGACCAAGATCGGCAAGCTGCTCAAGAAGAACAACGTGCGATCTGCACTGTTGGCTGCGGTATCTTTGGTTGCAAAGGGGCTGACAGGATGTTGCTGGTGTTTTTGACAGATCGCGGTGGACGTGGTGAGCATGGGGGAGCTGGATGCCAACGCCGCCAAGCTGCAGGCGTTCGTGGACGCTGCTAGCAGCAACAGCAATAGCCACCTGGTGACCGTGCCCGCGGGTGTGCTGCCCTCGGACGTGCTGGTGTCGTCACCTGTCCTTCACGGAGACGACGGTGCGGCTGCGGCCGCTGCTGCTAGCGGTGGTGGTGGTGGCAACGATGCTTTCGCCGAGTACGGCGGCGTGGACCCGAGCATGGACCCCGAGCTGGCCCTGGTACGGACCGTGTTGCGGTGCTACTATGCAGAGAGAGGGGAATACTGATGTGCGTCTGCTGCTATACAGGCTCTCCGAGTGTCGATGGAAGAGGAGCGTGCGCGTCAAGAAGCTGCCCAGAAGCGCGCGGCCGAAACGGAGGCCGCCGCTGCCGCTGCTGCTGCTCCGGCTCCTGAAACCCCGGCTGCTGCACCAGCTACCGAAGCGGCGGCACCGCAGGCGGAGCCCAAGCAACCCACACAGACACCAGCGCCCGCGACCGCAGTGGCTGCTGCCCCGGCCGCCACGTCGTCGCCCCCTCCGGCGCCAGCCCCGGCCTCCAACTTGCCGTTCATGGACCCCAAGTTCGTCAACTCGCTGCTCTCGGGCCTGCCTGGTGTAGACCCGAACGACCCCAAGATCCAGGCTGCCATGGCGCAGATGGCCAAGAAGGACGACAAGAAGGACGGCGACGAGGAGAAGAAGGAGGACAAGTAGAAGGCGATCGAAAGATCCGGCGCGCTGGCGTTCGTTCCGCTGGCGCACCGGAAGTCAATCTACCACCATTTTAGTCCTCCCCAAGATGTGACGTGGACGATTCTCCATCTTTTTGACTAACCAGCGTGATCACTTTGGATGCTTTTAGCTCTCTTCCCTCGTGTCCTGGTCGCGGCTCACGGCAAATGGTTGGTGCGTGGATATCTGAGAAACGCTTGGTAGCGTTGAAGTTGCCCTTCTACGCGCGTTCCAAGCTGCCTCAATGGGCACGACGTCGTTATGCTTATTAACCGTTTTCTGCTTTCTATAGCGTTGTGTACACTCTTCTTCTCCTTCTCCTCGTCCCACGTCGGCAATAGCGCAACATCCACACGCGCTTCGTATTTATAAGTGGTGGCCAGCAATCCAGCGAGTCGTTGGTCTTCGCTAGACAAGACCCACGTCTAACTCTGTCACTTGGCAATAGTTTCCTGACCCCATCGATCGGTCGAGCCATCGGATTCTCCATCTTCCTCCCAAGACTTCATCGAATCTGCCCATTGCATTTGCTCCCAGGTCGTTGCGAGAAGCTCCTCCCCTTTGCGGGTTAAGTCAAGTCGCCATGGTGCTGCTGTTCCAGCGCAAGGACTCGGTGCTGAGCGAGGAGTCGAAGCGGTTTCTCAACTCGCTGCCCTCGACGTTCATCAACCTGTTCCGCAAGCGGCGTCAGCTGCTGCCCGTGTGGAGCTCGCACAAGTACTGCGCCATGATCAAGTCCACGTACCTCGTCTACTACCGAGCCACCAAGCCGGAAGACGCCGGGGTGCCCGGATTCTGGCAGCAGCACACGCTCAAGTACCTGAACCTGCAGAACTGCAAGATCAAGCTTATCGACGACGACTCGGCCGGCTACGTGTTCTGCATCACGCCCGAGTCCGGCAAGGGCGCGATATACTTCGCCGCCGACACGGACAAGGACCGCGCCAAGTTCGCAGCTCAGGCCGCTGCAGTACAGCACCGACTGCCGTCTCTGAGCGAGTTCACGACGCTCAAGCTGCTCGGTCGCGGCCACTACGGACGCGTGATCTTGGCGTCGTACGCCGCTGACCAGCAGCTGTACGCCATCAAGGAGATGAAGCTGGGCCAGGTGAAGGCGAAGGTGGTGTTCGCTGAGCGCTCGGTCATGGAGTGGGTGGGCGACCACCCGTTCGTGATGGGGCTGGACTACGCACTGGCCCGGGGTCGCTCGGTGTTCCTCATCTCCAAGTTCATGCAGGGAGGCGACCTCTTCCTGCACATGCAGAACAGCGGCGGCAGCTTCAAGGAGGACGCCGTGCGCTTCTACGCCGCTGAGCTGCTGCTGGCGCTCGAGCACATGCACAACATGTGCATCCTGCACCGCGACATCAAGCCCGAGAACGTGCTGCTGGACAGCGAGGGGCACATCAAGCTGGCGGACATGGGGCTGGCCAAGCGCTTGGAGTCGAAGGCTGGACGCACCAAGACAATGTGCGGCACGGACACGTATCTGCCGCCGGAGATGGTGGGCCGCTACCCTGGCGGTCACGGCTTGCCCGTCGACTTGTGGCAGTTCGGCTGCATCCTCTTCGAGCTGCGAGCCGGGTATCCGCCGTTCTACCTGCCCCAGTCCAGCCAGAAGAGCACGCACCAGCGGATCCTGTACCAACCGGTGCGCTACCCGAACAACATGTCGCCCGAGCTCAAGAGTTTGCTGGTGGCGTTGCTCGAGAAGCGTCAGGACGACCGACTGGGCGCCCGTGGGGGGATCGCAGACATCAAGGCGCACGAGTTCTTCGCCGGCATTGACTGGGACCAAGTGTTGAAGCGTCAGCTCAAGCCGCCACTTGTGCCGGGCCCTGCAGGTGAGAACCTCGTGGCCAACTTCGACCCGCACTTCACGGAGCAACCGCACACAATCTACGCGCCCGAGGAGATCGCGAGCTGCTTTGAACGGGACTTCGCTGGCTTCGACTACGTGCGTCAGCTGAGTGCAGGAGCTGCTGCTAGCACTGGTCGCCCTGCTGCGAAGATGTCGGCGTCGTCGGCGTCGACTGTGTCGAGTCGTTCGAGCTTCAAGGATGGCATTGATGACTTCGAGGCCAGCGCATCGCCTGCCAACCAAGACCAGCAGTGTGAAGACGACAAGCCGGAGTTGGAACTCGAGGCGGAGCTTGAGGTCGACTCGGTTCGGATCAAGATCTGAATGAATTGATGAAGAGGATTGTACGATGATAAGGATAACTATTTATCTAACTTCTTTCAGGTTTGATGTACTTGAATGTTTCTTGACGCTCGGTGGGTTTTCACGCAGCTTCTATAGCTGCTCAGTTGGTTAGGAAATGGTGCAGTCGCTGCCTTGCGACGGTCTCCGTCGTTGCCCACCTTGTACCTGCTGCTGCCGTTGGAATTGCTGTTGTCGCAGTCGCTCTTCCTCCTGTTGGCACTGTCGGGTCTGCGCGTCGACCTGCCGCTTTTGCTCCTGGTAGTACCGCTCTGCTTGACGCTGAGCCTCCAGCTCCTCCTCTGAGATCAGCATTTCGCCCTCAGCAGACACGGGGATGAACTCGCTCTCACTCGACTCGTGGATGCGATCCTCGTCCTGTCCACTGCTCTCGTTCCTCACCCTGTCGTCGTCTTCGGCCTCAGCTTCAGTCTGCTCGGTGGTGTCACGATCTGCACCGGTAGGCTGCAGCTGGCGAGGCGAGGAGCGAGGCGAGGAGCGAGGCGACACCCGTTTGTTCCTGCGCACTCGTTCTTCCTCTTCTCGCTGGAACTTCAGTGCCAATAAGTAGTCCGGATCCAGGTTCTCCTCGTTGACTTCGGCGGAATCTCCGAAGAGTCCATCGCTTGGCATGGTGTGCTCAGCAGCTCGAAAATCACCACCTGCCATTCGCTCGCTCGCACCATTAGGAGGCACGCACCCCGTGACGCTGAGAGCCCGAGCGTTACGTAGCTGCTGTTCTTCTTCTTGTTCTTGCTCCCGCTGTTGCCTCTGTTGTGTAAGAATGTTTTCTTGTTGCTCGGAAGACGTCACAGGTCGGAACTGGGCATCCAGATACTCGGTGTCGCCGTCGATTTCGTTCAGCAGCTCCCACACGACGCTGGGCTCGTCGAGGTAGCCTGCGTCTGTGACGAGCAGATACAGCGCGCCTTCAAACTGATAATGGCACGTCCAGCAAAAGCGTTAGATCAAATGCGCCTCGGCACTGCAACGTCTACAACAGCAGCCTTTACCTTGAAGAGCGTGGAGAAGTGGTTGTTGCGAAAGAAAACGCACAGCTGACGCTCACGGAGTCCTTCATGCAGCTTCACAAGACCGTAGTACGTGAGCTGACTCGCTGTCGAGTTGAAGAACTCCTCAAGTATCGGACCCTCTTCCAGCAGCGTGGTTGCCGTATCTAGTGCGTCAGCGTCGCTGATGTGGCGCTCCTTCATCATGGTCCGAACCGTTTGCTGCGACGGACTTTTCTTTGGAGACGTCATGGACGTCATCGAGTTGGGCGACCCCGCCGCACCCGAAGCGGAGGCGAGAGCGCTGTTGATATCAATCGAAAGGTTCTGGAACCCAGCCATCTGAGCCACCAGGGGGGACGGAAGCGCTGCAGCTGCAGGCTTCACCTCCTCCTCCATCGGGGAGCTGTCCGACGAGTTCTCCGTGTCTCCCTGCTTCTCCGTCTCCGTCTCCGTCTCCGTCGCCGCCTTTTCATTGGCTTCTTCCGTCATGAGCACACCGCGGTAGTCCACCAAGCGCTCGATGAGCTCATTGTACGACTTGTTCCCCACCACCTTCATCTACCAGCAACACAACAGCCAACACAGCCCACAGACTCAGTCACCCAGCTTCTCTTCAACACGAAATCCTTCTTCCACACACGCACCGTGGCGTCGTCCTGGTCATCCAGCAGCCACCCGTGCACCAGTGCAATGTCCAACATGTCGAAGGCTGCACACGCCACCGTGTACTCAAAGTCCGTAATGCTGCAGCACACAGCAACACCAGTCAGTCCGGGCCAACGTCCCTCCTCGCTCTCCTTCTGGCCTGTCCCACTCACTTGTGGAAGCGCACGTTGACGTCCAGCCCCACGAACATGCTGGGCAGCAGCTCGGCCACGTCCTTGAGCGTCTTCTCCTGCGTCAGGCGCTGCAACTCGCTAGCATTACTCAGCTGCGTCAAGAACGCACCCCCAGAGTCAGTCAGCCACTCAGTCAGTCAGTCACTCCCAGCAGCACGGTAGTCGCCACGCACCAGCGGGTTCGTGTCCAGCAGTCGGCGGTGCACGAGCCGCATGAGGTCGCGCGCGCTCACGAAGCCTGGCGCCTCCACGAGGCCCTCGAGCGTCAACTGCCCGCGCAGCAGCAGCACGTTGGCGATGGCCAGCAGCGGGCACGGCCCATTCACGTTCTGGCACACGTAGCTCACGGGCTTCCCCAGGAACTGCGTCTGCTTGACGGCGTACGCTTCGTCCATGGGCGGGGCGGGGGGGGGGGGGTCGATACAACTACTGGGATAATGGGCTTGGCGGGTCTTCCCGTCTTGACGCTCTTCCTCTCCTCCTCGTGTTCTGATTAGCCAGCTCGGCGGTCTGGATTTTTCCCAGTTGAAGCGCTGTATGCGAGTCGAGGGGGCCTCTCGACTTGCATATTCCTGTCTGCCACACGAAGCGCACACAGATTTCTACTTGACCAGCGTCATGGACGGCAGGGAGGTCGAGCGCGAGCGGCCGGAGCTGCACGACCCGCACGTGCCGCGCTTCCCCGTGATCTACAAGGAGCCGACCTTCCGGCAGGTGCGCGACAACGTGAGCCAGGCCGACCTCGTCCAGAGCGCGGCGCTGGGCGTCGCGTCCTTCCCGCTCGGCTACATCGTTGGTGCGTGCTGCTGCTGCTGGTGTGGAGCTTGGTTATCTATCTATCGACGGTAAGGCGCTGACTGTTATGGTTGTTGTTGCTGTTGTTGTTGTTGCTGCTGTCTGCAGCCCGCCAGTTGGACCGCAGCTTGGCGCGTCCAGGCATGTGGTTCACGGGCATCATCGGCACGGTGGGCGGCGCCATGCTGGCGTACCAGAACTCGTCGCTGCGTCTGCAGGGGTTCGGCCGCAACGACGACGAGGTGGCCCGCTACCAGCCTGCCAAGAGCGAAGAGTGAACGTCTCCACGAAGTAATACATGAGCAGAGATTTGATAGAGTTTGTGTGCACAGTGCAGGTATGCAGCTGCATGCCTTAGCTGCGCGCAGGGAACTTCACTTGGGGCGAGCATTTCAGGCGTGGAGAGAGGAACCGCGACAGCTAGAAGTCAACGATACGATGGTCGCGTGTGCAATATATTTGAACTTCTTGGTGCTTGACGGTCGCTTCAACATAAGCGTAAACGAGCAACAGGACGTAAAATCTACGTCGGAAAACAGTACGGTAAGCAGCCAGTGCTGTGATTGAACTCAGTCTGCTCTCGTGACGTCCACAGGAGTGCTAACGTCACACGGGAGCTTTTGAGATCAATACAATGAACTATGTACCTAGGTTGCGATTTCACAACTGGTGTTATTGTGAATTTACGACGTGTATAGCCCGTTTAATTTTAGTCCATTCTTACCATGGCTTTCGAGGCTGTTCGAGCGCCATCAACAGAGGCTACAACAAAGTTCTGCTGGCCCTGTCAAGCAGTTGCAAAATTAAGGGAAAAATTTGTTGCTTTAAGCAACAATTATTTTAGATGAATAAGTATTGTGGAAACCGATTATATTGTCTAATTGGAGTATAAATCGGTTGATTAAGCAGATGATTAAGCTTAATCGAGTCGGATTTAGCAAATCCGACCTCCTAATTAGATCGACAGCTTAAGATTTGTACTCTGATTTGACAGAGCAGTCTGTTGTGCCTACATCGCCATGTGGCAAGCTGATTTAGCTACTCCACGACTTACAAAGCCTTGGACGGCTGATTTGCATGCTAATCAGCCCGAATGTCCGACACCCACTCGGCATTCGGCGGCCGATTTAAAGTAAAACCGACAAACGCTAATGCTGACGAGAAATGACAGCGCAAATACATGACTTCACAACTTGATAAATAGATAGCAGTACAGTACATATCGACTGCTCACAGAAGCGTATTTAATGCACGCGATGCTATTCCTCGTTAGTCGGTGCGCGAAACATTAGCTCGTGGCGGTAAGTGGTCGTTCCTCGCATTGCAGGCGGTAATGAGGCAACCCCTATTTTATTAACCTTACACCGATTTATACCCTTACCGATGCCATATGAAATCATAGGAATCCTCGATTTACTATTAGTCAAATCCCTCATGAACGCTGCTTTATCAGCTAATCCGCTCGGACAATCTAATCGGTTTCCACAATAACTTCGACTTGAAATTTTTATTTAAGGTAGCAACCGTCGCGTGGACCACACAGGTTAGGCTGAATCCACCGCAGCCAATCGCTTCGGCCACCGTTGCTCGCCGCTAGCTCACTATCGAATCCCCTTGAGACACCATGGAGCACGTTGACCAGGTACCTGTCGCCTCCTGAATGGACCCCCAACACGGACGCAACACACAGGACAGGACAGGACAGGACAGGGAGGAAGAACGATGCAGGCTGACAGCGGGTGGTAAGCGGCGGCGCCTGGCGCTTCAGAAGTCGGGGTAAAGGAGGGAGTTCGACGGTCTCGCAGCGGTCGGAGCTGGCGGCTGGCTGGTGGTCGCCAGGAGGAATTGGCGGAGGAAGCCCTGAAGGAGCTGGCTAGCTAGTTGGTGAGGTGATGGCTCACCAAGGCTGTAACCCACACACGCATTCACTCTCCTGTTGAGTGTGGAGCGTGTCGAGTCCATGGAGAAGGTCGCAGCATCAGTTGGCACCCCCCCCCCTTCAGCCACTGAGACCTTTGGTCCTTGTGGATACATGGGGTGAAGATGTACGCTGGTGTCTGCGATCTTGTTCGTGGACTGCGAGAACGACCCGAACCATTGACAAATTCAACCGACTCATCATCGGCAGGATCCCTTTGACCCTTTCTGGGCGACAGTAGACGCTGTCTGCTACTAACCGGACTGCAGCAGCGAGTGTCCACTCCTGCCTTGTCCTGCTTGCTTTGTGCTTGCTCTGAGGACACGAGAGACTGACTCTGTATGAACCTGTTGTCATTGCTGAGCGCAGACTGAGAAGGCCTACCAGAAGCAGCAGGGCGTGTTCCTTGCCAGCAAGAAGTTCGCCGGCAAGAAGAAGGGCCCCCGCTTCTACAAGGAGGTGGGCCTGGGCTTCAAGACCCCCAAGAGCGCCATCGAGGGCCAGTACGTGGACAAGAAGTGCCCGTTCACCGGCAACATCTCGATCCGCGGCCGTATCCTCAAGGGCGTCGTCCTCTCGACCAAGATGAAGCGTACGATCATCGTGCGTCGCGACTACCTGCACTTCGTCAAGAAGTACAAGCGTTTCGAGAAGCGCCACAAGAACGTGGCCGCCCACCTGTCGCCCGCCTTCCGCGTGAAGGAGGGTGACGTCGTCACCATCGGCCAGTGCCGCCCGCTCGCCAAGACGGTGCGCTTCAACGTGCTCGAGGTCGAGCCCGCCTCGGAGACCAAGCCCATCAACGTGCGCAAGCAGTTCCGCCAGTTCTAAGTTCTCGGTCTTTGGTCCGCTAAGGCTGCTAAGCTTGTGAGCTCCTTCATGTGCTAAAGCTAATACACCAACCGCTCCTGATCTGAACGGGGAATCCACTTGAGTGTTTTGGTATGGGCTTAGTTATTGGAATCAAACGGTCGTGAGCAGAGGGTCGTTCATTTCCTCGGACTATTGCAGGGTCCTGAACCATGGCGACGCGTACGGGGCGTCTCGTGGTTGACCCACGCACGGGCAAGATGGTGGAGGAGTACAAGGAAGACCAAATGGCCGTGGCGCTGTTCGACCCAGAATGCGCCAAGCCGGAGTACTACAAGTTCCGCTTCGTGCTGCGCTCCGACTTCACCGTGTACGTCCCAGCTCCTCCAGCTCCGAATTGTGTCCATGACCTCACAGTTGTGTATGCTTGTTGCTATCGCCGCGTAGACCCAAGATCAACTTGCTCTTCGACTGCAATGCCGCACTGCTCAAGGATCCGTTCGGCAGTAAGTCTTGCAGCTATTGATCCTTTGATGCCTCGCACTGATAGATCCATCGCACTTGAAACTGCATGTATGTAGACGTGCTGTGGCCCAAGGACTGGATGACGCAGGTGCTGCCGCCCAAGGGCACAGACCGCTGGTACTACACCATCCACGAGCGAGTCGAGCCGATGCCGCAGGACGATCTCCAAGACCCCTTCTACTCCGGCGGCGCACTGCTTGTGCTCGCCTTCGTGCCTGTGCAGTGCGAACCAATTGACATCAGGGCGTGGCTGCTCTTCGGCATCACGCAGGAGTTCCAGCCGCTGCTCCGATTGAAGCCGTTGGTGGCAACCGCCCGTCACAAGCTCAAGGTGCTGAAGGAGAAGATCAACGCGCTTCCGGTTGTGGATCTGGCGGGGACCGCCAAGCAGCAAACTGAGACGCGCAAGCAACTGGCCGACGCGATGAACGCTCAAGCCAAGGAGCTCACGGACGAGATCAACGAGCTAGAGCGACGACGCAAGCGCATGACAAGGCTGATCATGACTGAGCCGGTGACGCTCACTGAGGTCCCTCGAGACGCTGGGCTGCCATCGACCAGTGTCAAGGACGAAGTGGAGATGAAGACTTGGGCTGCGACGCTCACGAGTCCGCGCGGACGGGACCTCGTGTCGCTGGCGCTAGACAAGAAGGACTGGAACTACGTGTGCCTCGTGCAGACCCGCCCGCAACCGAGAGCGTTCTTCGAGGATGACCAGACGACGAGCCAAATGGTTGACCCCGATGATCTGTTGAAGGAGATCAACATGCGAACGGTGCGACTTCGACGCCTGCGTCACGGTGAAGGTGAACTGATGGCGCCTACCGCCGCAGCGTTGGCTGCAGGAGAAGACGACGTCCCCTTGGACCCAATCGACGAGCGCTTTCACTTCTCATCTATCGGCGGCGTGTACTCCGGCGCGTTTCGACTTGGACGCAAACAGGGTCAGGGACAGGAGTACACGAATGTCGGCGTCTACGACGGCTACTTCTCGGGGAATACGCGCTGCGGCAGTGGGAAGCTTGTGTATGGCAAGGGAACGACTTGTGAGGGGACTTTCGATCGTCCACAGCGACGCTACGAATACAGCGACAAACTGCGAGGACGCGCGTACGAATGTTCGCTGCTGAACGGTGACGACTATCGCGATGGAGTCGAGAGCGGCGAGGGGATGCATGTCACGTTCCCGGACGGCGCCGTCTACGACGGAGAGATGCGGGACGGCGTCATTTCTGGACTGGGGCGGTACGTGAGCTCCACGGGCGTTGTCGACGAGGGGGTCTTTGTCAACGGAGTTCTGCATGGCCCCGCTTGCAAGCGAACTTTCCCAGACGGATCATTCGTTGAGGGGCCTTTCGTAGACGGCCAGCCGCATGGACGCGGGCGCCAACGCGAGCGCCATGACGATGAATACGAGGGGTTCTTCGATGCTGGAGCTCGACATGGTCGCGGCATAGCTCGCTTTGACGGTGGACGCTCCAAGCACGTCGGGTTTTGGCACGAAGACGCCATGGATGGTCGTGGAGACTTTTACTACCGTCTTCATAACGATAACAATGTTGGCAATGGACGGAGCGGGGATACCGGGGAGGAGACTGAGAAATGGGAGTTCTGGTACGAAGGCGCATTCATGCAAAACGAGACTCGATCTGGACACCGTCACGCGGATCTGCGCGAGCTCTCGAACCAGAAACTGCACCGAGACGAAGCAACTCGCCACTTGCCGTTCACAACCAACGGCAAGAGCCGAGAAAAGATGCCGTTCCTCGCTACGGTGCTGCCCACACAGCTGGACAAGCTCCGACGGCGTAAGCAGATCAACACCAAGCGGCGTACTGAACGCGAGCGCGTGTATCTCCAGCAACGCGAGCTTGCGAACCTTACCACGTACTACACGCTGCTGGACGATTTCTACGAACAATGGACCAAACGGAAGCGTGAAGAGCACCAGGACACACAGCTCGACGACGAGGAGCTCCGACGCGTGCAGGCAGAACGCAATGCGTTGCGAGCGTTCGAGGAGCAGCGGGCGCGTTTCCGGAAGGAGAGGTACAACTTGTCGCCGCGGAAAAAGTCGCTCGAGCGGTTCGAGCAGCGCCTCGAGCGCGTGACGCTGACGGAGCAGGTGAAGCTGGAGCGGGCAGAAGCAGCCGACTGGGCTGAGGTGAATCCGACCAGGACGGACACTTCCAAACAGACATGAGGGATTCCTCGTATCAGGAAGGATTGCCGGTCAGAACAGGCTTGCCGAGGACGGGTGAAAGTTCTAGCGTCTCGCACTGCACTGGAGGTGTCCTCCATTGCGCGACGCTACCTAGTACTTTCCGCCATCTAATGCTATAGCTGTAGGCCAAAATTGGCTCGATTTGTATACCAAAAGTACTAAAAACGGGTAACACCGAGAGGCGAAAGCACTTGGCGCGGGCATGTCGAACATCTACATCACCGAGCCCAACACGGAGGGCAAGGTGCTGCTGCACACGAGCTTCGGGGACCTGGACGTGGAGCTGTGGCCGCAGCAGGCGCCCAAGGCGGTGCGCAACTTCGTGCAGCTGTGTCTGGAGGGGGTACGTCGGGCTTGCACCACGGCTAAAATGCTAGCCTGTATTGCGTCTGTTATAACAAAATAGCTAAATGTGTCTGACAAAATTATCCGGACATGCTATGTTGTACGGGACAGTATTATGACCAGACGATTTTCCACCGCATCATCGCCGGGTTCATGGTGCAGGGCGGGGACCCCACGGGCACCGGCAACGGGGGCGAGAGCATCTACGGAGCCCCGTTCATCGACGAGTTCCACTCGAGACTGCGCTTCAACCACCGCGGACTGCTGGCCATGGCCAACGAGAACAAACCCAACACCAACCACTCGCAGTTTTTCTTCACGCTGGACGCCTGCGAGTTCCTGGAGAAGAATCACACCATCTTTGGCAAGGTGAGAGGGCTGGAGCTGATGGAGGGGCGTGTGTGTGTGGCTGCTAACCTTTTTTTTTTACGAAATTAGGTGACTGGCAACACGATTTTCAATTTGCTGAGTGTCGGAGACCTGGAGACGGACGCGAACGACCGACCCACGAATCCGCCCAAGCTGCTGAGTGCAGAGGTGCTGTGGAACCCGTTCGAGGACATCGTGCCGCGGTACGTCGGTAGTTGCGGTGGGTGGCTCGTGGTTGGTCGCCTAGGTACTGATGACATTGACTCTTGGAATTCATAGCGCTGTCAAACGGAAGGAGGCGTCGACGGCGGAAGACGCGCAGAAGAAGAAGAAGCGCGACCGGAAGGGGACGAAGGACTTGAAGCTTCTCTCGTTTGGAGATGAGGAAGAGGCCTTCCAGGAGGAGATTGACGGAGCAGCTGCCAAGTCCAAGAAGAAAAGGGCGAAGAAGATGATGAGTAGCCACGACCTGCTAAACTACCGGAAGCTGAAGGCGGAGGTGGATGCAGAGGTGCTCCAGAGAGTCACGGAAACCAGCGGTGAGACGACCAGCGAGGAGAAGAAAGAGCGCTCGCGGGCGAACTTGAAAGCGGCAGTTGCAGCCGCTTCGGCGGCGATTAAGCGCCCCAAGTTGGAAGAAAAGCTGCCTGACGAGAAGGACGAAGCTACCACCCAGAGTTCTGACCCGGCAACGATTGAAAAGTTTGGCTCGGAATCAAAAGAGAAGAAAAAAGACCGCGAGGAGTACGTGAAGTTGCGGGAGGAGCTGCGGAAGTCGAAGAAGGCCGTGACGCTGCTAATGGGCGAGGAAGCGAAGAAGCAGGAGAAGGATCGTGCCTTCCAGGACATGCTGACCCCGCTGCAGCAACAACGACAGAAGTATCTGCAGTGCAAAAAGGCGAGCAACCGCTCCGCCCGAGAGCAAGACACGCTCTCGAAGCTGAAGAAGTTCCAGGCTGCCCTGGTGGATGTGAACGTCAAGGAGCGTGTCGGTAAAGAGTCCGATGATAGCAAGAAAGACGACGCAGAAGCGGAGAGCTACCATGGGCAGATTCTGGAGGACGATGGCGCCGACGATGATGATACGAACGACGATAAATCGTGGATGACTGCCAAGCTGAAGTTCAAGAAGCACATCGACGTAAGGCTGCTGCTCTTGACGTGGACTCATGTCGCTCTGCATTGTAATGCTAACGATTTTCATCGTGTTTGTTCGTGCACAGGATCAATTTCGCGCTGGCAACGAGCTTTCAGCTGACGTAAGACCCGTCTATCTGTTTGCTCCGTATAACGAGGTTGAGTAGCCTCTTAACATTGTATCATTTGTACTACCGCAGGACTATCTTACCATCGACTCGCGCAATGAAACGAGCCAGCGATCGAGGGGCGAGCCAAGGAGAGCTGGAGAACGCGATCGCCGAGACCGATCGCGAGACAGCAGTCGCCACAGCCGCCACCGAGACCACGACCGCAGAGACCGTCGCGATCGCCGTCGGTAAGTTAGTGTCACAAGTATGGGCTACCGTGCAGTTAGTTGCTGGGAGCTCGGAAGTGCCGCGAGGCTAATACAAGAGTGAATTCTCACCGCCTTGAGCTCAAGTCGAAGTGTCTGCTGCTCCACTCATCACGTATGGCATGGGTTCGTGCCCGATCCGAGCTGCGTGGCAAGACCTTAATGGGGCTCGGCCAGCCAGTTCACCTCTTTCTGCCCGGCGCCTCGCAAGGTGTGATTCACAACTCAAAACAGCTCCCAACCAAGCCATGGCTGAATCGACCTGCACTAACAACTCGGACCACGTCGTGAGCGTCCCAACCGCCATCACAGCAGTGGAGGGATTTTTCACCATGGCGCCTCAGACCGAGGAGCCCTCGGAGTCGCTACGGTGGTACAGGGAGCTCGTGATCAGTGACGTCTACAGAGACGCAGAGCTGACACCCTTCGGTATCCAGGAGGCGAAGAACTAGGGTCCACCCCTCATCAAGGCGGAGCTGGAGCGAGGCATGCCGCCAATCGAGCGTGGCATCGTCTCGCCCATTTCGCGCGCAATTCAGACAGCTCAAGTCTTCTTTGGGGAGGACCAAGTGCCCAATACTCCGTTCGTTTGCATGGAGAACTGTCGTGAGCACCTCGGGGTCGATACTTGCAACAACCGCCGCTCGCTGCCAGAGCTGAAGTCAAGTTCCCAGACGTGGACTTTGCGGCCATCAAGGACGAGGAGGATATGCTCTGGACGACGGAGCGTCGCGAGTCCGACGAAGAAATCCAGACTCGAGCGAAGGAGTTTCTGCTGGAACTTTTCCATACGACCCCAGAGCACCACGTCGCTGTCGTGACGCACTTTGGTTTCATCCAGGCAGTGTGCGCTGCTGCGCTCGGCGTGAAAGTCGAGGCGGGCAAGTTCGAAGTGGTGCCTTTGGTGCTCGAGGCGCTTTGAACGAACACAGCACAGTTGTTTCAGCTCGAGTGAAGATATCGATACGGTAGGTTCTCGTGAGCTGTTATTTAGACTGCTGAGCCACATCGGATATGGATCCCTACTCTCTTTTGAACTCGAAAACCAAAACACTTTGACAAAGATCCTCAAATTTGTTGGCAACTTGCAGCTTCTTCGAACCTTTCTTCAGAAAACGTCAAGCCTCTAATCGCGTTTACCTCTTAGAAGTATCGGATACTACAATAGGTAAGAAAGTCGTTGGTAGCTGTTCTACATAGCAAGTTGAGAAGACGATAATCGGCAATTGACTTCCTCGTCGTCAGTTGGAATTGCTTTTTTTTCACAGAGAAAGAGGTTAGACTCTCTTGGACGAGGCACACACGAAAAAAAACTTGGAGGGCGCCTTCTCTAAATCTACTCATCAAGCTAGGTGGTACGTTTACGTGCAGGAAAAAAACAAACAAAATATGTTCGCTGCACAAGAGAGCTTATTGAAGAAGCATAAGAATTTCTTAATGAAGTTCTTCAAGTAGTCCTTGACCATACCATTAATGACAAGAGCTCACATCATGGGATCGGGATCATTCCGTTCGCAAACAACGCCTGTGGGTCTCTTTCAGGCCAAGACGACGACCTCAGTGGACTCGGGAACGCGTTCAGGGATGGGAGCTCTGGCTCTGACCACACAATGGGATCAGCGATAACGTCGAGGATTCCGCTGCACAAGAAGAGCGATTCCAGTTGCCACCGACCGAGGAGCTGGCGAAGCTCAGGGCCAAGTTCCCCAAGGCGTCCCAGAACGACGAATTCCTCAAGAAGATGCAGTTCTTTGAATGGAACAGGGCTGGCCTCAAACCCGACGATGTTCTCGACCTCGTGAAGCTCTACGAAACCAAGGCGGATCCTTACATCAGCAAGTATCTGAATGCTTATATCGCGTACAGGAACTATTACAACAAAATCCACGGCATCCCGCATTGGTAAGACAATATCCATTCAGGATTCGCTAAGACCGGTCGAATGTTAAACTCCACCCCAAACGGTCTGTTTAGTACTTCAATCTTCATTTCAACTTGAATAAATACGAGCGCATCCAAGCCTCTAAAAGTTTTCACTGTGGAACGCGAATTCCACGTCCGGCACGGTCTGGTTCAGCCGCGCGCACTGTTCGTCGATGACGTTGCCCAGTGGCTTGGGGCCGCAGAAAAAGACGCCGATCTCCTCGCGCTCTCCGTCGCCGTCCTCGAGCGGCTCCAGTCGTCGATGATTCTGCGCCACCCGCGAGAGCTCCGCGTTCCAGTCCGGACGCCCGAAGCGCGTGCGTTGCCTGGTCTGCAGGCCGGAGATGATGTCTTGGCCCTCGGTGTCGTGGATGAAGTTCTGCAGCGCTTGCAGAGGGGCGATGACCTCCTCGTTCTTGACGGACGAGAAGAAGTTGTGGATCTCGAGGCGGTTGTCCGCGTCCATTTGGCTCAGCTGGTTCATGGTATTGGTGAACCACGTGAGCGCCTCCTGCTCGCGCATGACCCAGTAGAAGTAGATCTTGCGCAGCTGGAAGCTCGGCGGGAAGCGGACGTGGCCGCACTGAGGGCATCGGTAGCTCTCCCACTGATGCATGATGCTGCGCAGGATCGACGCGAACGGGGTCACGCCGATGCCCGCGCCAATGAGGACGACCTCACGGTAGCGCGAGTAGTCTTGTGCCGGCGCACCGATGGGGCCATCCAGGAAGACGGTCGGGTACGGAGACGTCACGGGGCTGCCCTGGTCCTCCACTCGCGAGGCTTGGTGCTGCTGCAGGTTGTCGTACAGCGCCCGAGTCCAGTCGCCCGACCTCTGGATGTGGAGACTGATGAACTTGTCCTCCGGCGCCGACGAGATCGTGAACGGGTGCCACTCGAACTTGGAGATCGTCGGCACGTTGACGAAGACGTACATGCCCGGCAGGAAGCGCTGCCGCTTACTGAAGGCCTTCGGTTTCCTCATGAAGACGGCCACCGCCTCCTTCGAGAGCTGCACGTGGGCGATCTGGGTCTGGCCCCCGAACATTTGCGTCATCCGATAGCGCTTCTCGACCAGGTAGATGACGATCGGGGGCAGCACCCAGTAGTGCGCTTGCGGAGCTGCCACCCAGCGCGCGAAGCCATGGAACGCCATGAGAACGAGGAACGGGATGAAGAGCATGTGCGAGACCCAGAAGAGGTTGAACTTCCCCCTGCGGACCTTTTCGAGGCACAGCGGAGCAGCGATGGCGGCGCAGAGGAGCATAGCGACACCCGTCCAGATGGGGACTCGCAGCGCGAAGAGCAGCAGATTCTCGTCCCGAACGAACGCGAGGTGGTGGTACCGAGACTGCTTCCAGACTGCGAGGGGCACTGTGCGGACGTAGACGACGATGACCAGCCACGCCGCCGTGTGGCCGAGAAAGGCGAGCAGCAGCACGACGCCGCAGATCTTGTGGAACTCGATGTGGTGGTCGATCGGCAGGTGGTTGACGACGACCGGTAGCGTGCGGAGACCGGTCACGAAGTTCCGGCACATGGGCAGCAGCACGAACATGGTGTTGACGAGGCAGATCTCGGCGAAGCCCTTGGCGACGCGCGGGCAGTTACCGACCGCAGGGTCGAAGGCGAAGCGCGAGGCCTTGGCGATGAACACGGCGACCATGAGCAGGAAGTACAGAGTGAGCCAGAAGATCTCGGCCTTGTATCTGCGGCAGAACTTGTTGATGCGGTACCAGCGTCCGCCCCGTTCGTTGTTGTTGTTGTTGGTAGTGGTGGTGTTGGGCACGAACTCCTTCGGGTTGTGCGTCTGCACGATCACAGTCAGTCGTCCGAGCGCCTCCTTGCTCTTGTCGTCGTCCGACTCAGCCACCACAGCTCCGAAGACGCTCTTGAACTCGCTGTAGCTCATCTTGTCCTGCTGGCGGCACCGACCGAAGACTTTGCCCACCACAGCGTCGTAGTCGAAGGCCCCGAGGAACTCGACGCCGTTGGTGGCGAACGTGGCCTCGACGAACGCCCTCACGCCCTCTTTCGACAGGACGCCGCGGTGCTCGACATCAAACATCTCGAACAGGAAGCGGCACTTCTCGTCGTCCTCAAGCGCCGACACTCGGACCGCGTCGACCATCATGGCAACCGACTCGCGGGGCAAAGGGATAAAAGCCATCGACGTCCTCTCCGCATGAGTTGATCCCGGAAGTGATGATGCATTGAACGCTTGAGTGAAAAACGATAGCTGGCCGGCTGCTCGTGGGTTGGCGCAGTCATCCGAGCTGACTGCACTCGCATCCATCGCTTTGCTCAGTCCACCTGACATTGATCCTTGCCACAGTTGGTCCTTCAAGTCGTGGAGCTCTGCCTTGTTCATGAGCCGACTCGGACGCGAGATATTTGAGACGGACGTCATGGACGGATGGGAGCTCATGTTCAAGACGGACCCACTCGACAGACAGCTCGAGTGGCTGGTGTTCAATTCGCCCACACGGGAAGTGGCGAGTCTGGAGTTCCCCATCGCAGTTTTAGCGCCAGATCCGCCAAGCATGGCCACAAGAGAGCTAGCTCTCGGTCTTGTCTCGACGTTGGGCGGTGAGGAACGAATAACCGAGCCAAGAATCTTGGGCATTGGCAGAGTCGGGGGCAACTTCTGCAGCGTCTTCTTCTCGGCCTCGAAGTCGTGGTGATGGATCTGTGTGCACTCCACTGGTGTGTTGCTCTCCAGAATAGCGTAGTCAGTCTGCATTGTGGACATTGGGGTGCTGTTATTACTTCTGGGACAAGTGGGCCTGCCGAGCTCTGATGGCAGCATCTCCGAGCCTCTTGACGCTTGGTTGCTCACCATGCTTATCGCTCGCTAGCCGACACTGCAGGCCCAGGGTCCTCTCACAAGTCGTCGAAATGAAGAGTGAAGCGACGACGAGCTGCGGACAGCACTCGGTCGTCAGTGCAACGTGGCCACCAGGCCCTCGGTAGGGCCAGCTGATCGGTGCTGCATGGTCAAGTATCTTGATGCATGCACGGTGTCAGCTCTTCAACGTGCACCACTGGTTCATTAGCTCACCAAGGCAGTCGCTCGTTACCACTGTTAACTTGCCTAAGAACAGTCAAAGTCAGAAGTGGACAAGGGTGACAGGTGCTCACCTCCTCTACTGAAGCCCCAACAGCTGCAAAGTTGCAACTAGTTTTAGAAGTTTGAAGACTATCGATCCACTGGAACATGTACCAGCAATCACGCGGTAGCCTGGTCGTTTCGCGAACGGCAAAACAATGATTTTGCAGAAAGCTCGAGGTCTTCTCTAGCCTATGCCTTTATTCCCATTGCCAAGAGGACCGCGCGGCAGAAACTGTTTTTGCCATCGTTTTTACCTTCACCTCTTTACATCCATACATGTACTGCAGGCACACTGGTCTGGCAAAATCGCACTTCTCTGGGACTACAGAGGAGTAACTACGTTAGGGGATCAGTCATTGATTCCATTGCCCCTTCGCGCACTTTGCAAACATGTTTGTGAACCATGAAAAGCATTATCGGTATAGCTCGAAAAACTTATTTCTTCGTGATGATCTCTAGCATTGGTTAGACCATCAACCGTAGCTAGAAGCTTGCTCCGTATTTGACTCCTGTGATAGAATGTGGTGTCATTCTGATAGAATTGGCTTAGTTTCTTACTGAGACTGACCGAGTTGTTCATCCGCTCGGACAATTCATTTTCCTTTTTTTAGATATAGAAAGCTGAAAGATCCAATATCAATATGTTTGCAATCATTGTTTTCTGACGGGACATGGCTTTGAAAATTATTACCAAAACTGCTCGATTGGTGGACTAGGATTGCGGGTACATTCCCATACAGTAGTGCGATCAAATGTCTACCTTGGAGCTGTCGACCCACACTTGGAGTGCAGTGGTGGTCATTTTTGTTGCAATACATTATATATGTACTATTTAATTGGGGACGAAGTCCCCACTTATAATCATCTATCACTCCTCTTTACTCTAGATCTTACCTCTCTTAATCTGAGACATGAACGGTTAGGGTTTACACCTAGAATCACTTCCCCTGGCCAAAAATTGCGCAAAAAACCTCGGTTGAACAACCCTCTCTTGATCCATAGACACTCTTAACTGCGCAAAAACTGGAGTGACCCCTTCTGAGAAGGGGTCGATGCCATTAAAGTGGGGGGACACGATTAGCCTCGACGATAAACGCTAATCAAACAGGCATCGGGAAGCGAATCGCGGTTTTAGATAAATTGCTACACTTTAGATCGCACCGAGCGCCAAAAAAAACGCCACCAAGTCCTCGGCTTCACTCTGATTTAGAGCGCCAAGTCAGCGCTTGCATCCATTACTACGAGTGAGTTAGTGCTGGGAAGGGTAGAATTGCTAAAAGAGAGTGCACTTCAACTTGCCTGCATGGATACGTGCTACGCAAAGCTCACCATGTCCAATACTCTGTGAAGCTACAGCCTGTTGCCTACAGATAGCTCCTGGCAGTGACGCAGGTGGTCTCCTTATACCTTGGGGGCCCGCACCCCACACTACGGAACTAGCTCCAAGCCGCAACGACGGGTTCGTTCGCTGCCCTGCTGGTTGCTGGGCCCTCCTACGCGGACATGCTTCACGGGCACCCCGCGCGGGTTTGCTTTGGCTGTGCTCCTCGCAACCACTTGCTGCCGATAGAATAGATAATCTTGCGATAGTGTAACAATTTTTAAATTGTGTTATTAATACCGGTAAGTGATATGGTATAAGTGATATGGTATGTAGCACTAGAGAGGAAGTACGGCGGGCATCGGGAGCCGAGATGCTGTATTGAGTACGCTGGAAAATCGAAACTGTATATTATAGCTTTTAACAACAATTATCCCTTGCTACATGTATTTTGCTTTGGGCTGTCGGCTACCACTAATTGATCTTGAACCGCTGGTGCTGCAGCTCACCCTTGCGGTTAACCGTGATCTAGGGTTTCGCGAGATATAGTCCAGCATCATTAATGCTCTCTTGCTGCTGGTGTGTAATTGCCGTTGATTATCTTGACCTCGCGATAGATAGTAACGTTATTTGCTGATAATGAAGACTTCATCATGCAGCTCCACCAGTGTTGCTAATTGCTTATTGGTTTGATGACCTGCACGGTTAAACTGAGACTCTAAATTGCAACGGTCGCGAACACGCCCTTAGCCCTAAGTTTGCTCAACGGAGCAACGCGACTGAGATGCGCTCCATTACTAATATTAATAATATTGTGCTTTGCATCCATTTTACTCTCCTATTTAGTGCACTAGTTAGTGTTCGTACTTAGTGATAAATCCTAGAGGCTTTGAATGCGAGCTGCTCAAATCGTGTTTCGAAGCCGATTTGGCTCGGAAATGGCACTTTCTACAAGTGCCAAAGCGATGCTTACTCGTGTTGAATGTGATCATGCACGAGTTGGTCTGTGCACTCTACCTGGTGCAGATTGACCATCCATGATTTACAGCAATTCGTACTCGAGTACGATTTATAGATAAGTCGTGCTCGATAAGTCGATGGAATTACAGTCCAAAATGCCAAAAAGTCTGCAACGCACAATACATGAATCGTCAATTATGCCATGTGATTATTGTTTTTGACAATAATTACAGTTAGTTTTAAATTCTTAAAAGAACAATTAAATCATTACAAACATGACTGGCAATAGCATTTTGTTATATCCAAATTATTGGAGGGTTTTACTTATCTAGATATTTATTACATTTTGCGAACACGCAATTTATTATATTACATTTGTAAATTTGAAATACAGAATAGCTATTCATATTCAATACAACACTATTTTTTAGCAAGTGCTCGGGAGTCAACTGTGGCCTTCCCAGTAAGTCGATAACGACACGGGTTTTGCGCTGCAAAGTTGTGCGGCTAAGCACTTGGTGCTGCCATAGGAATATCTATCTTATAAACACGCTGAGAGACTCGTGGGACCAACGCAAAGTGTATGGTTTACCACCTACGTGCTCGCGAGTGCACTTTGTCTCATTGTTTTATGTACGAATTAGTTAGGGGTTTGCAGCAGATCAATGTATGTCAGTGTGATAAAACTGCGATGTCCTGATATTCGAACTTACTTTTTGTTAGTATGATGTACATGTTTATCATACTACATGTATACAACAACACTACAGCCCTCCAGTAATTTTACCTTTGTCAAGTCGTAAAATAAGGCTTTCATAGCCAATGCCATGCAGCGAAGGCGCTCACCGTCCAAATCCTCGGCTTCCACCAACTGCAGCAAGATAATCTTGACGTGAATATTCTTCTGTTTGCTTGCTTTATATGTGTGTCTAGCATCGATACCCATAGTTTCAAGCGCAGAAGTGCTAACGGCTCAACTTACCAGAAAGCTACAGTTGTATTCCGAAGCGATTGTTAATTTAATTTATTTGTAATAAAAATAATGATCCTCAACTGAAACTGTTTTTTTTCATTCTTATATTACGTTTGGGTAAATTCGTAGGAAATGCTTTATTTACTTACACAAAATGGAGTTGACATGAGAGCCGCACTCAACAGCTCGGTTCTGGAGCGGTCGATCTGCACACACCTCTGCGAGAAATTAATAACACTTCGCTGGTGATCCAGGTTCTGCTGGCGATCAGTCTTTGGCTGGCGTTGTGTGTGCACAGCCAAAACGAATATCCACTGCACAGTAGAAGTCGGCATACCATCCATTACGTTCGTGTTGCATCGTGCGCAGAGAGGCTGCTCAGTAGATAGAGACGCGTTATCGTGATTAACATCCTGGCGTCGCATTTCGCTAGTGCCGTTTATTGATAATCCGCCGCACGCACGTATCAATCAATTACTTGTAACTCAGCAGCAATGTGAAGATGTCGGCACCAAAACTCCAGCTCGGCTAGAAGAGCAAGCTTAATGAGGAGGCGGGATGTAGAGCTCGCTGCCTCGACCTTTTCCGCTTTGAACGTCGAATTGCAAGCCGCATTCCGTTTCGGGCCGGCCGTCGCCTGCACTACGTGCTTGGGGTAGTCGGGACCACCTGTCAACCTGTCCTCTACAAAGTGTCCTTTTGGCCTTCTCGTTGGTTGGAAGCACGCGCAGCGTGATGCGGGTGACTAATGTTGCACTCCACGTCGTACATGTACATGTTGACCTGAGAGCATACACACTTCAAGATACTTGCACCGCGATGGCCATGCTGTACGACCCAGATGGAGCCGCGGATACTTTCGCGGGGGCGTAAGGCTGGAGCTTGACCGCTGTTCGTATCGCTGTTCGTATGCTCTCTGAGTCAGGGGCGCATCGCTCGGCCGAGCTCACTTGCCGATTGACTAGACCACGCAGAAGTCCTCGAAGACGCGGAAGAGCAGCCATGGTGACGATGAACGCCAAGTCCGACCTGCGGAGGAGCAGAAACAACACACCAGCGGCCACCACCTTCGCCATCCTCGACAGCAACACGCCCGTGGAGTGCACGCAAACCCACCGACACGTCCACCGCGACACTTACGTGCTGCCTTCAGCTCTGCCCATGCCCAAGATCATTGGCCCCGACGCTTGCTACGCAGCACCTCAAACGGAGGCGCCAGACTATAGGGATTCGTTCGTCACGATGCCGGGCGGCTCTAGAGTTCAAAGACCACGAGGCAACTCCCGGCGTGGGCACTCGCGAGCTCGAGGCGGAGCTCCCAATACTCGCTCAAGCTTCTTGCCCAGCAACTATATGGACTTCCACCTATCCATGTCAACCGCGTCCGTGATCTCCCGACCGAGCCGCCAGCTGAACAAGACCGGTCTGTACGAACTGAAGGAGCACCTATGGAAGGCCTCAATGGCCAGCAACGACCTCAATCAAGCACTCAACGCTTCACAGATATCTGTCAAGCAGTGCGGGGGCGAGTATGAGGACCCCTCCAGGCCCTCGCTGGTCTACATGCCGTTGCCCCGCGAGTCCGTTGCCATGATGGTCGACGCGGTCCGAGTGTCGGCGCTTGAGGACGACGAGAAGTGCCGCTTCCTGTTCGAGATGTTTGATGTCGAGCACCGCGGCGTCCTGTCGAAAGAGGGCGTGAGGGCGTTTGTCGAGGCCACGTTCGCCACCAACGGCGTCGAGTTCCTCGGGGCCTTCGACTACGACGCTGTGGTGGGCAAAGTCTTCGGTCGGTGCCGCCAGCAGGACAAGATGAGCTACAGCGAGTTCAAGAGCGTCTTCGGAGCTGTGGTGGCTGAGTCGGACGACGACAAGAGCAAGGAGGCGCTCGGACGACTGACTGTGATCGTGCAGACGCACAACCCGAAGGAGTTCGTGCCCAACACCACCACTACCAACAACAACAACAACGAACGGGGCGGACGCTGGTACCGCATCAACAAGTTCTGCCGCAGATACAAGGCCGAGATCTTCTGGCTCACTCTGTACTTCCTGCTCATGGTCGCCGTGTTCATCGCCAAGGCCTCGCGCTTCGCCTTCGACCCTGCGGTCGGTAACTGCCCGCGCGTCGCCAAGGGCTTCGCCGAGATCTGCCTCGTCAACACCATGTTCGTGCTGCTGCCCATGTGCCGGAACTTCGTGACCGGTCTCCGCACGCTACCGGTCGTCGTCAACCACCTGCCGATCGACCACCACATCGAGTTCCACAAGATCTGCGGCGTCGTGCTGCTGCTCGCCTTTCTCGGCCACACGGCGGCGTGGCTGGTCATCGTCGTCTACGTCCGCACAGTGCCCCTCGCAGTCTGGAAGCAGTCTCGGTACCACCACCTCGCGTTCGTTCGGGACGAGAATCTGCTGCTCTTCGCGCTGCGAGTCCCCATCTGGACGGGTGTCGCTATGCTCCTCTGCGCCGCCATCGCTGCTCCGCTGTGCCTCGAAAAGGTCCGCAGGGGGAAGTTCAACCTCTTCTGGGTCTCGCACATGCTCTTCATCCCGTTCCTCGTTCTCATGGCGTTCCATGGCTTCGCGCGCTGGGTGGCAGCTCCGCAAGCGCACTACTGGGTGCTGCCCCCGATCGTCATCTACCTGGTCGAGAAGCGCTATCGGATGACGCAAATGTTCGGGGGCCAGACCCAGATCGCCCACGTGCAGCTCTCGAAGGAGGCGGTGGCCGTCTTCATGAGGAAACCGAAGGCCTTCAGTAAGCGGCAGCGCTTCCTGCCGGGCATGTACGTCTTCGTCAACGTGCCGACGATCTCCAAGTTCGAGTGGCACCCGTTCACGATCTCGTCGGCGCCGGAGGACAAGTTCATCAGTCTCCACATCCAGAGGTCGGGCGACTGGACTCGGGCGCTGTACGACAACCTGCAGCAGCACCAAGCCTCGCGAGTGGAGGACCAGGGCAGCCCCGTGACGTCTCCGTACCCGACCGTCTTCCTGGATGGCCCCATCGGTGCGCCGGCACAAGACTACTCGCGCTACCGTGAGGTCGTCCTCATTGGCGCGGGCATCGGCGTGACCCCGTTCGCGTCGATCCTGCGCAGCATCATGCATCAGTGGGAGAGCTACCGATGCCCTCAGTGCGGCCACGTCCGCTTCCCGCCGAGCTTCCAGCTGCGCAAGATCTACTTCTACTGGGTCATGCGCGAGCAGGAGGCGCTCACGTGGTTCACCAATACCATGAACCAGCTGAGCCAAATGGACGCGGACAACCGCCTCGAGATCCACAACTTCTTCTCGTCCGTCAAGAACGAGGAGGTCATCGCCCCTCTGCAAGCGCTGCAGAACTTCATCCACGACACCGAGGGCCAAGACATCATCTCCGGCCTGCAGACCAGGCAACGCACGCGCTTCGGGCGTCCGGACTGGAACGCGGAGCTCTCGCGGGTGGCGCAGAATCATCGACGACTGGAGCCGCTCGAGGACGGCGACGGAGAGCGCGAGGAGATCGGCGTCTTTTTCTGCGGCCCCAAGCCACTGGGCAACGTCATCGACGAACAGTGCGCGCGGCTGAACCAGACCGTGCCGGACGTGGAATTCGCGTTCCACAGTGAAAACTTTTAGAGGCTTGGATGCGCTCGTATTTATTCAAGTTGAAGGCTGCTCAAGAAAGAAATAGCAGACCTCGGTATTTCCCACTTGCGTCGAACAAGAAGCGCTCGAACTGCAGCCGCGATCCACAGTCAGCCCTGTTCAGTTGTCCTTCTTCCAGTGCCGAATCCGAAAACAATTGTTGAACTGCTCGCGCCTGCTCCTCCGAACCAATTTCCAACAGCAAGCAACTTCTCGCATTATCATGCGTCTGTTCTCTCTTGTTGTTTGGTGCTGAATTTGTTTCCGGTGCCAGCCCGTTGTCACCTTTGAAGAGCTTGGCAATGCTCTGGTGCAGAAAGCGGTACATGCGCAGCCCGTCAGGGTCTTCTCCGGTGTCTTCAGCTGCAGGCCCGCCGTCCGAAAACAACGCGAGATGGGGCTCGTACTCAAGCACGTCAGCTCCGACAAGGGGGAGTTCCCGGCTAGGAATGTACGGCGGATTGCACAGTATCACGTCAAATTGTTGGTAGAGCAGTTTGTCCTCTTGAGCGTCCTCACGTAGTCCAGGCAGCGTCTGCAAGTCTCGAAGCACGAACTCCGCCCGCCCATCCAGACCGTTAGAGCGAGCGTTTTGTTTGGCGACAGCAAGAGCGCCGGGAGAAACGTCAATGCCCACACCAGTAGCAGCAGGGAACTCGGACAACGCTGATAGTAGCAGACACCCAGAGCCTGTCCCGATATCGAGGATCCGCAACGGCGTCTGGGGCTCGAATTGCTCCTGAAAAGTTCACGTAAAAACAATAAAACTTAGTTCTTCCGTGTCGAGGATCCCACAAATTTCCGGATACCCCCCCCCCTACCGTTAAGGTTTCAATTAGCACTTCACTGTCACTGCGTGGGATGAGCGTGTCCTTGGTCACCGTGAACTCCAGAGACCAAAACTCCTTCCTACCGAGCACATAGGCCAGTGGTTCGCCCCTCGCACGCCGCTCTAAGCCAGCACTCAGTCGCGCCGCCTCGTGCTCCGTCAACTGCAGTGTACACCCACAATTAATACATAACTGGGAGGAAATTAATCACCACGAATAAATTCTGCCGCACCTCCCGCTCCCCGTGGAAGAAAACGTCGCTGCTGGACGCCAACGGAGGCAGCAGAGCGTTGGCCGCCAGCGCTTTGGCGTCGGTTCGAGCCGATTCGTGGGCGGAGGACGCCAACGCGCCCGACACGCGGCTCAGACGCTCGCGCGTTTCTTGCACCGCCTCCTCCACGGTCTGCCCGCTGTGGATGCGACGCCGCCGGGCGTCGAGGAGCCGACGCAGCGCTGGGCGGAGGAAGCACCTGGTGCGGTGCATTTTGATTGGAAATGGGTTAGGATTTATTGCATGGCGTATTATCGGGCATTTCTTACATTTTAAGTAGCTTGAAATGGCTACACTGCGCTCCGCGTAGGGTTTGTGGGCGCCATTGAGTTTCGAGTTCCCCCGCTTCAATTCGGTCGCCTACACGCAGAAATCTGTCCCGCTTGTCACGATGATCGCCCTTACCTTTGGTTACCTGTGACGGTAAGGTAAAATAAAATGCGTAACTTTTTTGCTGTCATCCGACGACGAACTCTGCGGTCAGCACGAGGGGAAGGAGCCTCAAGCTCGCGCTGTACTACATGTAGCCTGAGCCCACAGTGTACATGTGTTCTAGATCTACTAATACGATACATGTATTTTAATATTAAAATAGTTGTAGAGAGTTACTGTGTCATTCAAGTATTGCTGTTACGTCATCTTCTGGGCATCGCAGCGGATGGTGCTTCCCTCTTGAAGCTTCCGAACCGGATGATCCGGCGCGGCAGTAAACATTGGAAGTTGGCTAGCTGCCTGGACGGGGTACAAAATAGTGAATAAGTCACCGCGCGGCGGCATGATGTACTCACACCTGGGTGTGTGTGTGACTGGTACCATGTTTCCCACGGTTTCGACCTCACTCAGTTTGCAAGCTTCAATCAAAGTGCTACCAGGTTGTTTGTCATCAGGCGAGAGATATTATGTACACAGTTCACGGGTTCCGCACGTCAGATCTCCCAACGGGCTCGCCAGCTGCGAACTTGTACGTACATATTATGTCACATGTACCTACAGTATCCTGGCAGCGAACAAGATCTGCCGGAGTTGTTACGTATCCCATGTCTAGCCGACTCCCTTTGAAAGACCAATCTGACTTTTGTAAAGGCACTCGTATTCGGTGAGGGATAGCTTTTTGGGATCCCAGTACCTTGTATTATTGTGCCTTTCTGGCATAACGCCCTCCGATTTGAGGTCCTACGTAGCCTACGTAACGTAGGACTTTAGCTCCTACGTAAGACCTCATAAAAGTTAGTACCAGGGCCAGTAAAACCATGCATAAGCAAAAACTGAATGTAAACTGAGCGAATGGCTTGCAAAGGTAGGCCGACAAGTGAGCGCGTTCAGTACCGCTATACCTGTAGCGCACGTACGTAGCTCCACGCTGAGCACGGTGACCTGGTTGCGGTGCTGCCTGAGTCTCCGCCTGTACGAATGCGGCCAAACTATGCATTTGTCACAGATGCTTTCAGGCGCACTGGCCTGATCTAGTCGTAGAAGGACTTGTTAGTCCTACGAAGGCCCAAATGGCCAGCTTAACATGGCCATTCGGTCCTTATTTCCAAAAAGGTACCCTTTAGATGAAGACGGAGCTCCTACGTAGGACTTCCGTAATCCGATGCCAGGACAACAGCAAATCCTAGGCCTAGCCCTACCCTCTCCTTCTTAAGACTACCTTGTTGAGGTCAGATTGGCCAAAGTTTCGGAAAGGCACATACATACTGTACCTCAAAGTACAGTCAGGAGTCAGAGGCAATAACCCAAAGCCAAACTTTCATGTAAGCGTTGCTACCGCTCGTTTTTCCTCATGATCTGTGCATAAGTGTATATCACCAAGTAAGGTAAAATTAAATACCTCCCCAATTCATGCTGTGGTGAGTGTACCGTGCTGATTGAACCTTTTGGGCGTACTGTAATACAGTGGCTAGTCCATCGTCACAGAGCATCGCTTCTTTGGACGCAGAGGACCGAAACCATGAATCATGGGCTTTGCCTACTGAGCTAACCTATCGTTCTGCCCGTTCTTGCTTTGCTGATGAATACTGTCAGTGTGCAATTTGCTCTGAAGACATCGTTTCCGAAGAATCAATGCGTCTGTACTGCAGCACGCTACTTGCCGTGGTCACGCTTTTCGCTGTCGGCACTTCCGTGGTCACTGGTGATAACGATCGTAACAAACTTTTCAGGGGGGCAACCGCGGGTCTTCCAGTCGTGTCTCCCGTGCTCACCAAAAACGAACGAGATTCGACAGCGCGGCGCGTTTTGAGGGCGGTAGATGATAATGAAGATGACCGGGCGTTCGGTATTCCAAGCATGTCCACGATCACGGAGACGGCCATGAAGATCCCGGGCGCGTCGACGGTTGCGGGGCTGGCCAAAACTCTGCCGGGTGCGTCAATGGTGGGGGATTTGGCCCAGAAGATGCAGTATCAGTACTGGCTGAAGATGAACAAGACACCGGACGAAGTGAAGACGATCCTGGGGCTCGACGACCTCGGGACGAAGATTCTTGATAGCCCCAACTTGGACATTTGGATCCGGTACGCCAAGATGTACAACGAACGCAATAATCTCCCGGACACGTCGATGATCTCCGAGTTACTGAAGAAAATCCCCAGCGACAGAATCATGGAGCTAGTGAAGAAGATCCCTGACTCGGCAAAGATCATCGAGAGCGTGCAGTACCAGTACTGGCTGAGGATGAACAAGACCCCGGACGAGGTCAAGACAATTCTGGGTCTTGACAACCTTGGAGCCAAAATCCTGGACCACCCCAACGTGGACATTTGGGTTCGATACACTGGCATGTACAACAAGCGCAAAAAGCTCCCAGACTCATCAATGATTTCGGGGTTGCTAAAAGTGGTCCCCACCGACAAAATGATGGAGCTGGTGAAGAAGATCCCGGGCTCGGCGAAGGCGATCGAGAGTGTGCAGCACCAGTATTGGCTCAGGATGAAGACGACCCCGGAAGAAGTCAAGAAGCTGCTAGGTCTGGATGATCTTGGAGCCAAAATTCTCGAGAGCCCCAACCTGGACATTTGGATCCGGTACACTCGCACGTATAACGAGCGCAACAATCTCCCCGAAACGGCGATGATCGAAGACTTGCTCAAGATGATCCCAGCTGACAGAACGATGGAGCTGGCCAAGAAACTCCCTGGCTCTGCGAAGACCATCGAGAACGTGCAGTGCCAGCTCTTGCTTCAGATGAGCAAGACTCCGAGCGAAGTCAAGACGCTACTGGGCCTTGATACCCTCGGAACAAAGCTTCTTGACAGTCCCAACCTAAACATTTGGATTCGATTTAAGCGGATGTACAAGCAGCAGCACGGGGCCGCCGCTGCAGCCTGAATCGGTTAGGCTTTCCAAAGCTTCGATGTCGTCGTACGCGGAGAGTGCTGAAAGCAATTGAAAGAAATCGGGTGCATCAACTACAGAAAATTCATGGATGCGGTAGTTTATTTGCAACTGGGTACATGTGTCGCCACGCGCCGAGCACAAAGCTCGAAATCTAGCGCTATTCATTAATTGAGCAAACTACTGTAGTTGACTTACCCCTCTGAATGTGCAGATTAGAACGTGACTATTGGAGTGAATCGCTGCCGGTCACGACGGCTCTGTGACCCTCCGATTACCCACTAACATGTTTCCACGACCACCACAGTGTAGTACTGACACCGTTGGCTGCATCAGCGATGTGTGGGGCCTTCGCGTGCTGCCTGCTATCAATGGCTAAGTGCACTCTACGCAAATTCTTGTGTCACCTTTTACACACATTTTCATTTTGAGTCACCTTACGGAATTTTTATCGTCATAACGATGACTATCACAAGCGAATTGGCAGCCCGTCGGAGCACGCGGATGCAAACCGAGGACCCAGCAGTGCCCTTCTAGAAAGCGGAGGCGATGCGTGCTGCACGCATCGCCCCCGCTTTCAAAGCCCGCTTCGGCTTGCACGCTGAAGCGGGCTTTTTAGGGTTCTACCCGAGCGAGCGTAGCGAGCCATTAGGAACCGCGCGAAGCGCTTAACACGGCAATAGTTCAAACATGTCTAAATAATCGTTCCCGAACTACTTACGATGTAATTAGACCTAGTTGCGCTTTTCAAAAATGTGCCTTTGAATAGACAAAGATCCATTGTGGCAACTACACACCACAGAACATTGCTTTTTCGGGACCAAAACCATGGCTCACCATTGAGCCCATGACCAGATCATGGGCCTTGCCTACATGTACATGTACAGTATTACATTGCGATTTCTTAGGGCGGGGGGCGATGACGAAGATGAGCGCGCGTTCGGTATTCCAAGCATGTCCACGATCACGGAGACGGCCATGAAGATCCCGGGCGCGTCGACGGTTGCGGGGATGGCCAAAACTCTGCCGGGTGCGTCAATGGTGGGGGATTTGGCCCAGAAGATGCAGTATCAGTACTGGCTGAAGATGAACAAGACACCGGACGAAGTGAAGACGATTCTGGGGCTCGACAACTTCGGGGCGAAGATTCTCGATAACCCCAACCTGGACGTGTGGATCCGATTCGCTATCGCGTACAACAAACGCAATAATCTCCCAGAATCGAAAATCATCTCCGACTTACTCAAGATGATGCCCGCTGACAGAGTGATGAAGCTGCCCGAGAAACTTCCTGTCTCTGCGAAGACGATCGACAACGTGGAGAACTACGTTTGGCTCTACATGAACAAGACTCCGAGTGATGTTTACAAGCTGCTGGGGCTTGATCGTCTCGGAAAAGAGATTCTTGACAGTCCGGGCCTATACGTTTGGATTCGATACAAGCGGATCTAAAAACAAGCACCACGGGATCGCCAACGCAGCCTGAAGCAGGTAGAGCTTCGAGAAGCAGATAACGCTTCGAGAGTCGACAGTGTATCTGCTGCTACAACAGTAATGAAATACATCAGCATTTTCACGAGTCACCAAGCGAAAAAGAAATGTTGTTCTAAGTCTGCCAATATATCTGCAGGTTGCAAAGGGACACTAGTGACGAGTCGCGCGAACGCAACAGCGATGAATGAAAGCCTAGCTGCTCGCCAGGAAGCTCTGCAGCGACAGAACCAGGAGCTGAACCAACAGGTGGAAGCCATCGAGCAGCGTCGACAGCAGCACTTGGCTCCTGCTAGCAGACCCTCGTCGTCCTCGTCCACGACGTCGCTACGTGGAACTCGAGCCGCGTCGCCGCAGATTGAGTCGCCCATAAGGAAATCCAAGTCGGTACATCAGGACGAAAGCCATGATCAGCACAGCGATTCAAAGTCGGGTCTGGAGATCCATTTGAGCGCATCCATCGACTCCTTGAGCTCTCAGGACCTGAAAGAGGCGCGCCGCCAACTCACCAAGAGCGAGGGCAAGGAGAAGGTGGTGGCGAGCTCGAGGAGTAATTCCGCCAAACGATCTCAGCGCCAGAAGAAGCAAACAGGGAGCGAAACTCCGCCTCAAGATGCGCCTCGCAGCAAGAAGAAAAGCTCAATTGGTGGTGACAGCCCCGACAACGCTGACCCCATTCGAGGCCACGATCCGGAAGGTCTGGGCCTCGAGGCTACCGTTCGGTACCAAAAAGCGCGTCTGCGTGTATTGCAGGACGAAGCCGATGCAGCCGTGGCCCAAACGGAGCAATTGGTTCGATTGGTTGCAACTTTTGCTGGCCCCTCGCTCTCTCAGTCTCTTACTTTGGTGCTTTCGTGCGTTCATTTTCACTTGAATTGTAGCAAGCAGCTCGAAGCGGCTTGAAGTCCGCGATAGAAACCCTTAAGACGGAGAATGTGACACTCACCAAGAAGATGCAGCAGATACAGATGCTGCTTGAAAAGCAGCGAGAGCTCTCGTACGTTGCATGAAGCACCGGGGATTTACAGTTCTATTCTGACATTTGTGTATTGTGTACAAGTGTTGCCCAGGAGGCTAAGCAGAGGATTCTGGAGGGACAACTCGCAGCGGCTCAAGCGCGAGTCGAAGAGACTCAACGCGCTGAAAAGTTCGCGTCGCAGCAGATTCGCTCGAAAGACGTATGTTATGGTAACCACCGGGACGACTATTTGCTTGGTAGCTGACAATTATCTCTTTTTTTCTGAGCAGATCCGTCTCAATCGCGCGCTGGAGGAGATTGAGAAGGTGAAGGCGCAGCTTCAGGACGAAAAGAAGAACCATGGCGAGCAGATGGTCACCAAAGCTGAGTACGATCAGGTTGTACGGGACAACAAAAAGCTCGACAAGCAAAAGGTGGTAATCTCCGGCATGTTGTCACTGTACATGTTACCCAAGACTGATCGACAAGTTCTGCGTACAGGGCGAACTACTGGCCGCTTTCAAGAAACAGATGAAGCTCATCGACCTACTCAAACGCCAGCGAATTCACATGGAGGTATGGCCAAGACACTCACAGACCGATGACAGCAGTGGATCCTACTTTGACACTTCTATTCCATGCTGGCATATACTGTAGACCGCCAAAATGCTTTCATTTACAGAGGCGGAGTTCAGCAAGACACTGGAGCTGGGCTAAAAGGTAGCACTTCGACCGATACTACAGCCTGTACAGCGCGATCACTTCATCTGCATGAGCTCCTGCTGCAAGGCGAACTGGGCCTCCACACGCTGAGCTTCGAGCACTCGCGTCAGCTTGATCTATGACAACAGAATAGAAAAAAATTAACATGTGAATCAAGTGTGCATTCCTCGACGAAAGTATACGATAGTACATGTAGCTCTTTACCTTCTTCTCGTTGAGGTAATGGTACGCCTGCCAGTGCGCCTCCTGCAGAGCTTCAACTTGCGAGATACTCAGGCTGTCGCTAGGCTCCAGCTCGCGGTCGCTCACCGATGATGCGATGAGAAACTTCTCCACCCCAATCTCCAGCTCTGCTGCAACGGGAAAAGTTCGCTGGAAGCTTCCGTTCAAACCTTCGTATGAAATGCTGGATGTAGTCGCCTCATCATCGTCAGATGCTTGGCTACGAGGTGACTCGGACAGCTCCTTTGGGCTGGAGATGGGCTGGGTCGCCCACGGCGCTTTGTGGTCGGTTGAAGGGGCTAAGACTTTGTGCGGGGAAGTAGCTTTCGGCTTCTGTGTAATTTGTTGAGCGGTGGCATCCGGCTTGGTCGATGTGCGCGGGTTCTTCTTGGCACTCTTCTTGGTAGATGGCTTGGACTGCGTCTTGTTACTGCTCCGCGAAGGTTTTGCGTTGGCAGCGGGCAATTCCTTGCGGCCTGAAAATTATAATGTTAGCGCTCGCATAATATCACAAGTTCCATGATAAAGAAAACACACTTACGACTTTTCTTGGGTAGAACGCTTTGCCAGCTTCCCTCGTCGTCGGCCTCTTGGGCTTCGGATACAGTTTCAGTTGTCTGTTCTTCAGCGTCAGTTGTCGAAAGAGTCTCAGTGCTCACGCGCTCGCTGTCGTTGGATTCAGACGGATTGGCACTTTGGGTGGCATTAGCTTCAGCGCTCCCCAGTTGAGAATCCTTCGACGCGTTCCCCGACGTGTTTCCCTTTTTCTTCGATTTCTTGGTCTTCTTCTTCCCGCTTTTGGCTGCTGCGAGCTTCTTGCGGTCGGATGCACCCTCATCTTCCTTCAACGCCAAATCTATCAACTCTTGCTCCACCTGAGCGCTCTTTTGCGCAGCCACTTCCTCGTACTGCGACCACTTCAAGCTCAACAGATCCTCCATCTGCGCCGACGTCACGCCCGAGATCCATTTGCTCAGCCCCAGAGCCGTGTTGTTGGCCTCATTCCGCAGAGTAATGTTGAGGTCTGGCGCGTTCGATAGCAGCGCCTCAACTGCAGCCAGGTTTTCGCTCAGCACTGCCAGGTGCAGCGCTGTGTTGCCCCCAGCCTTCTCAACTGCGTTGACGTCGGCTCCATGCGCGAGTAGAATCTTCACGATAGCCGCACTTCGCTCCATCATCTCGTCCACGGTAGGCGCACCAGGGCGCGGGTCTGCGCCAACGCGAGCAGCGCACATGAGCGCATTCAGGCCGCTCGCGTTGACTGCGCTCATGCTCGCGCCAAGCTCGAGCAGCAGCTGCACCGCCGTCACATTCTTCGCCACGCACGCCATCATGAGAGCTGTAGTTTCCACGGTTAGTCCCGCATTAAATCTCCTGCTGAAGACGCCTCAAAGCCACGTACCCGTGTCTCCGTTGGCATTCGCCTGCTCGACGATTGTCCGCAGCTTCAGCTTCCGCTCAGCAGTAGCAACGAGCTCCTCCATCACTCGCGTCTGGGCAAGCAGCAGAGCAGTATTCACCAGGTGTAGGCGTCATTGCATCTAGTACGACAAAATAGTACTAGTATACTTGACTCACGTTCTTGGACATGGCTGTCAGGTGCAGCACCGTGGTCCGGTTGGTGTTGGTGGCGCAGTCCACTGCAGTCGTTCGGTCGGCCACGAAGCCCACGAGGTCGTCACGGCCTGGCAACGAGTTGAAAGACGCTGTTAACCACGAAAATGCATGGGAGTGACTTCAGATGACGATTCAGCGGACGCACCACAGGCGCAGACGCTCATGAGCACGCTCCAGCCCATGTCATTGGGGCGGTCGAAGTCGACGCTGCGCTCCGCGAAGTACTTGACGCACTGGTCGTAGTCGGCGAACTCCACCAGGCGGTGGGCGAACGCCTGCGCCTTGAGCGCAGCAGCTTCGGCGTCGGTCTCCATTTTGGCTGTGACTTGACTTCGATGCCAATCACCGCGGAATCGTACTTAGATGGAGCAGGCGTTGAGCAGTTACGGGCGGCATGGGCCGACGTGGCGCTGCTCGATTTACTCGCCGGAAGGTGCAGCAAGCAGCGACTTCGTTCGAGCGAGACGCAGGGCAGAGTACAGCGCAGTGACGTCGAGCGCGACTGAGCTCTGGAGCCTACCATATTGGTGTAGCGGGCTCTGTGCATTGGTAAGAAGCTTTCGTGAGTCGATAGATGGGTACAGCTGCTGTCGATTGGCTGTTGATGTTGAAGTGGGACTGACAGAGTGGCTACAGTATTCGGCGCCTTAGAGTGGCCATGAACCGCGAGCTCGATGGGCTGCTGGACAAGCTGTCCCGCATCAACCAGGAGATGGGCGGGGAGGACGGCAAGGGCAAGAAGAAGGACAAGAAAGGCGACCAGTTCCACGAGCTCAAGACCAAGATCGGCGAGAGGCTGCACCACCTCAAGATGGTACGTTTGCCAGCCTAGTCCTTGGAACTCGCCACTGATGGAGAAGCGAATTGCAATAGACCTTGCAAGACAACGAGGTGGCGGCGACGAAGCGGGGCAAGCATCCCCGCGAAGCGATCCGGCGACAGCAGGAGATCAGAGAGGAGATCCGTCTCGTCGGCGTCGACATCAAGGACCTCACGGCCAGCTACGACCTCGAGATGAAAAAGAAGAAGGTACCGGTCGTCAGATGACTGTATTCGAGCAGTTCAACCTGGTCTAAACGATGTTTTTCTTCTGGCTGCAGAGCAAGTTCTCTCCGGAAGAGCTAGCGATGCGGAAGGAGATTGTGACGCAGTACTGGGCTGAATACGAGCGCATTAAGGAGCTTGCAGCCGTGAACTACCGCTCTCCAGCAGGCCGGACGACCTTCGATACTGGCGGCGTCGCAGCGCCGATCGGTTCATTTGAGAACGGCGCGTTCACAGCTCGGGCGAGACCTGTGGCCGGTGGAGGGGCGTTTGGAGGTCCCGTTTTCGGGGGGTTGGGCGGTGGAATCGGTGGTGGAGGAGGAGGCGGCGGCGATGGTCCGGTTGAGCGGGAAGTGGTCACCGACGACCAGCGTGCCATGCTAGCAGACATCCAGAGAAACGACCAGCGCTTCGTAAGTTTACCTGCTAGCCGAGGGGATTGTGTCGTCTCTCACAGCTCTAACTCTATTGCTTTTTTGTACTGTAGGATAACATGATCGAGCAGATAGGAACGGGTGTTCAAGAGTTAGGTCAGCAGGCTCGGATGTTGAATGAAGAGCTCCAGCAGCAAGCAATTATGATCGACGGACTGAGCGAGCGCATCGACACCACACAAGCACACGGTGAGATGTTCAAACTGGTCAAGTGCGCCTGCTTATTTATTGCTCAGCCATACTGACCTCGCTTGATTGCGACCATTTGCAGTGGAGAGCGTCAACAGGAAGATGAAAAAGACCCTGGAGAAGGTTGGTCGCGGCGCAGACAAGTGTATGATGGACATGATCTGCCTCATTCTGCTGCTCGGGATCTTGGCCGTGGTCTACAACATGTTTATCAAGAAGGACTCCAGCAGTACAAGCACAACCACAACATGAACTGACCTCCCAGAGCGAACCGCGCTAACAAGCCAAGCTGCTGAACCTGAATCGGCAGACGATCCCACCTTGACTCTAGACGTTTATCTTTTGCTGCAGTAGCTCAGACCGAGTGTTCAGACTCCACAAAGAACAGGAAGTACGCACCTATATACCTCAATCCCCTCATTGCCTGGAGTTCATATTTGCGTTTATTCGTCGGCTGCTCCGCTCCCAACTCGTTGCGTGACTGACGCGTCTGGCGAAGTCTCATGTAGCGTGTGCATCCAGCGCCATAACTGGGCTGTCACAACTTGATCGCTGCGCCCAAGTCCGGTAATTTGAACTCCACGATGCGGTCGAGGTGGCTCTCTTGTCGTCCGCCGTGCCCTATCAAGCTGGAGCGGAGATTTACTGCGGTCCATAAATCGATCGTGGCGGGGGTCCGCCCATACCTCCCGGTCCAGGTGGCCCTCTCATACCTCCGCCCATGCCCATGGCCATGCCTATTCCCATACCCATTGCGCCCATCGGCGGGGGCCCACGCGGCGGTCCTACACCAAACAAATGCACCAAACGCAGCGTCAGCCAACTCGGCATTCATCCAGCTAGGCAGCAGCAGCACTAGCAGCATCTTACCTCGAATCATGGGCGGCCGCATGCCCGGAGGCGGCATCATGCCCCGCGGGGGTCCGCCACGCGGCGGGTATCCGCCCGGCATCCCGTTCGGAGGTCCACTGGGTCGCGGGGGCAGCGAGCCGGCAGGTGCAGGTCCACGCAGCCACTCGCCAGCTAGCTCAAGGCAACAAAATAGGTTAGACACTACAAGAATATACTACTGTGGGGGTGTTGCAGCGCAGCGTACGGTTCATGACGACGCCCTGGCCGGCCAGGAACTGCTCGTAGTAGAGCTTGACGTTCTCGCGGTGCTTCCAGCCGCGGTTGTGCTGCTTGCGGCCGGCTTGCTGCGGAGACATCGAGTACGAGCAGAGAGAGGAGACAACACAGCGTCAGATGCAGCGCTGGGTGGGGGTAAGCACGAGCGGAGAGGGCCGCGACGCACCGAGTCATGCGTGAGGTAGGTGTCGCAGTAGTCGCAATAGTAGCGCGGCATGGCGGCTTGCTTGGACGCGAAATGGTGAATGTTGTGTACGATTTGTGTGGTACACAAATTGTTTTGTGTATAGCACACGAAGTTGAAATGTACCCAAGTGTTTTTTAGCAAGACGCCGATTTTGATGGGCAGGGCGACGTACCGTCGTGAGCTCTTCACACCGTGACGGGAGGGATGACCCGTCCAGATACCGCTGATGGGTGGCTCCAGTTCAACTGTGCCCATCCTCCTTTTAGTCAATCATAGCAAGGGCAACGCGCGGCAACTGGTGGCTGCAGCGCTCGCTTGGGGCCTCACAAGCAAGATTTCCCTGCTCCGCCGAGTCGCCGTCGCTCTCACTCAGCGCAGCCGCAGCGATCGAAAGCTCTTCCAGCGCCGCCACCTAATACACGCAGCACACGCAGCAGCCATGTCGACCGAGAAGCAGTGGTTCAGCGAGACGGAGGCCATGTGGCCCGGCCAGAAGTTCTCGCTCGAGATGGAGGAGGTGCTGTTCCAGGGCAAGTCGGACTTCCAGGACGTGCTCGTGTTCAAGTCGGCCACGTACGGCAACGTGCTGGTGCTGGACGGCGTGATCCAGCTCACGGAGCGCGACGAGTTCGCGTACCAGGAGATGATCACGCACCTGCCCATGTTCGCGCACAAGCAGCCCAAGCGCGTGCTCATCGTGGGCGGCGGCGACGGCGGCGTGCTGCGCGAGGTGACCAAGCACGCCTGCGTCGAGCAGGTGGTCATGTGCGAGATCGACTCGATGGTGTGCGACGTGTCCAAGAAGTTCTTCAAGGACACGGTGGCCACGGCCTTCGACGACCCGCGCGTGACGCTGCTGCACGCCGACGCCGCCGTCTACCTGCGCGGTAACACGGCCGACAAGTTCGACGTGGTCATCGTGGACTCGTCCGACCCGGTCGGACCCGCCGAGGTGCTGTACCGCGCCGAGTTCTACGAGAGCATGAAGAACTCGCTGTCGCCCGACGGCGTCATCTGCACGCAGGGCGAGTGCCTCTGGCTGCACCTGGACCTGATCGTGGACGTCATGCAGCGCTGCCAGGGCCTCTTCCCCACGGTCAACTACTCGTACACGACCATCCCGACGTACCCGTCGGGCCAGATCGGCTTCATCATGTGCTCGCTCGACCAGAGCGAGGGCGTGCTGGCCAAGCCCAAGCGCACGCCCGACGCCAAGATGCAGGAGTCGCTGCGCTACTACAGCGCGCAGATCCACGAGGCCGCCTTCGTGCTGCCCGCCTTCGCCGAGCGCAAGATCGCGGCCGTGCGCAAGTGATGAGCTCTTAGCCCAGCCACAGATTCCCTACCACTTCAACAACTGTGAATAAGAGCCTATGTTTTTAACGTCTACGGTAACCTGCTCCAGTTCACTACCTACTCCTCTAACTAACCTGTGGCCACACTCGTGGGCGCTGTGATGCCGCTCGGCACGAACAGCGTGATCTTGTCCACCTTCCAGCAGAAGTCGGGCGTCTGCTCCTGGATGAGCTTCCAGATGTAAGGGACGAAGAACTGCTCCGGGTCGGCCTCCTCCTCGTACCGATAGCTCGCGTCGTCGTCGTCCACGGACGCCTTCGACCTCGACGCGCCTCCCGTCCTGGAACTGGCGCTGGAAGCCGCCAGAAGGCTAACGCATTCGTTGCGGATGATCTCCAGCACCTTGTCAGCGTCCAGCACGTCGTCGGGTGACGTCTTCGTGTCGACGACTACCTGGAATCGTGCCAGCGTGCTCCACACGGGCCCATTGTTCACATGCGCGGCGAACTCCGAGTGTTGTTGCAGTCCTGCGAAAGTATCCGCGCGGTGCAGCAGAGAATAAATAAGTTGCGGGTTGCGCGGCAGCAGCTTCGCCTTCAAGCAGGACGACACCACACCCAGCAGCAGGCGGATGAACTCGACGTAGGCCGAGCGCTTCTGAGCCAGCACCTCGTTCTCCTCCTTGTCCGCGCTCTTCAGCCGCTTCATCTGCGCCACCAGCTTTGCCTCATTCTTGGCGAGCATGTCGATGAGCCCCACGATTCCTTGCGCTGCGTACATGTGCAGGTTTTCGGCTGAGCGCGCGAGGTTGGACAGCGCCGCAAACGCGTTCAGGTGGATGAAGCTGTCCTGGAAGTGGGTGATGTTGCGGAAGATTAGCCGCGTGAAGATGACCATCATGAGACTGCCCAGCGAGACGTCCAGCATGTAGTGTTCCTGGTACCACGATACATTGGGCACCACCAGCTGAGTGTGCGCGGTGCGAACGAACTCCGGGTCCTGCGTGAACGTGAGCAGCACGATCACCAGCATGTACAGCCGACTAGGCTCCACCGACCGCGCATGGTACAACGTCTCCAGCAAAGGCAGCAATAACCGCTCCATATCGGCGTTGCCCACAGCAGCGTCGAGCATCATCGGGTTGGAATACAGCAGCGTGTACAACATGAGATGGCTTGCCTCGTATGGCGCATGGCGGCCGACAACTTCAAACAAGTCCGAGTACATTAGCTCCAACTTCTCCGCACTGGAGGCCGCGGTTGTGTGGCCCTGCCGCATCAAATGAACTCGAGGGTCCTCAATTTCCGCGCTCTGATCGTCTGCGTCAGCTCCATCTGCAACGCCACACAGCGCTCCTCGGAATGGGTTGCTGGCCACCGCTGAATCACTGTCTCGACAACTCTGTAGCAAGACAAGGAGTAGCAGAACGCTTCGATCGGCGAGCGGATTAGCAGAATCCTCGCGAGTAGTAAAATACCGGATGAAGCTCCACGGGAATCGGAAGATTGATGCTGAAGGTTTATGAAGGGCACAACAAAGGTAAGAGGAAGATGCATGTGGTAGATAATGACAAGTGAACAGTACTCACCAGCTATGGAGCCGACACCTTCGAGAGTGAAATAGGAGAACTGTTCCTGCTCGTACGCCTGGTCGGAGATCCCCGACATCGCAATGAGCGACATTTCACGAGCCTTCCGTAGTGCGACCACTGCAGTGTTTGAAGTGGCATTTGGTCCCGTAGCCTGGAGTTGTTCAATGCTATTCTGCAGCAAGCGACGCACCAAGCCTGGAGCCCAATACGACTTCTTGCCATCAGGTAGGGCTGCCGACATCAGCATATAAAGAAATGGGTTGTGGGCTCGTAGATCACCAGCTTGCTTGGAATGGTCTCGCGGATACGCCACTGGCGATAGGAGAACCAGCAGCGTGTTCACAACTTCCACATGCAAGTCGTGCGTCTTTTCGCTGCGTGGTCACAAAAACACAAATGGGTGCAAACGTCAGAAGCCATACTAATGATAACTGCAGCATAAACGGAAGATGCACGTACTTGGGTGGGAACTCGATGAGAACCGTAAGAAGTACATCTAAGAACCGAACTGCTAGATCATCTGAGGAATCTTCGGGCGCGAATCCATCGTTGGCCCCTTTTTCAGCAACTTCATCCATCTGAATCGACAAGCTATCTGTTCATCGAAGACAGAGGGGGTCAACCAGAAGGATAGCCAACACCAACAATTCGACACGGAGCGTCCACCTACGCCTCGTCGTAGTATTAGCACTGTGACTCGAGACGCCAGCAAACTCCGTCGTTGGCTGGTGATTGAAATGCGCCAGCAACGAGCACTCGTCGGTCCTTTCCACAAAGCGCATTGCAAACTGGCGCACCAAGAACAGCGCATTCACAGCTCGGTGCAGGTGCGTGCCCACAGTCTGCGGCTTGCCATCCACGGGATCAGGCGCCACCGCACCCGGTGCAAACGCTGCCAGCTCGCTGTTCGTCATCTCGGCCACCTTGCAGCTGAACGGCAGCGAGTGGATCACATAGCGCAGCAGCACGCGGAAGTTCCCCGACCGGAGACTGTTCTGAGCTGCCAATGCGCCAAGTAGCGGTCAAAGAGCCATGTAGTCAGCACCTCGTTATTGCAATAGTATTGCAACACCAATGCAGCGCCTGCACTCACCGAGCGTCTCTCCGTACTCGCGCGTCAGCAGCTCCACCTGCGCCTGCGACAGTTGCGGCAGCGGCTTGGAGCCCGCCAGCACCGCGTGGTACGCCGCGTCCCCGCTAGGCACGGGCGTCTCTCCGACGATCTTCTCGAAGGCCGCTCTCTCCTGCGCAGAGGCGAAGATCTTCTCCACTGCAGCGGAGCCGGCGGCAGCAGCGGCAGGCGACGAACTCGACGCTCCCATGGCGAGCGCAGCAACAGCAGAGACTGAAGAAGGAATGACGTACCAAACCGTTATTTACGGAGATATTTTCGGATTCGATTTCCATTGGATGAAAAGGGGAGATGGATACACTATGTAGCCATGTGCACTTCAACGTGCTGCTGCTGTTCTACTGCTGCTGGATGTGGAACTCGCAGAGCAGAGGGAGGTGGTCCGACGGAGAGATGGTGCTGGGCAGAGCGACCTCCTTGCTGGCGTCTTCGAACGACATGATCTCCATGAGCGCCGCCGGCCGGATCCTGAGTGTTGGCACAATAGAAAAGTTAGTGAGGTGGAGGGATGGCAAGACATCCATTTCTGACGACGTACCTGGGGGAACGGTAGAAGATGTAGTCCAGTGTGCCGACGAAGCGCGGCACCAGCTTACCGTCATCCGTTTTAGCGTCACCATTGACGTTCGTGAAGGGGGGTTCACCGTCTGGACCGTACTGTGCGTAAGCGCTGTTGAAGTGGTTGCCCTCAGTGATGAAGCTGTAGACCTTACTGTCTGGCAGCGAGTTGAAGTCGCCCGAAAAGATGGTCGGAATGGAGGCATCCAGCGTGCGTGTAAACACCTCGATCGTGCGCAGCATTCGGCGCGATTGCAGCAGCTTCACGTCTTCTTGCATCGGATCCCAAAACAAGTGCGTTGTCGCGACTACGAAATCCAACGGTGTATCGACGTGCTCGAAGTGGACGATTGCACCGACGCTGCCTCTCTGGGAAGCCCTTGAAAGCAGCTCGTGGTCGATGTCTATCGGATATGACGCAGAGAGAGTATTGTTAATACTTCTTCGATCATAGCTGTAGTTGGCATCAGTGCATATGCCATATTGAACTCACCTGATTCGTCTCCGTTAGGCAAGTCCAGGTTAACGTGCGTGGATTCCTTCACCTTCAACTTCTTCGCATTCCAAAACACAGCTACGCCGTCCGGCTTGGTGCTCGTTTTCTTGATGAAGAGGCTGCATGTAGCGGTGAAAAAATGAAGAAAAGTGAGTCCACACCGTTCTTTAACCCTGCATCGCTATAACTGCAGTCTTTTACCCGTCGTATCCGAGCTTCTTCATCGAATCAGCCCAAAACTCGCTGTAATTGTCAACTTCCTGCATAAGAAACAATCATCAACTGCCGCAATTAGCGCTAAAATACCAATAAGGCCCTGTAAATCACTCTGCTTCATACCTGCAGACAGATGACGTCGGGCGAGACTGGGAGGCTCGAGGCGAAGACTGCTTCCTGTCCAAACCAGCATCACACCACTCACGTCAAAAACAATTTGCAGGCAACGCGACCCCAATGCTCTGGTGCCTACCAAGTTCTTGGACCTGTTCTTCCACCGCAGCTCGCTGGGCTTGCAATACGGGAAGAAGCTAGAACGCACATAGCACTGGGCCAGCACGTTGTACGTCATGACCAGCAGCTTCTGCGAGGTCCCAGCCGCTGCAACCGGCACAAATGCATCCACACACCACACGCAGAGGTCAGCAACGCGACAACGACCTGCATTTCGCTCCGCAGAGCGCACCCACCGGCGCCATCGCGCAGCTCGCGCATGCCCGGCGTCTTCATGGCTACAGTCGAGCAATAAGTGAGCCCGAACCCCAGCCTCGCCAATTAAATATCCGACCAATCACGTGTCGAAATTGAGCCATTTCTTTTCGGCGAATGACATCACCGTATTCTAAATTGCAGCCGTTTGAGTGGCTGAAAGCTGGCGGGGCGATTGAATGGCGAGCACGCTCTCGTCTGGGCCTCCGATATTCCCGAGCGCCGAGTAGTGCTGAAATCACAAAGGCTTCCTCAATTCAAAGGTAAGGGACGAGCTATTAGTGCCCCCGCGCGTGCCTGCGTGTGCGTGTGTGTTACACCTGGCCCTCGCAATGGACGCGCATCATGGCGCGTGCACGGAGGCGGAGGCGGAGACAGCGACCGATGCAGCGCCCAAACAGCAGCGAACATTACAGGGCAGCCGCAGCGCAGCGCAGCTCAGGACAAGAACAGGGAGCAGGGATGCAGGACAACCAGGGGCCTAATTCGTGCGTTATTGCTGCTGCTTGTAGATGGTGCAGGTTACTCCCGTCATCCGCCCGAAGATCGTCAAGAAGAAGGTGACGAAGTTCAAACGTCACCAGTCCAACCGCTTCAAGCGCGTTCCGGAGTCATGGCGTCGCCCGAAGGGTATTGACGGCCGTGTGCGCCGCAAATTCAAGGGCGCCATTAAGATGCCCAACGTCGGCTACGGCTCCAACAAGAAGACCCGCCACCTGCTGCCCAACGGCTTCCTTAAGTTCGTGGTCAACAACGTGGCCGAGCTCGAGGTGCTGCTCATGCACAACCGCAAGTACTGCGCCGAGATCGCCCACAACGTGTCGGGCCGCAAGCGCCGCGAGATCATCGAGCGCGCCGAGCAGCTCAACGTGCGCGTGACCAACCCTAACGCCCGCGTGCGTGCTGAGGAGAACGAGTAAGCGTTCTGCTCGACGAGCGACCGACTACAGGAGTGACGACTCGACGCACGAGAGACGCCCGCGCGTCTTGGTGTTGAGGCGGAGCTTTACGACGAGGACAGGAGCCAACTGTGAGAAAGCAAGGAAGCAGCTCCAGCTCCAGGCGATAATCGATAATGCACCGTTTGGCGCCCCGCTGGATTTGTGGACTAGCTCAAGTGTAGTGTCTTTTCAATTGCGTTTACCTGCGAGTTGTTTCCTGGCGCGTCAGTCAGCGTTTTGCATGGGCTTCAGGCGGCGGAGGTGTGGACAAGGGCGTATTACAGGAAGTTTCCGCGATACTGAGACGTGGGGGCTGAGTGCCTCGGTGCGGTTTGGGTTGTCCAGTACGATCAACATGGTGAGGAATCCATCTGAGAGTCGCAACTTCATTTGCACTTTGTCCCGGCGGTGGGAGCACACCTTCTACGAGCCTGAGCCCGTCAACTTCAAAAGTGGGCTCCCCCTAATACGAGAGCCAAAAGTCGCACAAAACGGGCTCCCTCATGGTAAGTACGAGATCAAGGAGCCCTGGTTCGGGCTCCCCATTAGCTCCCCTCCAGGGCTCCCCAAATTTAGCTTCAAATCTATGACGGGCTCTTCATAGTAATATCTGATTGGCCAATTTTACCTAGACTTAAGGCTAGCAACTTCGCGTGATTGATGCGCCACGCTAGAAGATCGAGCTCTGATACGCTTGCAGTATCTTCTCCCTCAACGCATATCGTATTCACAGACAAATCTTCAGCCTACCCACTTGCGTTGTTGATCACTTCAAGTCAAAGCCTGCAGGACCGAAGCCACTACAGACGATCGGCTCTTCGTCTGTGTAGTCGCCTCCTTTTTGAAACACCACCTAAACACAGCAAGAAGACAGGATGTGAGCGCGACCGACAACGACGCAGTCGCCGACAGTAACAAGCACCTCTTCAAACGACTTGTGAATTCCCGCCCAGTCGGGGTGATCGTCACCCTTCTTCATCAGCATGTCCAGGATATCCCGGTAGCAATTTTCCAGCAATGCTCTCGCGTCAGCCGCCAACAAGTTTAGAGTACGAGAGCTCCAGAGGTGGCACTGAACCCGCATTGTGTGAATACGCTGTCTCTGCAGTACGTCGAGGCCGGAACGAATATCGCCGATCTCGATTTCCATAAACTGCAACCGCGTGGGGCGAGTAGATCCGTGTCTTCTAACTAGCTCCTTGAGCTGCTCGCTCTTCTCGTCGAGCTCCTTAAGATCCTGATTCTGCTGTAAAAATGATGCGAGAAAGAATGCCCCCAGCGCTCTGGTAAGCACGACGACATACTGCCCCAAAGCTTCCTCCGCTCGCTGCTTGTACTGCCCAGCAGCAACCATCTAGCAAATCAACAGCAGCAAGTCAGTCAAGTCTGTCAAGGTGGGGCAACTGTAGGTTTCTACGATCAGGCTTCCTTACTTTCTCCAAGTCTGATCGCACCGCCAGCGCTTGGTTAAACAGCTCCGATACCTTCTTCGCAAGCTCATATTCATGCTCGGCGTGAGCCAGCTCTTCCTTACAGGCTTGCTCGACAGTCTTGGCCGTCCTCAACACGTCGCTCGCTCGGTTCACAGCACTTTGGTTCTCGCGCGAAGCCGAATTCAAGAGGTCTACAATACAAACAGTAATCGGGCGTGATTAGAGCTAATGCTGTCAGTGCGAGCGAGGTGTTTGTACCAGGTCTGGGTCTTCAGAGTTAGTCTTGTTGCCTCCCGCGGCATACTAACACATTTTCTCGCATAGAGCGGAAGCCACTGCCTTGAGGTTCATCCTGGCCAAAGGGTCGAAATCTAAAGTATCTATGATGATCGTGGCCATGGAAGGCTCCAGCGTTCCGATACGCTGGTTCATCCGATCACATAGCTCCTGGAAGGTTTCTTCTTCCTCCTCTGCACCTTCGTCTGAATCTTCCAAATGATTTTCTGCTTCCTCCTCGGGCCCGTCGTCCTCCGAATCCACGCTTATTTTGACCTTTTTGCGCTTTGGCGCATCGATTGCAGCCACACTTCGCTTCTGTCTTAATCCCTCGTATGCTTGCAGGCGCCTCTCAAAGTTGGCATCTCGCTACATCCATTAAAAGAAGCAACCTTTAGACGATTCCTACACCATTCATCTCATCCTGCAACGAACCTTGTGGTCGTAGCAGAACTTGGTTCGCTGCGGGCTCGTCTTGTTGCTGTTGCGGATGACGGCGGCGCAGCAGCGACGGCTAACAGGTTCCATGTTGTCTGTCCTGGGCATTGCGATGCGCTCGAGATGTTCCATGGTATCACTTCTCCACGGCTCGTCGTCATCGTCATCGTCCATTCTGTCCTTGTAGTAGCTTTCACAGATGTCCCCTGCCAAGCGAGCGACAGCGTGAGCATGGCATTTTTTTGCTACAACTTTCCCACTACCAGGCGGCTGATCCTCACCAAATTTTAAGCCTGCGCGCCTAGCAGGCGAACCCTCGTCAACTGAAGACACGACGAACTTGCCGCTCGAACTCTCTCGCACTCGAAAGCCCAGCGACGCCTCCGTCATGTGGACCAACAGAAATCGCTGCACCAAATGTATTAGTGCGTGCACGAAAGCAGCTCCACCTTACCGTGCGCTGGTACTTGCGCATAGCTTTCGGCCGCCCCCCTCACTTCACGCAATTCACGGGGCTTGGTGACTTGCGATCTTCCAGAGACGTAGCGGATACCATCGCTATGGCCACACAACCCGTCAGATTCTGTAGCGTCATGTGTACATGTTGTGAGCTTATGTTGAAGTTTTTCACGGTTCATAGACGCACGCAAATACTAGACTTGGCCAGCTGAACTAAACAACCTTGCAGCGCAAGCGGCCACTATGCACGGCGACCTACGGAGAAAAGCCTTGACTTTCAAGTCTAATATACGTTGATCAACCCCATTCTTCTTTTCAAGTTTTATCCCAAATGGTAACACTGCAATACATGTACGAACTGCCGAACTGGGGAACTCGGGCTCCATACACTAAAACGCGGAAGATGTCATCAGTAGCACTAAAAGTCTTAGTCTAGGACCAATACTACCGCTGTCGTCGATAGTAGATGAAAGATAGTCGCATGCTCCTGAGAGTACGTATCACGTGCGGGGCTTGATGTCGGGCTTCCGTTGTAGCTCGCAGTCCCTGCATGCAAGGTTAAAGGTGACTGCCAACCAACAATTGGTGACAGCCTCGCGGTATCATAGCGTCAAGCTCGCTTGCCCTCGAATCGGCCCATGTAAACATCATGGGCCATGTTGTGATTGCATAACACCGCTGGGGATAAGCTTGTTTGGTATGCAGGGTCTTCAGCAGGCCTCATGTGCTCTGTAGTCCCCAAAACGACGCCGCTTACTCCAAATACACGTAGAAGGCTGCTGCTGCGCACTCTAGCTATTAGGCCAAGTTCCTTTTGATCGCGAACATCTTCACGCATTTGACCAAAGACTGCAACAGAAATGCGCGCGCACAAACCTCGTGATTGCGATGTGGCGCAGTCATTTCCATACGAAACCTACCCAAACGCATCCGAATTCTCTTCGCTAGTCTCTCGGTGTCGGGCATCATCTGGTAGCGGCATTCCTGAGCTTGGCGAGATAGACATGCGTCCCTGCTCGCTGCTGCTGCGCGCCGCCCGCCCCGGCGGCGTCTCGCTCTCCGCGTCGACGTCGCTGCGCTCTGTCGGTCTGGGCGGCGTGCGCTGCATCTCCAAGCGCGCGGCGGAGGAGGCGCGGCGCGAGTCCATCAAGATGCGCAACCGCCGCGCCGTCATGTACCTGGCGGGCACGGCCATCGCGTGGGTCGGTATCTCGTACGCTGCCGTGCCGCTGTACAAGATCTTCTGCCAGATGACGGGCTTCGGAGGCACCACGCAGCGCGTGGAGGAGTTCGTGGCCGACAAGCTCACGCCCAGGGAGAACGCCAAGCCTATCCGCATCACGTTCGATGGCGGCGTGAGCGCCAACATGCCGTGGGTCTTCCGGCCGCAGCAGCGCGACCTGCTGCTGGTGCCCGGCGAGACGGCGCTGGCCTTCTACACTGCCAAGAACAAGACGGACAAGGCCATCACGGGCGTGGCCACGTACAACGTGTACCCTCCGTCGGCTGGCGTGTACTTCAACAAGATCCAGTGCTTCTGCTTCGAGGAGCAGCGGCTCAAGGCCAAGGAGGAGATCGACATGCCCGTCTTCTTCTTCATCGACCCGGAGATCTGCGACGATCCGTCCATGAGCGGCGTGCACAACATCACGCTGTCCTACACGTTCTTCAAGACCGACGACGTGAGTGAAGACGAAGTGGACGACGAGGACTAACGCGGCTGACTGGTTGAGGAGGCTGCATACAGACGATCGAAGGGGGAGTGGGGTTGCTAGAAGTGGACGAGCTACTAGGTATGAGGCATCGCCGAGCATGAACACGGAACGCCTGCGAGTTAGACGATGAACACGAGTACAGTTTGATGGTTGTTTTTCGTGTCGATTGCGTCGTCTAGTTCCTGCTGTCGTGGACGTTGAACCAATGCAGCGTGGGGCTGGTTCTCACGCCGCGTGTTCTGGTGGTCGATTATGTTGCTCGTCTACAGCTTTTTGCACCACGTCACATATTGCGTTCGCATTGGTCAAAACCCTATCTCCTTTCAAACGTCTTTTTGTCCAATCCACTGCCGCTTCCCCCGCCCTCTTTTTCGCGCGAAGCAGCATACAAAAAAGAAGTTAGAGAACGCCCGAAGGACGCATAACCTACAGCAGCAAGCATGGCCAGCAAGGAGGAGCACAACGACGACGAGATCCGCGAGCAGGACCGCTTCCTGCCGACGGCCAACATCTCGCGGATCATGAAGGTGTCGCTGCCGTCCACGGCCAAGATCGCCAAGGACGGCAAGGAGACGGTGCAGGAGTGTGTGAGCGAGTTCATCTCGTTCATCACGAGCGAGGCCAGCGACAAGTGCCAGCAGGAGAAGCGCAAGACCATCAACGGCGACGACATCATCTGGGCCATGAGCACGCTGGGCTTCGACAGCTACGTGGAGCCGCTCAAGCTCTACCTGCAGAAGTACCGCGAGTCGGTCAAGGTGGAGAAGAACGACAAGAAGGACAACGTCGGCTCCTTCGGGGCGTCCTCTTAGGGACACACACACGTACACACACAGACAGACTCTGAGTGGGTGGGTGCCGTTGGACCCGGCAGGATGAAGCAGTAAATACACAGAGAAAAACACACGCAGAGAGAGGACTTGTGTCTGTTGGTGGAGAGGACTGACTAACGATTGCTGTGATTCGTTCGAGCTTCTTGCAGGAGCTGCAGCATCTTGAGCTTCTTCTTCCTGCTCGCGGCCTGGAGGCACTCGACGGCGCTGTCCCCGTAGTTGTCGCGGATGCGAGCCTCGGCGCCCGAGGACAGGAGCAGCTGGACGCACGCGACGGATTCACGCACCACGGCGACGTGCAGAGCTGTCCAGCCGTTGATCTACAGCAGAATGCAGTGAGTGCATCGGGTATTGAGATTATTGCGGCAACGCGGTGAAACGGAGACTTGACGAGGTGTTACCTGGTCGATGGCGTTGATTTCGGCACCTTTCTGGAGAAGGAGCTGCAGGATGTCGCTGTGGTCCTGAGAAGCCGCCCAGTGAAGACCACTCCAGCCGTGCTAAGAAGGCAACAGGGAGTGAGCTGAAGAAGAAATAGGTCCATCATGCTGCACGCACCTGATCCGCAATGTTAGCGTCGACGACTCCGTCGTCAAGCATGTCTCGGACCTGGTACTTGTCGGCTCGGTACACAGCTCGAAGGAACTCCTTGCTTTCCTTCGACTCGCTCGGAGTTGCCCGCGGGGGTGGGTCGTAGCTCTCTTCCTCTTCAGCTGGGTCGTCTGGCTCCTCCTGCTTCCTGCTATCTTTCTTCTTGGGGGTGCTGTCCTCGTCTTCTTCAAAACTCGAGTAGCCATCGTCCGCATAGTTCTCCTTCTCACTGTCATGATCCACCACTTTGTGCTTCGAAGTCTCCTCCGACGCTGCTTCAGACTTTAGCACTTCTGCCGCCTGTTGCCCCTCTTGATGCAATTCCGCTGCTGCTTGCTTGATGGTCTGTCCGCGAACTTCTTGACGCTCGACCTTCACCTCCTTGGCGGTTGTATCGAGCGCTGCCTGAATCCGCGATCGATCTTCTTTGTCGATCTCTTGCGCTAGCTGCTGCAGCGTCTGCTTCGGTGTCTCGGTCTCTTGCTTGGCGACGTCCATCAGAGTTAACGGCTTCGTTGAAGCATTTGCTGCGCTTTCAGCTTTGGCAACGTCAACAAGGGACAAGGGGGTCGAGCTTCCAGCAGCCTCAGCGTTCATCGCCTTGGCAACATCCATAAGGGACGACATCGACGACTCGATCTCGCACACGAACACGAAAACCACAGCGAGATAAATGAACTACGCGTGCATTACTCATTGCTTACACTCTACTCCATCCACCCCACTCGGAGTCGTTACGCATGCTGGGATGGTGCTCCACAAAGCGCGACTTGCAACTATCTCTGCCAACCCCGGCCCGATGAGCTCGAATGCGACCGTACCCGTTTCTTGGCCGGCCCGGGCGATGCTGACCGACTGATAGGACGACCTCGAGCCGCTAGTCTTGCTGCCGCCCTCGCTGCGGATGCTGCAGTTCCAGCTGTTGCAGTCGACGCACTGCCGAGACTTGGCCGCTTGACCGTCTTCGTTGGTTGCGACTGGCTTGAAGCGTTCGAAGCCGGGGACACGGAAGGCGGCGTGTTGGTAATCGAGTCCACACCGATGTTCTCCTTCTCCTTGAGCATTGCTCGCAGCTTCTGCAGAGAACGCTGCAGCTTAAACTTCTCGTCCGTCAACTGCCGCACCTGATCCAGAAGACGGTTGTTCTCCTCCTTGACCTTCACGTGGTGCTGAATCTTCTGTCTGCTGTTGTGGTGGCCGACAAGCTTCTCGTTCTCTTTCGACACCGTCTCCAGCTTCTTGGTCAGAGCTTGAATCTCTCGCTGCAGCTTCACCTTCTCCGCCAGGAACTTGCGCTTCACCTGCCCAAGCGCATCTTGAGACACTGCCTTCGCCTTCCCCACCTTCTGCGCCGCCTCCGCCGCTGCCTTCAGTTCTGCCAATGCCTCTCGATCAGACTTCAGCTGCTTCTCAGCAGCGTCAACTTCGCTACGTCTTCGAGCGAGCTCCTCTTCTTGCTGCTTGAGCTCGGACACTGCCTTCTCCTTGAGACTCGCATTCTCCGCCACAACCGATTCGTGCTTAGCCTTGAGTTCGTCCATCACAGCCTGAAGTTCCTTAACCTTCGCATCGCTGTCATCCTCAGCTGACCGTGTGAGGCGTTTGTCCACCTCAGCTAAGGATTGCTTCGTAACCTGCAGCTCCGAATCCTTCTCCTTGATGGACGAGCTGAGCTGCTTGATCTCCTGCATCAGCTGTTCTGTCTGCTGCGCCAAGATTTCCTCCCCTTCCTCCAGCTTCTGCTCAAGAGAGCGTTTTTCAGTCAAAAACGCTTCCTGAGCCTTTTCGAACACAGCAACCTTCTCGGCAACAAGTTGCTCCAATGCCTGGACCCGGCCATGTGCAGCCTCCAAGTCAGCTTTATATTCGCGGGCCTTCATATCCCACGCAGCTTCATCGCTCTGCATACGCTCCTTCAGCGAGTTAATGGTTTCATCTCGCTCCGAAACAACACCCAATTGTTCGGCAAGCTCCGCTTCCTGTTTTGACACAAGGCTCTGCTTCTCTGCCAGCTCCTGCTCGATGTCGCACATGGCCTTTCGCAGCTCTGCAACCGTACTAGTCAGCTCATCGTGTGCAGCAATGGAGTCAGCTCTGGTGGACTCGAGAGCACGGACTTGGTCATCGCGGTCAGTGACGCAATCCTTCAGCTCTTGCAAACGCTTATCCTGCTCCACAGCTGCTGCCTTGAGTGACTCGTTCTCCTGCTCCAATTCACATTTCCCAGCTGACAGGGACTCCATCTCGAGGGTTAACTCCTCGACACGCTTCTCGAGAGTGATAATGGATTTCTGCGAGCTTTGCATCAGCTTTGCCTTCTCGTCATGCCACTCCTGTCGAGCTTCAGAAAGTTTCAGCTCCATCTCGTGCTTGGATTCTTGTTCAATCTTCAAAGACTCAGCCAACTCCAGCCGATCAAACTCAAGCTTCCGCACTTCATCCCGCAGCGTGGATTGAATTCCCTTGTACATACGGACCTCCTCTCGCTGGTGGGCAACCGTTTCTTGAGCTTCACGAATTTCATTCGCAGACTTTTCAAGCTTGCTCGACATCTCCTCTGCGGCATCCTTCGTTGCAGCAAGCTCCTGGGTTAACTCTTCAATCTTCTTGGTGCTAGAAGACAGCTCCTCCTGAGTTTGGGCATGCGTGACAGCAGCTTGTCGTTTATCCTCCTGCGTCGACACGAGCTCCTTGCGAAGCTCCGTAATCTCATTCGAATACATAGAGTGTTGCTGTTGCAGCTCGTCTACTTGCTGCGTGAACTTCGAGACGCGGTCTTCAGACTCCGACAACTGAATTTGTTGCTGCTCGCATTTCTTCTGCAAGTTACCATTCTGACCACCGAGCTCGTTCGTCTTCAGCGATAGCTGCTCCGCCCTCTCCGACAAATTCTGGATCTCGCTCGCCATTTCGTTCTTCTCCGTATCAAGTTTTTTGGCATCCTCTTGAAGGCGAGAAACTTCCTCAGCTGCAGAAGAGCGTTCTGCCTCGACTCGATTCTTCTCTTCAGTCAGCTTCGAAAGATCAGCCAGAGTTTGGGATAGTTTCGCCTGGAGCTCTTCCAACGCGTGTTTAGACTCACGTTCCTGGTCATCAAGCTGGCGTTGAAGGTTGGCAAGAGATACTTCCTTCTCTTCCAGCTGTACCTGATGGAGACGACCAGCTTCTTCCGCCTCGGATCGGTAGTCATCAAGTTCTGCACGAAGCTGCTGATAATGCTCGCCTTTGACACGAAGTTTGGTCTCAAATTCCTCCGTCAACGTTTGTTTTTCCTCTTGGGTTTGCTGCTTCAAAGCGCTGATCGCCTCTGCGTGTTTTTGAGCGGTAGCATTCGCATCCTCTTCCATCTGTAGAATACACTTGTTCGAATCCTCGAGCTTCTGCTTCAGGATCAGCTTTTCTTCCGTAACGGCGACTTCGGAGCGTTTAAGCTGATTGATTGCACAATCACGGTCCGAGATTTCCGTTCGCATGTGAGAAGCTTGAAGCGTAGCTTCCTTCAGCCCCTCTCGAGCTTCGCTAAGCTCTGATGCTAACCTCTGACCTGCTTCTTCAACTCGAACCATATCCGACTTCAGCTGGGCAAGTGCTGTTTCTGCTTCTAGAAGTTGGTGCTCCCGCTGTTGAAGATCAGCAGTGGCTGCAGTAAGCTCATGCTGCAAGTGCTTCTTGGAGTCTTCAAGGTTGCGGTTTGTAGTTGCTGAATCAGCCAAGGCAGCCTCGAACTCTAGACGAACAGCCTCACGTGATCGCTCAAGTTGTACCTCCAACTTCTCCACCTTGACTTTCTCCTGAACAACCAAATCCCGAGTCGCAGAGTGTGCTACCTCAGAGCGCTGTAGAGCTTCTTTCGAATCTACGAGTTGTCGTTCGAGATCATGCTGCCGAACAGACCAAGAAGCCTCGCGTTCCCTGATCTGTTGAAGCTCTAAAGCCACCTCAGCGGCCTTATCCTCCAGACACACACTTGTGGATGCGACAGCGTCTAGCTTCGCCTGGTACTCACTCGCTTGTTGCTTCAGCGCTTCTTCCAGTCGGGCGGAGAAATCCGCACTTACAGCTTCTTGCGCTGAGGTGTCCGTCATACTTTCGTCCTTATCAGATTGATTTTCAAGCAGGCGGTCTTGCAAGTCGTGCTTGTCGCGCAGGACGAACGCGAGCTGTTTCGTCAGCGCTAGAACCATCATGTTCAGGTTTTCCACCTCACTATTCATCTTTCCTGCGACACCGGCGTCTTCAATTCCACTGCGCTGCAGCTCGTCCTGGAGCTCAACAAAACGCTCTTCCATCTCTTCGTACTTCATCCGCCACTCAATAGCATCGGCTGAAGGCTCGTATTCCAGCGCCCCTGGCCCACCAAGTCCTCTCAGTCGAAGCATCATTCTTAAATGGGCAATATGCTGCTTAAGTTCTTCACACAGCGCCTGGAAGTTCCCATTCTGAAGCTGCAGATACTCGCATGAGCGCTGAAGCCTGTCACTCTTTTCGGCGGTCGTCGCAAAAGATTCCTCCAACTCGCGAAAACGACTATCAATCGCGGGGTCGCATGGCCCTACTGCGGGGGTAGCCGCGTCTTGACTCGACGTATCCTCGGACGGCGTTGTTCCTTGTACTAGCAAATTCGATCCCGGAATATTACGAGCGATCTCCTGGTGAGCCTGCTGCAGCTGGCGCCGAAGTCGCTGGATTTCTTCTTGCAAGAAGAGTGCGCTCCCGACTGAGTCTTCATTGACGACTGCGCGATTCTGAATCATCTTGGCGCGCTGGGCAAACTTGAGGGTTGAGAGCGTCTCAAACGCGGAGTCTTCAGCTGGGGAAATGGTGGCGACCATGAACGTCTTGGAGTTGCCACCCAGCGAGTCCTTCAGCAAGAACGTCAGCTTCGAGTCGCGGTAGTGCACGTGGCGGTGCTTCCCCACAGACTGCTCCGAGAGCCCCATGATGACATTGCCCAGAGCAGACAGCGACTTGTTGATGCCGCCCGCCTCCTTCAACCGCTCGCCTGCTGCGTCTGTGCTGCGCTGTCGCTCGGATCCTGCCAAATCCACCAAGTTGAAGCGCGACGTGCGGATCTTGGTGCCTTCCGCCGACGTCTCCTTGGACTGCAGCTGCAAGATGAAGACGCTGTGCGAGCGACTGCTCTCTCTGTTCATGGACGTCTGTCCGACGCGTCGGTTCTGGGCCCCGACCGTCATGAGCTCCGCCGCCTTCTTGGAGCTGGTGACTACGCTCTCGATGAGCCCCTCTACGTGGACGCCCTTGCGCCCGTTCTCTCGGAGCTGCAGCCCCGCCGCGTCCTTGGCGCTGCCTCCGTCCAGCAGGTCGTACACGCGCTCGTTGTAGATCTCGAGGAACGAGCACGCGAACGTGTGCTGCACGTTCGTCCGACCGTCCTCCTTGGCCACGACGTTGTCGAACAGGTAGTCGATCACGCGCGGCACGAGGCCGCGCAGCGCCAGCTGCTCCTGCGTGAGGCGCTGCGCCTCCGTGTCGATGACGTCGTCGGGCCCCTGCATGGTGAAGGTCTTGCCCGAGCCCGTCTGTCCGTAGGCGAAGATGGTGCCGTTGTAGCCCTCGAGGCAGGCCTGCGTGATGGGCGCGCCCACGACCTGGAACACGTCCGTCTGCGTCGCGCTCTCGGCGAACACGCGGTCGAACGTGAAGGTCTTGGCGGGCCCGTGCTTGCTGTGCAGGAAGAGCGTCTGCTGCGCCGCGTCCGAGGCCGGCACCGTCACGCACTTCTTGGCGAACGACGCGCCAGAAGCGGCGGCCGCGCTGCTGCGCGCCAGGAAGCCCAAGGAGCCGCCGAGCGCCGACGCCTTCACGCCGCGCTCGCGCTCGTTGGGCGGCCGCACGCGGCAGAAGACCTTGACGCTGGCGTCCTCGTCCATTTGGTCCGATGTGAGAATTAATGTGCCCTTTTTGATGATTGGCGCCATTTTTTGCCTCAAATTCAAAAGGCGGTCAGAGACGGGACGGCATAGCTCTTGAGATCCCGTGCATCTTGCACAGTATGGATCTGTAGCCATTGCAGAAAGTATGTATGGGACGGTATATACGGGTCTTGATAGCACAAAAACCTTGCATGGGACGGCATTTCTGAATCAACCCATGTCGTGACGCCACCCGCGTCGTCATGCTTCCCATCGCTGCTGCCTGGCAGTGGCATCCCATCAAGGCGATCATGCTTCTGGCAACTGCAAGGTAATCAAAGGATGAATGGAGGGACAAATAGCGGCCAGGAGAAGTGGTGTATTGTATTGACGGCTGCGAATTTGCAGCAGCTACTGTGCAGTGCTGCTGGAGATCAGCAGCCTCGGGAGCGACTTAGTGCTCCTCGTTCTCGCAGTGCTCCTTGTAGGCAGGCTCATCCAGCAGGTCGTCCAGGTCCGACTCGTCGTCCAGCTGCAACAATGACACGTCAGTCAGCAAAGGCTATCTAAGGCACTGCTAGCTATGGCACGGCAACGCACCTCAAGCTTGATGAACCAGCCGCCGGTCATGGCCTCGTCGTTCACAAGGTTCGGGCTCTCGGCCAGGTCCTGCAGCAGCAAGGCACCAACAGTTAGAGCGCAATAAAATCCCCCACACAAAATAGTGACCATAGCGCACCTCGTTCACGGCCGTGACCGTGCCAGAAACAGGCGTGTACACGTCGCTGGCGGCCTTGACGGACTCGACGGCGCCAAACGCGTCACTTCGCGAGATCCAAACACACGAGGCGAATTAGAAAAATGATACCCAGCCCAGCAAGTCCAGCGTGGCAGCACAGCGCAGCACGTACCCCTTCTGGAACTTGTCGCCCACCGACGGCAGGTCCACGTACACGACGTCGCCCAGCGAGTTCTGGGCGAAGTCGGTGATTCCGATGGTGCCCTCCTTGCCGTTGAGCGTCACGTACTCGTGCTGCGGCGTGTACTTGGTCGAGAAGAAGGACAGGCGCTGCGAGGCCGCGCGGCGGGCCGCGGGGGTGGCCGACTGGAGAGCGCGGGCGCCGAAAGTCTGCGAGAGCACGCGGAGAGCCATGGTTCACGAGGAAGAGGAGGAGTCGGGAGCTTCGGGCGCCTTCCAAACAAATGTCGAGTGAAGCTGCCGGAAGGCTGGGGGGTAAACCGCCAAGTGGTGTGCGCCACACCAACTTTTCTCTTGCACTCACTAAGCTCGATACAAAACCCAAGTTCAATGTACACAGCTTATGTGCTGAGCATCACTTTTGCGGCGCTGGCTGGCTGGCCACTGGCTGGTCAAGCTGGTTCAAGTGGAGCCATGTTGACCCGCTTCGCGCTGCGTCCTGCCCGGCGCCCGGCGCTCCGTAGCTGCTTCTTTCGCGGCCTCGCTGCCGCCTCTGGGCTGGACGATGCGTCGGGTCGGCGCTGGGCGGACCCCGCAGCCCCCAGCAAAAAGCTCGTCAAGCGCAAGGTGGCGATCGTGAGCGGCTACATGGGCACGGGCTACCACGGCCTGCAGCTGAACGACAACGTGGAGACCATCGAGGACGAGATCCGCCGCGCCATCTTCGAGGCCGGCGCCATGCGCGAGTCCAACTTCGAGGACCTGGGCAAGATCGACTGGGCGCGCAGCAGTCGCACGGACAAGGGCGTGCACGCCGGCTGCATCGTGGTGCGTGCTGCTGCCAGGGCTAGCTCGCTATGGTGTTGGAAGTGCGGAATGTATTCTAAGTCTGTTTTGGTTGTTGGTTGCTGCTGCAGTTCTCCGGCAAGCTGCTCATTGACGAGGAGAACAAGGTGGACCCAGTCTCAGGCCGCGTGCGAGGACTCACGGAGGCGCTCAACGCGTCGCTGCCCGACAACATCCGCGTGTTCTCGTGTACGAGAGTGAACAAGCGCTTCTCGGCGCGCAAGAACTGCGTGCTGCGTGAGTACGAGTACTTCATGCCGCTCTCGTTCTTGAAGGACAGCATCATTGGCTCGGATGCAGCGGACTTTGACACGGACGAAGCGATCGCAGAGTTCTGCCGCGCGCTCCGTCGTTACGAGGGAGTGCACGACTTCCACAACTTCACGCGCTCGAGGTCGTATTTCTACAAGATGCAGGCAAAGCGGAAGCAGTGGAAGATGGAGAAACAGAGGAATGCTGCCGAGGCCCAGGCCAGTGCTGACGACGTGGTCGAAGCAGAGGATGTTGATGATGATGACGCGGAGGACTCTACTGCTGTTGACGACTACTCCGAGGAGTCCAGTCAGTTTGAAGATGAAGAGGGATTGACTCGCAAGCTGCTGACTCGCCACCGCCGATCGATTTACTCCTGCTCTGGAAGCCTCGTACCGGATTTCTGCGGCGAGCCACACTTGCGTGTCCACATTGTCGGCCAGGCTTTCCTGCTGAACCAGATTCGATGCATGGTGGGCGGCGCCCTGGCCGTGGCGACGAAGGGCATGTCCCGAGTTGCGTTCGATGCTGCTTTGTGTAAGTCCTCTTTGTTGCAGTCTATCGAATATTTGATCCGGCTGGTTACTAACTTTGTGTTTTGACATGCTGGTACAGTGACGAACCGTATTGTGCGTGTGCCGATCGCGCCAGCAGAGGGCCTCGTCCTCCTTAGCAGTTCGTTCGGAGGCAAGCTTCACACGGTCTCTCTGTACGAGGATCCCAACACGACACTTGCGAAGGAGCGCAAAGACCTGGTTCACCGGATCCTCTTGAACCGCCAGGAGGACGAGGAGATGACGAAGTTCCGCGAAGAGGTGATCTACAAGGAGATTGCGAGTAGCTGGAACATGGAAGAGAAGATGGACCGCTGGCGCGCCTACCTCGAACGCTGCTACGAGTCGAACCAACGCCTGGACGAAGACGAGTTGTCGGGCGTGCTATACGAGCTGGACCAAGCCAAGCTTGCCAGCAAGAACAGGAACCAGTCGTACGTTGAGCAGAACCGTCTCGAGCTCACTGAGAAGGGGCGTCAAGGCGCGTTGCTGCCGAAGCAGTTCACAACGAAGCTCTGCGTTCGGTACAGCGTGGCCCCCGGCATCTTCACGTCCGACCTGCGTCGTGCTGTCACACGGGTAAGTCTTCCTGATGCAGAGAATACGTATGCATTTGCTTGAACTGTTCTGACGGTTGTGCGTCTGTTGTGGTTGCTCTGCAGCACTTGAAGTCGGGCAAGATTCCGCTCGACGCGGACGAAGATCAGATCATGGCCTACATCGACAACTACGGCCCGGAGACCCTCGCCAAGGAGGGGCGCAAGCTGCGTCTCAGCATCCGGACGTAATAGCGTGCGTATTAGAGGGCATAGAGAGACACCCGACTTCGATCCTTCCTTATCTTCAACTTGCCACTCAGTGTAGCCATCTCGCCACTCGGATCTTTATTACGATTGGCTACAACGACCAGTGGTTTTGGCCAATCACATGCAACCATGTCTTTAGGTTCTCTCCCTTGGTCGCATTTACGGAGACGTCAGCAGGTAGCAAGCGGATCGACCCAGCGGCATCCTCTCCACTCGACACAATGGTACGAGCGCCACGAGCTCTTGCTCTCGATACCTGCAGCAGCTCTAACGCCCCCACTGCTGCTGTACGACAGTTCGGCGCCGGCTTCGGTGGAGACGGAAACCCTTTCGGCTTGCAGTTCAACTTCGGCGGCGACTTCCCGCAGCGGTGCGTCCGACAGTCTACGGCATTAGCAGGCGCGACGACCGCCGAGTTCTCATCGTCTCCCCCTTTGGTTGATCTGCAGGTTCGACGAGCACTACCGGGTGTACCCGGTGTCGTTCTGCGACAAGGCGCACTTGGAGGATGGAGACAAGAGTGCGTTCCGTCGCTCAGAACGCTGGAGAACCTTCGAGAGATTGACGCAATAGTTGTTGGTGGATTGTGTGTATGTGTTTATGGTAGTCCTGCTCCCGCCTTCTGCTCTCGAGACGCTGGGTACGTCGGCTCTTCGTCGGTTGGATGAGCTGCAGGAGAGTTGAGGCGCTGACATTTTTTTTATTTTTCTTTGACCAGCGCGTCTGCACATCGAGTACCCGATGCTGTTTAAGGTGACGAACGAGGGAGTGGAGCGCTCCTCGCACTGTGGTGTGCTGGAGTTCAGTGCCCCCGAGGGCAGCTGCTACATGCCGTACTGGGTAGGTCTTCCCTGCTTGTTGTGGTAGTGGGAGGCTCGAAACTGTAGCTGAGTGAAATCATTTGTGTCGGTGCAATGGGCTAGATGATGCAAAACCTTTTTGTGAAGGAGGGCGGTATTCTGAATATTCAGAACGTTTCGCTGCCAAAGGCGACGTTCGTGAAGCTGCGACCGCAGTCGCAGGACTTCCTCGACATTTCCAACCCCCGCGCAGTGTATGTTTGCAAGTGCAGTTGATATAGGGGGGTCGTGTCGTGTTCTAACTATTATCTCTTTGTGGCTGCATGCAGACTGGAGGGCTCGCTTCGAAAGTTTTCGTGTATGACTATCGGCGACACTATTTGCCTCAAGTACAACAACAAAAATTACATGTTGGATGTTCGCGAGGTAAAGCCCACGCCCGCCGCGTGCATTATCGAGACTGACTGCGAAGTTGATTTCGAGCCCCCTGCGGACTATGTCCCGCCTGTGCCTCCGTCTGCAGCTGCAGCTGCTCCCCCCGCGGCCCCTTCGGAAATCCCCTACGGAGGTTTGTTTGATGTTGTCAATACAGGCTTGTATTTTGAACTGCCGGGGCTAACACAATTTGTTTGATACGCCGCTGACAGGTGTTCCGACAATGAAGACAGAAGACGTCAAGCCGACCCGCCTTGGTGGCGCTGGATTTGGTGGGCTGCGACTCAAGAAAAGTGGCGAGAAGAGTTCAACAGACGCAGACGCGCTCCGTTCCGCCCGCCTGCGCAAGTACGAGGCGTTCCATGGTACTGGACACTCCCTCAGCGGGAAGGCATCCACGTTCGGTGGTGCTACGTCGGGTGGTACTCGACTGGGAGGAAGCAGCAACGGGGGCTATTCGCTCGGCGGAGGCAGCAGCGCTACGAACGGCTCGACTACTGGCAGCAAACCAAGAAACTCCGTGGGCCATCGTCTTAATGGTGAAGCAGTGGCCATGGACGGTGAAGAGCAGGAGGAAAGAGATGAAGAAATGAAGGAGAGCGAGGATCGCAAGGGTGTGGTCCCGTTCCAGGGTCAAGGTCGGCGGCTTAGGTAGATGTACGATCAACACTATGGCATGCCAGAGTGGACCTCTGGCCAAGGAAAAACATAATGCTGAAATGCAATGTCCACGCATTTTCAGCCTTCCGATCATCGATCATCGATCATCGATCATCTACTTGAGCTTTAACCCGCTTCTCTCCTACTAGGTAGGCATCGATGAAGGAAAGTACAGTTGTTGCATCGATGGTTGCTATTGTTCATCTGAATGATGCTTTTGCTGACAACGTTTAGTAACAGCATCGGTCGACAACTACTTGTCGGCTACTGCGACCAAAACACCCGATGTGACTTTCGTGCGTCGGATCAGGCCGCAGCCCTCCATGTCCGCGAGATGAAACTTCAGTTGGAAGCACGAATGCTTCAGCTTCGCTTTCTTTAGCTGTTGTTCGTGGGTCTCCTTGTACTTCGTGCGCTTCAGTGTGCTCAGAATTTGAGTCCGCGTCTTCTTGATCGCCGTGACGAGTTTTCCAACTCCAGGTACCGAAAATGAATAGGCCTCGTCATCCATCCTGGCTGTCGGTAAAAGGAACCCAAGCCGTTGAATCCGCCTTCGAGTTGCATCAGCAGCACCACCACGCGCCAGGTAAGGCTTCTCAGTCATACACCAATTCATAGCTTAACACGTACCCCACCATCGCTCGAATTTGTTGCTCGTCTGCGGAACTCCCCGCCTCCCTCATCTTCGTTATCAGTGCATTCAATGGAACAGTTGACAGCGACGTCAGCTGCGGAAGTGCTCGCTCGAAAGCAGACAACGCGCTCAGTTTGGAGGATATAGTTTCATCCCCTGGGTGCTGATGGAGCTGCTGTCGGAATACGCGCTGGTATTTCTCCACCTCGGCAGTGTAATCTTCAGCATGCAGAATCGCAACATCGTCTGCCCCCGATGGAATCTTGAACGTCACCAATTTGCCTACACTTCGCAGTCGGTGCACCTACAGAGGACGCAAAACTGAGTGAGTCAACCGTTAATGACTTGGTAGGAGATGGGCCCAATCGGAAAAGCCTCCTACGTTCTGGTCAACAAACGTGCGGTTCGGCAAAATGGTGTAGCTTTGAATGTAACATCAGCGAATGAGATGAGCTCCAACATGAAGCACAGCAATTGCCACAACGCAATTGTATGACTTACAGTTGGTGCCACACTACCATCGAAGGTAAACCAACGGCAGCAAAGCCGTCAGCATTGCGGTTTAGCATCAGCTGGATGGAGGCCAGAGTGTCGTCGATGAGATCAGCGGGTGCGTCCCATTCTTCCTCGTCATCGCCCGCCGTGGCGGTGAGTACACGCTTGCGCTTATGCCGCCGTAGCATTTCAATTTGCAACTTTTCAATTTGTAGGTGGAGATGCTATTGGCTAATAGTGAGTTATATTTGACCAATACTGGGTGCATAGATGATAGAAAAAGTCGAGCATTCCACGAAGCACGAGTAACATGCATGCGCAAAAACGTCGCGCGCCATCTACTACAGATAGCGCGCGACGTTTTAGCTGCTCACATGAAATCGATTTATAGAGGGGGCCGCGAAACTGGAGCTTGTTGAGGTTTGCATTGAGACCTGGTTCAACGGTGGTGCAGCGGGCGAGCTGCAGGAGAAAATTAAGATGCTGCGGCAACGTACTCGGTACCAGCAACGGCAGGACCAGCGGGTCCGTTGACGGAGAAAGCTTCAGAGAAAGACAGAGCAGGTCGTTGCATGTACAGCACGAGGAGGGCCTCGTGCCGGACAGTGTTGGTAGAGCTGGAAAAGTAGGGCAAGCTAACATTCTAATTAAACAGTCTTCATTTTTCCTCGTAGCGCACGGCCATCTTGCATTGAGTACAGTTCTCAACAGGGTACTGAGCTCAAGCAACAGTCCTCCACGTGGAAGGCTATTCTCGGAACGGCGCTTAGGATGGCGACACTAATGAAGTACACCACGGAAGGCATCCCGACGAACTGAGACGGGAAGGACTGGCAGACCTACAAGTGGGCCATGCGCACGGTCGTCAAGGAGGAAGACCTGTTGAAGTTCGTGGAGCGAACGCTAACCAAGTCGATGCTGACTAGTGAAGACAAGGAGTCAGATTTCGACACTAAGCAAACGAAGATCATGCGGATGATCGGAACGTCCGTGCCTCCGGAGATCTTGCATCAGAATCGTGAGGTAGAAACTGGATCAGACATGTGAGACGCTCTCTGCGACTTGTTTGAAAACAAGGTGAACAAGACGGTCAAGGTGCACACCATCAGCCGTCTCGTGTCAGAGCTGTGGAGCATGAAGCTGACGCCTGGAGAGGACGCCAACTTGCACCTGCGCAAGATGGTCAACCTACGAACAGAGCTGATCATCTTGCAGTACAATCTCGAGGACTCCGACATGGTCGAAATGTTGCTCGAGAGTCTGCCTGAACAAGATGAGTTCGAGACGGTGAAGGCGTCGGTTCGCTATTGTGGTACAGCAGCACGCACAAAATCGTCAGTTGTGGTAACTTGGCTACAAACACAACAATAACCGAGCTGGTCGACTTTGTTGGCCTGCGCCGGGTTGCCCTCGAGCGGTTCGGCCCAACCGGGAAAGCGGGTGTCTGGGCCCTCGCCGAGGCCTGCCAACCAAGATCACTCCTCCGGAGAACCGCCGAGTTCGACGGTCCCCGTTCACCCAACCCTGTGCCCTCCACTAAAGGATGGACGACGGCGCACGAAGCGCTTTCACAGGTCGCCGAGAGCAAAGGCTTCTCGACTCAGCAATCAGTGCCCGGGGCCTACGGGGACACCGGCTCGCAGCGGTGGCGAGACTTTTCCTTCGCGCTTGGCGAGACACGCGCCCAACCCAGGCCGACCTTAATCTCTTGGCGCTGCCAGCCGAGTACCCTACAAGCTTATGCCTCTCGGGTACCGGCAGCAGACATAATCCGGCTACGCGCAGGGACTTACCGGAACGTGTACACGTGCTTTAGGCCTAGAAAATTCTGCTCTGTTGGTTGTTATCTCTGTCGGGCGCCCTGAAAGGACGCCTCCGTTATCCCTAAGTCCCTATACAAATACCAAGTGAAAGTGGGCAGTTTTGGATCTCGGCCTGCCCTTCGCTGAGCTCCGCGACGCTTGAGCTCGGCTGGTCCGGATAAGCTATCCGGATAATTCTTCCAACTCGGCTGAGCCGGATAAGGTGTCAGGATAAGCTGGTGAACTCGGTTTAGCTCGGCTACCGGTACAGTGTACCACTCCAGCCGAGTTGGTCGCGCGAAATCTGGTGTTTCCTACACCACAACTGTAACAGGGTTACACGCACAAGTGGCTACAGTCACTTATAGGCAACCCGGAGCGTTGCTCCGGGAGGGTACACAGGTCGACCAATAGTTTCATGGACGATGATAACGATTAATAATTGAGTAAATCCCAAAGTTGTATTGTTTTTAATCCTTTAAAAAGGCACTACCAGCCCAACTCTTTAGTTGACTCTAACGTGGGCATCTAGTGCGCCTGCTTCGCAGGCGCAGCATCTGCCCGAGAATGCGTAATTGAACAAATAGTTGCGCACATCGAAGTGTATCGATACGGAAATGATGTTTCAGCCAAACCTTTTGTGAGGCTGGTAACCAGCAAGCCCCGCTCTTCTTTATCGTGGTGGGTTCTCAGGAACCGAAAGTCACCAATTGAGGTTGTCTGGTCTGATGAGGCCATCGGTGACATAACACCCTGGTCAGCGTCCAATGGCTGCGTTGGCGCCAGCAACGAGAGAGCTATTTCATTCATTTTGCAGGTACGGTATACTGTGCTCATTTTCGTACTATGTTGTGTGCTAACGACCAGACGAGAGAGCTGCAGTAGTGGAACGAAGGAGAGACGCATGGTGCGCTGATCTTGACCATTTAACTTGAGGATGTTAGCTAAGTGACAATAATGATCCTCAATTCAAAAACAAAACAAAACAAACAGACAAACAAACTTTTAATTTGAGGGCTTGGGGGATAAATTTCGGAATGAGAAATACGCTAATGGGCCAATTCCTTGGAAGTGGGTGCTTCAACGGAGGGAAAAAAGTCTTATTCAAACGAACGATGCTCGTGTCACTGTCGAGTTGAGTTGGGCATCTTCGGCTAAGAGTGATTGGGTATTGAGCAAATTGACATGTAAAAAAATGTAGCCTGCACCTAGACAAGTCATGTTAGTCATCTTCAGCTAAGCTTGGTCGATTATGGCGCAAATTGATACGCCTTCAGCAAAGCCATGACGCTCTCATAGTGTACTGGAACGTCCGTAAGTGTTTGAATGCAGGTTTTGGTAAATAATAAACGATTAGTATCAGCCTTTGGTATTAATTAATGTACATAAATCTTAGCAGTTATCGACGGGTACCCGATTCCGGCAGATATTAGCTTAAACATTAAAATTAAGAAAGAGAGACCCGGTTTGGTACCCGGTTTTGGAAAGTTACAAGTTTTTTGCCGGGGCCAAGCACAGGTCTTCGACCTGTGAATTACTCTAACAGATGCGATGTCTGTTAGAGGTTCGAAAGACTTTCTCGACCTTGGTGTAGACACACCAAAGGCTACATACATTTACGACCACCACGACGGGTGGTCTATAGAGACTTAGGATTCCTATTGGCTGAGAGCAGCATCTCTTAGCCAATGAGCGACATGCATAGCATTGGAATTCTGCCAACCAGCCGTTGGCAGATTCCTAGTTTAGAATATTACATTTAGAGGAAGTCAGAAACATAAAACAAAAATAGCAGTTCTCATTTTAACCCAAAAACATTATTTGGATCGTTTATTTAGATTAATCTATACTTGGAGGCCCGAGTATAATTAAATCTAAGTTACACTAAGCTACGCTTCCTCACATACACGCGCACACGTGTAAGCTAAAGTAGTGAGCCAAAGTAGGCCCATTACACGTGGTAGCACTTTGTAGTCCGTCCAACGACCGACTACCTGAGTTCGTACGTCACCGCACGAACGCGGAGCTGAGAACCTTCCCATGGATACGGAGGTGTCCATGGAAAGCTCCACTACCCTGCAACTCACGTTGCACGCGCTGACTGTCCCCACCTGTCGGACCCAGAGTGGGAAGCTCTCCAACGACTGTCAACAGTCATTGGTGAGGCGGCTGTAGCTACGATGCTGCGTACGCTAACGCCGACAGAGCAACATGGTGTTGCTCTGGGATTCATCATGAGGGAGCAGCGAGATGCTGCTTCATCTACCACGGTGTCGTCGGGGACGACACCGCGCGCGCAATCGCTGAAGCTCAGCGTGAGCAATTACGTTGGAAGAGAGGGCGAGCCTCTCCTCCGTTGGCTTGTCGAACTCGACACTGCCATTGCGGCTCGACGCATCGTCGACCCGTTGTCGAAGGTCGCGTTCGCCATGTCATGTCTTGGCGGACGTGCAAGAAGTTGGGCGTATGGACGCCGACTCTCGGATCCTACGTGCTTCAGCACGTACGAGGGTTTCAAGGAAGAGCTCAGACAAGCGTTTGAGCCCCCGCAAAACGAGTTCCGGTCGAGGGCGGAGTTCCTCGACCTGCAGCAGGGCAAGCATGATGTCCATGCTTACGCTCAGAGAGCCCGGTACTTGGTCTCGAACATCGTGACCAATTCGATCGACGAGGCGACCAAGGTCGTCACGTTCATGAAGGGACTGAGAGATGGACCTGTGAAGATGTAACAGGGTTACACGCACAAGTGGCTACAGTCACTTGTAACTTTAACAGATACGACGTCTGTTAGAGGTTCGAAAGACTTTCTCGACCTTGGTGTAGACACACCAAAGGCTACATACATTTACGACCACCACGACGGGTGGTCTATAGAGACTTAGGATTCCTATTGGCTGATAGCAGCATCTCTTAGCCAATGAGCGACATGCATAGCATTGGAATTCTGCCAACCAGCCGTTGGCAGATTCCTATCTTAGAATATTACATTTAGAGGAAGTCAGAAACATAAAACAAAAATAGCAGTTCTCATTTTAACCCAAAAACATTATTTGGATCGTTTATTTAGATTAATCTATACTTGGAGGCCCGAGTATAATTAAATCTAAGTTACACTAAGCTACGCTTCCTCACATACACGCGCACACGTGTAAGCTAAAGTAGTGAGCCAAAGTAGGCCCATTACACGTGGTAGCACTTTGTAGTCCGTCCAACGACCGACTACCTGAGTTCGTACGTCACCGCACGAACGCGGAGCTGAGAACCTTCCCATGGATACGGAGGTGTCCATGGAAAGCTCCACTACCCTGCAACTCACGTTGCACGCGCTGACTGTCCCCACCTGTCGGACCCAGAGTGGGAAGCTCTCCAACGACTGTCAACAGTCATTGGTGAGGCGGCTGTAGCTACGATGCTGCGTACGCTAACGCCGACAGAGCAACATGGTGTTGCTCTGGGATTCATCATGAGGGAGCAGCGAGATGCTGCTTCATCTACCACGGTGTCGTCGGGGACGACACCGCGCGCGCAATCGCTGAAGCTCAGCGTGAGCAATTACGTTGGAAGAGAGGGCGAGCCTCTCCTCCGTTGGCTTGTCGAACTCGACACTGCCATTGCGGCTCGACGCATCGTCGACCCGTTGTCGAAGGTCGCGTTCGCCATGTCATGTCTTGGCGGACGTGCAAGAAGTTGGGCGTATGGACGCCGACTCTCGGATCCTACGTGCTTCAGCACGTACGAGGGTTTCAAGGAAGAGCTCAGACAAGCGTTTGAGCCCCCGCAAAACGAGTTCCGGTCGAGGGCGGAGTTCCTCGACCTGCAGCAGGGCAAGCACGATGTCCATGCTTACGCTCAGAGAGCACGGTATTTGGTCTCGAACATCGTGACCAATTCGATCGACGAGGCGACCAAGGTCGTCACGTTCATGAAGGGACTGAGAGATGGACCTGTGAAGACCTATCTCTTCCGTGAGTACCCGAGTACTCTCGAAGCTGCAATTAGTCTTGCAATACAGGAGGAGTTTAGCCTGCGGCAGGCTAAGCTGCATGCACATGTGCTGAGGCCACAGCCACGCCCGGTAGTGAGGACGGGAGGCCCAGAATCCATGGACCTCTCGAGTGCTGCAACTGCTGGACCCCAGCAGTCGCAGGGAAACAATGTGCGATGCTACCGTTGCGGTAGAGTCGGTCACTTTGCTCGGGAGTGCACGGCCCCCGTGCACCAGCAGGGTGGCTATCGCGGCGGTGCCGGGCACCGTCGCAACCAAACAAAAAACGCTGGACGTCAGTAGGCGCGAGGCGCCCTACTGGTAATGCAGTTCCGCGTGTCGACCTTGGACACGCGACACTGAGGACGGCAGCCCCCAGTGAGATTCATTCTCACTGCAAGAACCAAGACGACAAGCCTGACCTTGTCATCCTGAACGTGAACTCGATGAGAACAAGCGGCTCTCTCCGTGCTTTGGTAGATTCTGGCGCGTCGAAGAACTTTGTTCGACTGCGAAGTCTATCAAGGC